ATTTTCTGGTTTTAGCCAATCTAAACCTCCATACTTCCAGAGTGTCACCACGGCCCCGACGCGATGTGGATTGTTTTTTCGTAAATAGGTGGATATTCTTACGTACATATATGATGTTCTCAAGTATGTAAAGCGACGGGAGCGTCAAAACGTTTATTTGCTTAAATATATGCCGTAGTGACTCACGTGGACCCAAGCCATAGACGGCCCGTATGGCCTGCTTTTGTAATACAAATATTGTGACTAAACCGGATGCGGAACCCCAAAGTAAGACAACATAGGACATTATGCTGTGAAAATAAGCATAATAAACTAATTTAACTGTTTCCTCGTTAGTTAGCTGCCTGATTTTGCGTATGGCAAAGACGGCAGCGCTCAATTTCTTAGCTAACTTATCTACATGAAATCCCCAACACCCATTTTTACTTTTGACCCCGTTGACAATATACCATTTATGATTACTTTTTGTTCCCTGTCAGTAAGATATGAGGAAACAAAGTCAATGACACTATTGCGAATACCATAATATTCCAATTTCCTGATTAGAATTGTATGATCTACATAGTCAAATGCCTTGGAAAGGTCACAGAACACACCAATGGTGTCATGAAGCTTTCCCAGGAATGCAGGATATGTGAAACTAATTCTATCCCTGCATCAGTTGTAGATCTACCTTTAGTAAATCCAAATTGGTGCTGGTTTAAAATTTTATATTTGTTAAAATGAACTGTCATTTGATCCAGCATTATTTTCTCAAACACTTTGCTTAAGGCCGGCAACATAGAGATAGGACGGTAATTTGAGGCATTAACGTATATATTGTTTTTAGGGTTCCGTACCCAAAGGACCGAATCGGGATATTACTAAGACTACGCTCTCTGTCTGTCTGTCTGCCCGTCTGTCGCCAAACTGTATCTCATGAACCGTGATAGTTAGACAGTTGAAATTTTCACAGATGTTGTATTCCTGTTGCCGCTATAACAACAAATACTAAAGAACGAGTTTAAAAATATTTATGTGAGGTTTTCATATGAAAGACATAATTTTTCGCCTTTTTTATAGATAATGGTATGGAACCCTTTGTGCGCGAGTCCGACTCGCACTTGGACGGTTTCTCTACACCACACTGAGGTTAACTGGCAGAAAGTTCCGTTGGCATTAAACCACCTCGTAAACAAGTCTATGCATAAAGTTAAAATAAATATAACATGGATATGAGTATAATAAATATTCTATAGTAGTATAAAGGCTATGTTCATTTACAGTAATGTAGCCTCAAAATAGTGAAAGAATTTTCCAAATAAGTGTTGTGGTTCCCGATTATCACCCACACGAACACAAACCCGCAGACATTCGCACTATTACTTTACGATATTACAAGTCTATCCGTCGAGTCTGTGCTGCCGAACAGTATCAGTAACAGTAACCAGTAGAATATGGTGTGCTACAATGCCATCTTTTTTTAATGTGAAAAGTTGCTAATCGCGCAGACGGTTCACCTGATGTTAAGTGAATACCGCCGCCCATGGACATCCGCTACACCCGAGGGTTACAGATGCGTTGACAACATTTTGAAGATTGGGCTCCGGCTACCTCACTCACCAGACGAAACGCTGGTCTACTGTGAGGTCGTGGTCTTTCCTGGACGAGCCTGCCCATTCATGCAACAGCCAAGGCTGCTGCGTGGCCCTACCACCGTAAAACCATTTGCTTGCATGTAATAATAAAGTGGTAGGGGCTAAAATATTTTTTATTATCGAATACCTATTTTACCAATTTTAATGGCAATCTATTGAACGGTATAGAAGTTCAAATACTGCAAGGCTATCTGGCGATGAGTTAAAACAAAGGAGATAGCATAAAAACCTCCTGTATGACAAAATACAGGTATGTACCCATTTTCATGGTAATTGGGAAAACAACAATTCTTGTATACACAGATTATAGTAAAACATGGAAGAAGTTTTTTTTCTGACGGTTGAACGCTATAGAAGATGAAATACTTTAGCGCCATCTATTAGTAATTAAGTATAATGTGGAAAACGGTAAAACATATTTCATATTAGAATTCTTATGACAATACTACACCTTACTTAAAATACTAACATACATTTTTAAATATTTCACATGCAAACATAATTAATAAAAAAAATAATTAACGTATCTTTTACCACTGTATAAAAAGATCTATTAACTTATTATTTTAATGCTTATTCATCATCAACATCATTTCAGCCTGGTAGAGTCCACTGCTGAACATAGGCCTCCACCATAGGCTGCCAAGAAGTACGATCCTGAGCCACCTGCATCGATCGACTTATTACTTTTTCATTACTTGTAAACATAAACATAAATTAATAACTGTAACATACGCGGCTACAATTGTGATTAGCGTAATAAAAAGTGTATTAGTGTATTATATTTAAAACGTAGGTAATTTTTGTAATGAAAGCTATTTTTATATATAGTATAAAAATGAAACAACAAAATCGTAAAAAACAACTGGATCGGTACCGTAATCCATTACATTAATTTGCCCCACTCAAGTTTTCCTGTAAATATTTGATGACGTCACACACAACGCTTCTTGGCCCACCTCCCAATATTCCAGTGCGTGACGCACATTTTGCAACCCCTGCCCTTAAACCCACGTATTTCAGGGAAAATCTATACATCCAATGTAGAACAAGGTTTTACGGAGGCGACTAATCATAATATAACATTTTAAGCTTATGTTGGGTTACACTTTACTTATCGTAAATTTAATGAGGTAATTTAAAAATGATTCATAAATTAAATTATATAGTATTAACTATAAGTGTATTAAAATGGCCTTGCCGTCCCATGGATGCTCTTTACCTTAACGACTTAGTCTTTCGAAACGTTGGTAATTTTAAAACAAATTACAGAAATTATAGTCCGCATAAATTTACAACATAATTTTATTTTTCATACAACATATTTTTTTGAAAACTCCCTCGGAGTGTCGATTAAAACTAAATAAAATTAAACCAAACTAAACTTATTAGGAACTACTAATTTATATACTAATTTTAGGCAGATTCAAACTTGCATATCAATTTTGGGCTTCTTAAATCTTGATTGATGGTTTCCTTGAAATTATGTCAAAGCAGTGAATATTAAGCATCATTAAATTTAAAGGGTCACGCATATCAATATTGCTTATTATTACATTATTATGATTTGAGGGTAGAAATATCATTACGTTTGAGGGTAAAAATATATTCAGTAAGTTGATCAGTTATTTCGCTTTCACTGTGCAAGTTACTGTGTGAACATTTGTTGCGGAAACTTCCCTAAAGCTAATATTTCTAGTGTATCGTTTAATCGACACAGATTTAAAGGAAACAACAAGTGCATCAGTATAAACAAATGACAAAAGAAGTATGGAGATTTCAACGTAAGAAAGGCTCATTAAGTACCATTTTTTTGCCATGTATTGTTTTTTTAACTGAATAAACCATAAGATTGGGTAAAGTTGCCAGTGAAATTACAACTAGTAATCGAAGTGTTTTTAATACTTCTTGTACAATTGTATACGTATATACACAGTGGTAACTTTTGTAACGGTAGAAATTTTTAAAATATAAACCGAATTGAGTTTTATATATAAACTTTTTGATTAATAAAAGTAATGAAATTATGTGTTATTAGGGAAAAGTTAAATAGATTTGATTTATACTTATTTCCATAAAAAAAGTCTCAAAGACTTGCCACCGATACACCGTAATGTACAAAATATTACTATATACATTTTTTTCACAATGGAATCGCATTAGCGGGTTTTCTATACAGCGCCTCTGCATTCATTTGTGATCAGTAGACTTGTCATACAATAGTCCTCCCCGTTCCTGATTTCCTTAAAAGATATTGAAATGTCTATCTGTATAACGTTGTATTAGAATGTTTAAATTGGCGTTGTCAAATTAACACAAAAGCTGGCTTAGAATTCGAATCTGTATTTATAACGGAATAGTTTATTAGTGGGCTTATTTTATTTATACAAACGTTATGAATTAACATGCATGCTATTTTTACTATATATGCAATAATATAAATAATTTAAAAAGTTTTTGTCAAATAAGATTAAAACTGCAAACGACAATCTTTCACGACGTTGACTTATGTTTCGAGATAAATGATTTATTAATAGTCAGAAATCCTAAGGAAAACGTTACCACGTATTTTTATAGAAATATTTTGTCTTAAATATTTATAAATAGTTAAATAACTAAACCAGGTTCACTACAGAGTGAAATCCTGTTTCAAACTGTAGCGATGCTATCTTTGTGAGTTTATAATGTTTAACATTACCCTTGTTGTTGTTATTATTTGCAAGCTTTTACTCGAAAATTAGATTAAAATTCGACTTTATTATAAATGTTTCCAATATTAGACTTTATTATAATTGTTATCATTTGGTTATGGTCAAAAACAATGCGACTACATAACAAAAACAAATCTATAAACGGGTTAGGAGAACAAAAACAAAACAACGACACCAGTTTTATTAAGCTAATATTTTCAGCGGTACCCGGAGTCGAACGTAGAATGAATAGCTACGATACGTACATTAAATTAATTAACACTAAGGCCGTGTGTGTTACAAGTAACGATTCGACATCGACACCCATATTATTTCAGGCCTATTGTTGACATATTCTTTCTAATATTTGAACGGACATAAACGTTACAAAACTGTATTTATAGAATTTAACACAAATTTATTTTTCAAATCTTGCATATCACAATTTAGGCTTATTACTATACAGTGATAAATCAATGAAATAGATAATTTAGAACTTTTTAGGAGGTTGCTTAACACAATCCCTATGGTGATGCCAAAAACATGGTTTGCCAATGTTTGCTGCATTTTGCTGTATTGTCATGAGCCGCTACGACAATAATATAATTAATTGGATGCTATCGAATAACTGAATACATAATCCCTGTAACCACCAAATGTTAGTACCTGACCCATGGGTGTCGTAAGAGATGATGACTTTCATGCAAATAGGTATGGCTAATGAAAACTTCAATGGCTGTACATTTACGTTAACCTAGATATTAAATATTAAGGAAACGAGAGGCTTCTAAATCTGCTCTAGTGCTTGTATCGTGCTTATATCGACGAGTAAATACTCGTCGATATTAGCGTGGTTTCTCGTTTTCCACGATTAAAGGTTACTCCGAATAGACAAAATTATAAGCTCAGAATTTAAAAATTACGTTTATGTTTCGCATGAAATTTAATTCAGTTAACATATATTCCCTAATAGCATGTATAGGGGCATGTATAGGGTGTTACTTTACTTACTTTTTTTTTTACATATATTCCAAAAGCTTCCGTAGCGGAAGTCGTGCTGTTTATTTTTCATTTATAATCTATACGCACAAATCAATTTTTTTTTTAGCACAAATTTGTCATCAAAATTGACACTATCGCTAATTAAACTGATTAATAATTTCCACCACTTGAGTATACGAACGCGTCAAAATGCAATGAAAGTGAAAGATAAATAGGCAATATCACATACATTTTATGAAGATGCAAACATCTACATATTATTAATAAATTATCAAACAGACTAGCACTTTTTACCATACCAAAATTAAAGGACGGAACATGGGAGGGTTTTAATTTGTTGCAGTATATTAATAATTTATGTTTATAATATTTTAAGAGTAGTTTTTTTTATTGATATTCGTACTTATTTGTATTGACACTTTAAAACGCTTACTTCCGTTTGTCTTTCTAAATATAAATTTATTGGTAACGGTATTCATTTAAAGTTCTATTCATGGGGTTTCCCTATATACTCGTTGCAAGTAAAATTAACTTAAATTATTCTTAAAACCTATTTTTTTATGTAGAAAGATTAGAAAGACCAGTTAAGGACAACACTATCGCCGTCACGATACGTGTGGGTCGAGGCACTGACCTACATTTTGCTTGTCTATTCAATTTATGCATAACTTAGATAATATGAAAGCGCACTGGCTTCGCTAACGTTAATAGACAGTGCATTAAATATCAATCAACGACGATTGAATTCATAGTGATACTCTGGAGTGTACCATCAAATTAAAAGAGATGAGATTCTTCTTTGAATTAGAAAATAATAATTAAGTAAAAATTACACTTTACATTTAATCGACTAACGATAAATAATTTTCACTAGTTACTTAGTTACTAGTTACTAGACTCCATAGAAGTAACTCGTTCATGGGGCGGTGTATATGCTTCTACAACAAAATCCCAGTAAATGCGCAAAGCCTGCCTATCAACCGGTTTAAGAAATTTATTAAAGAAAAACTTTATAAAAAGTGTTATTATAATATAAATGAATACATTAATGACCCCTGGGAATGAGTTGATCCTTCCCTAGCTATTTAAAAGAAAAAAATGACAAAAAATAGGAACCTCATTACGAAACGGTGGTAGATTAAAAAAAATACTTTCGATGAAATTAAATGATTTTTTCTTATGTCGATGAATAAATGATTTTGTTTTTGATTTTTGATTTTGTGCCGTGGTAGGGCCACGCTTTGGGGTTGCACGAATGGGCAGGTCCATTCGGGCAAGTACCACGAACTCACAGAAGACTGGCCTGAAGTGTGTTATATTTTTGTGTTTCGTCTGGTGAGTGAGATAATCGGGGCACACTGTTTTGAAAGGCAATGTATTTGCAAGCTTCGGGTATTACAAATGTGCATGAATGGCGGTTGAAACGATTTTGATGACATTTTTTTGTGTGTGTACGACTGGATTCGGGAATGGTTTAGGTTCACAATTCGGTCCGCTTCGGGTTCGCTAGTAAAATATAAATGAAAGTGAGCAATCTGTTACGCCTTTTAAACAATACGCCGTAGACGAAAGTACAGTTACCTTTAACCGCGTTTCAAAAAAATGAGTCTCAAACTTAAGAAATAATGGGCATGCCACAAGGGAACAATTGTAACACGTAAATTATAAATTAGTATAATATAATAAGTGAACTATTAGTAATATAGGCAAGTATCTTTAACAAAAAAAATTCGCCAACAAAATATTTTCGTAGTAAATAAGAATTGAACAAATCTCGTTTGATAGACCGATTTAGGTATAAATCATTTTGTGTTTTAAAAATTGGTCGGTGTCCCATACAATTCTACATATATTTAATTATAATTAATGTAATTAACTGTGTCCCTTGTACATTTTTCATAAATTGGTATAGCGTGTGTTTTATACAAATAAATGGGCTAATATTATCGTAAAAATAAACGAACTTCGAATTGCTCTTCAAGTGTCAGTTTTGTCTGTTAATTTCCTTCTCTTTTTCAGATTTGAATTGTAATTTTTCCTTTGAATGTTATATAAACAAGTGTTAAAACGGATTAAATTTGCATTCTCGATTATTAACGACAATAAAGCGGTAAATTGATGGTTGTGTTATACAACGTTCATTTGCCAGCGATCGCAAAAGTCATTATTTCATTACAGCACGCTAAGAGCGGTCACCGAAGTGAATTAAATTTATTTATATCGTATCAGTAGCCGCTTATGCGAAAGCCGCTATGCGAGCACTTGTTTTTATATGTATTGTTCTACGCTTTACTAGCTATGCCTTCCATTGCGCGAAAAACACAATTGATTCAAGAATATGCATTAATTTTTTTTTCTCTCTTAATACTTTTTATAGGTTTAGTTTCTTAGATAATGTGGGCTGCGTTAATAAGACTATTGTATAGTTTGTTACAATCAACATGAGCAATATTATATAGGGATCAAAATCGAGTTTAAACATGTCGTGTGCATTTTAAAGCGTTCGGACGAATTTAAAACACTTTTACTGTATAAAGGTATATTTGGTATTATAAAATAATCCAACAATTAATCTGAATCGACAAAAAATTCACATTAAAAAAAAATGTGTGTATCCTCTTTAGTTGCAGAACAAATGATTTTGTTTTATTTTTAAACGTTTCATCAAATCGATATATGACTTTGTACCGCATAGACCCAGTACTTTCTATTTTCTAGAAATAAAACATTCGTAGTATTAATAAAAGACAACAAGCACTAGTGTCATTTTGTTTTATTGTCTCATCATCCGTAACATTACAGTCTGCGGCCCACGGGCCGTGGGATTGATTGGTCGCGCCGCCGATCATTGACGGATGATCGTGGAGGCCGGTAAATCCTTGATAACCATGTACCTTAACACTATAAACCTTAATTTAAATCAATAGGTGTCACTACATAGTATAAAACAAAGCCGTCCCGCTGTCTATCTGTCCCTATGTATGCTTAGATCTTTAAAACTACGCAACGGATCTTGATGCGTTTTTTTACTAGATAGAGTGATTCACGAGGAAGGTTTATATGTATAATACATTGCACCCGTGCGAAGCCGAGGTGGGTCGCTAATAATTAATACGTATTTAAAGCACAAGACAGCACTATCCAATAGTATACCGATTCTACGGAAATATGTTCGCTATATGTCAAGTTTAAGCGAAAAAAAATGAGAATTTTGTTCCTAGTAGAATCTTTTATTTTATTCGATAGTACCTTGTACTCTACAGAGTATATTTACAGTGCATTTAGTAAAGTCATTTACCTCTAGAATTTCCTAGAAAATAGTTCCGAGGTCAGAGAGGCTGTCAATGTCCAATTTATTATGGTTAAACTGACCTAAATAGCAGGATTATCTTATCCTACACTAGCTGGTACCCGGCGTAGTGCTAACCAAGAAGAAAAAATGTTGAAGTACTGTTTGAAATTTCAATGAGATCTTGTATTTACGTTTGCCAGTACGACACGTGCCACCAAGATAGTCGTCCCATAAACTTCGCGAAAGTTCATGAAATGAGTTGACAAAGTTTAACAACAATCGGATGAACGGTATCGCAGCGCATCCATGCGCGAACAAACAAACAAACAAACATTGATTTATCTATACAGATAATAAAATTGGAGTGTCTATTTGTAATATTAAAATAACCGCTTTTTATTAAATGCATATGGATGTATACACCGTACATATACCAAAATAACATTTTTTACAATTTTTGTCTGTCTGTCTGTTTGTTCCGGCTAATCTCTGAAACTCGTAAGCTAACTGAGAAACTTAGGTTACTTTTATTTCAGATTTTTTTTTTAATTTTAAATCCCACGCGGACGAAGTCGCGGGCACAGCTAGTATGTAATAAATGTAGTGCCACACAGCACCTTCTGCTGTTGCTGGTGTGAAGTGATACTTTTGCGTTTCGTCCTTAGAGTGAGGTAATCGAGCCCACTTAATTATGTTTAGCAACGCCTGCAACCCGTCAGGTTTTGCAGATCTATGTCTATGGGGTGCGGTAATTACGTAGTATCAGGTGAACCGCTTGTCCGCTTGCCAGGATTTTACATAAAAAAGATAAAAACGCAGTGGGCCATAGGCTGTTACTTACCTTTCTTTACTTTTGTACATTTCAGGTTGGCGGCAGCGCAGGAGGCGGCGGGCGCGCACGCTCGCTCTGCGCCAGCTGATACCATGGGCGGCGCGCACCAGCCCGCCACTCCAGGGCCCAGCTCGCTCTTTATATTCTCCTACGAAAATCCCATACGGAGGTCAGTACAGAATCGAACGGCGTAATCGCAATAACGTTTTTCGATCCTATTAGACCAGTTGCTAGTGCACCCAATGATACCAAAATGATACCCAGTGATCATTTACCATTAATGTCTGAAAACAAACATAAGTAAATTCTACTCGCGCTATTAAAAGAGTAATTATTTTTAATATACGGAGCATAAAATAATTACGAAAATCACAGATTATGTAAGCATAAAAATATTCGAGTTAGAAAGAAGTTTGTCAAATTGACTATTAATAATTATTATGTTATTTAAAAAAATTAAAGAAAAATGCAATTATGGCGATGTAGCTCAACGATAGTGAAAGCGGTCAAATTCAAGTAAGCTTTCGTAAGTCAACAATTGGTGTCCACGGTATAATTTACTCCCAAGCGCTTTTGAGACTCGAAAGGCACGTTATTCCATTTAGCCCCTTTAAGATGCTTTAGTGGCCTGATACGGCTTATTTTTTCTTTTACGTGAGAAGGGTGCAAGCTGATGGTTCACCTGATGTTAAGTGATAACCGCTGCCTATCGACATTTACAAAAAGATGAATTGTCAGCTTTTAGTAAAGTGGGCCCCGGCTACCTTATTCACTAGACGAAATGCAGAAGTATAACACTTTCACTTCATGGTCTTCTGTGGGGTCGTGGTACCTACCCGGATGGGCCTGTTCATTCGTAAAACAGAGCAGACTGTTGCGTGGCCCTACCACAGTTAATAGATCAAACTGTAGCTGGTAGTCGCAGAAGTCTAAACGATCTGTGTAACCGTTCAATGCAATTCGCTTATTGGTTTGATAGTTTCTAGGCGTCGCTAAACTATTGTCGCAAAATTACAACAAAAAATAATCTCAATTATATTAAGATAAACTAAAGTGGCAGTCGTTTAATACTTTACTTTGGCACGAGCTTCTCTACAAAGAGTAAAATTGGCCCAAGTGACATGATCCACTAGTACAAGTCAGTCAATCTGCATAGGTTGACTGACTTCTGATGTTCATGAAAAGTATTTGTATTTTATATTTAGAAATAAGAAAATGTTATTCTAAGCGATTGTGACGATTGACATCTGACTTGTTATAGCTTTTTCTGTAAAATGTTCAACAATGGTATCCATTAAACATCGGCGGAAATAATATTATTAGGATTTGAGAATTTTTCCTAGACTAAGTTGTAGGCGAGTTCCTTTCTATTTTATTTCACCATCGATTTTACTAGTTATTACATAATAATAGATATTTAGATATTTCTAGTGTTTAATATTTTAAAATACATGCATGGATTGGGCTTTATGCACAGTTAAACGGTGTCTCAAGGCCCGTCCCATCGTCATTAAGTGCATCTTGTCCCGCTGCCTCGGTCTAAGCGATAAATGGGTCGTGTAATAGAAACCTAATGCGATAATCTCACGCTATGCTATTAAGTCCACATTGCACATTCTAATGACATTAAAAGACGGTCCTCTAGCCTAACTCATTTAATTTTAGTCGTGTTTTGGATCTTTGTATAAAAAATGCTGCATTATTTAAATCCGCTGGCGATTTGTGATGGTATATTAGAAGTATACTAGTTTTTTTGCCTTTATTTGGTATTAAAATCGACCATTAGAACAATATCATGTAGTTTCCTCGACTATATCCTCGAGAAGTCGGTGTAAGCGATTTCAGAAATCAGAATCATTTCATAATCCGGGAAATAGAAAATGGTTGATGCAATATATTCGTTATTTTTCAGTTCGTTAATCCGATTAGGCTAATTTTGGTTTTGACAAATTTGTAGCAGTCCAGAGAAGGTTTAAACGTTGAGAAATTATGGAAAAATTGCATGGAAAATCTAAATAGCAACTATTTTATTTTCCCATACAAACTGTACCTGTCAACCATCAACTATATCTGTGTAACGTGTCAAACACTTTATGCGTGCGTTCTGAAAATTCTCTTTCTATGTGCTCAGATTGACAGATTCCCCAGAAATAATTTATATGGCAAAACAACGTCTGGCAAGTCAGTTAGTTTTAAATAAATATAAACATGTTTCAGGTATACAAAGTTCATCATCGAGTGGCCACCCTTCGAGTACGCGGTGCTGCTTACCATCATCGCCAACTGCGTGGTGCTGGCGCTTGAGGAGCATTTGCCCAACGGCGATAAGACCATCTTAGCACAGAATCTGGTAAGTTTACACACGGAACTCTCCCCTTTTATATTATATTTGGGTCCTTTTATTAAAGAGTACTGTAAAAAACTATAAATAGTGCAGATAGATAAATGAAAAGGTTGCTCTCTTGCGTTAACTCAAACTAATATTGTACCATCGTTAGTTTAAAATGTAATTTAAAAAAGAAAAACCTTGGTGGAAAAATAAAAAAAATATTTATTATTCTAAAAGCGAATGGTTTTCGTTGCGTTTGTGTTTTATATAATGTCAATTTTGTCTGTTTGTTACAGGAAAAGACCGAGGCGTACTTTTTAGGAATATTTTGTGTAGAAGCCTCGTTAAAAATATTAGCCTTAGGTTTTGTTTTACACAGGGGATCGTATCTTAGGAACGTTTGGAACATAATGGATTTTTTCGTTGTAGTAACTGGGTAAGTGATCTTTTATTATTAACCATTTTAGCGTATCTACGTGAAAAGTTCAAACAATATCAGGCATATGATGAGTTTTGAAAACAATTCGGACTCTTTGCACCAAAATGCAAACAAACAGAAACATCCAATAAAAATACTCAAACTTTACTCTGATGGCATGGCGATTGGCAGATCAAATTTAGAAATTGGAATGTTAATTGTATAGAATTCAGTAGATAGGGAAGAGGTCAATGCTGTCATTACTGAAACATTCGATAACAAAAAATAGGTCGATGACGATATTCGCCGAATACAACGTCGACGTTGACCTGCGGATGCTGCGCTCGTTCAGAGTGCTGCGACCTCTGAAGCTCGTCTCGCGGATACCAAGTAATTCACAGTAATTGGCGAAAGTTCACATAATAACTACCTTTATATTGTATAGAAGATTCTCGCTAGACATTTTACGATCTTCGAACTTTTTGACGTAGAGGAACTATGTCTCTAGTTTTGATAATATAGTTTTTTTTTTCTTTTAATTCTTAGTGAGAATGTAGCATCGGTTTTATGCAATTATGAGAGAATTCGTTTACACTTTAGAGATGTGTGATTTGAACAATTTTAATGGACAATGTTAAATGTACGTAATTTGGATTTCGGCATTTTACGTGTTGCATAATAGTTAAAACTTGCTACTGTTTTATTGTGTATTGTGTAGGTATTCCAAATAAAGGCTAACTGTACGAATTTAGTTAAAACATATTATATAGGTGTGAATAAACAAGACGCATTTAGATTGAAATTATTATGACTTAACGTGTGAATAACATTGTAATAATTAGACACAATACCTAGACAGTAGAGAATAAGCTAGTGTGACCATAAACTGTATATTTGTAAAAATAAGGATTGTGTTTGCTATACCAAAATCATTATTGAACAGGAAACATATAAGTTGGTGATTGGAATTGTTCTGAAAGTTCTCAAGCACAATCCTTGGTAGTAAGTTTTATATTAAGCTAGCTGCTAGTGCAGGCTATAGTATCGAGTGATGTGTGTTTGGCAGTATCATCACGCAGCTGCCGGTCGCGCCCGACGTCGACTTCAGGACCTTGCGTGCCATTAGGGTGCTGAGGCCCCTTAAATTAGTTTCGGGCGTTCCTAGTGAGTTCTAGAACATATTTAGTCTAGCATTTGTAGTTTTAGTTACCATTTGCCTTGGTGTACTTTCCATATCAATATTGAACTGTTTAGCATTAATCTCTTTTATAAATACAAGACGCATTTTGATTTTTAAAAAAGGTAAAGTTATATCTGTTTAATTCGATAAAGCAACCTAAAGGTAGGGAAAAATCGGTCTATTCTAATCGAGATTTTTTTATTTGTTTATTTAAAAAAATTGTTCATACTACATCAAGCAAAAGATGTACATTTTTATTTCTTAAGGAATAATGTCAAAAATATTGTTTGGAAAATACCCAAGGGCAGTAAATCAATGTTCCGTGCACGAGATTTTTCATCTTTGACTTGTCGATGTTACTGTTTTCATTTTTATTTCTTTTTGCCTTTAGATTTTTTTTGTCTATTCATCTTATAATAGAATAATAATGATTATTGTGCTTAGTATCATTAAATACATTCAATGTAATATCATTACTTATAAGGGCACTCATGACCTTTTAATATGTTCCGCTGTCATCATCCATAATTCACATCTGACCTTTGTCGAAAGTTCATTCATCAAACAAATGTGTCATGGGATGCACGGAACTATCATTTAAAGGATGAGTTACTACATTATACTTTCCTATGTCTAGGCCTGCAAGTTGTGTTGAAGTCTATCATCAAGGCGATGGCCCCGTTGCTTCAAATCGGCCTCTTGGTGCTTTTTGCGATCGTTATATTCGCCATCATCGGCCTCGAGTTTTATTCAGGGGCGCTGCATAAGACTTGTTATAGTTTAGAAGATATTAGTAAGTATTTTTTTAAAAAACTTCAGGCTCAAATAAACGTAGAGAATTGGCTTCCAGCGGTCCCATGTGTTTCAACTCCCACACATGATATGATACACGATCTAGAAATTATGAATCCCTTTAAGATTAATTTTTATGAACTCATATGTTTCTACCCAGTATTTAACCGAAAGAGTTTAAAACTTTAGTAATTTTATAATTGAGAATAGAAACTGGAGGTCAGAAACCTTATGAATATTTACACAACCATTATTACCATTTATGTATTTCGGGTCAGAAACCTAATTTAATTTAAATTATTGTTTTTAAGACTGAAATTGTTTAAAAGTGAATATTTGCAATAAATATGTATAAGTGTGAATATGTGTAATAGCATTAGAATACTTATCCGTTGTGACAATAATAGTAATAATAATAATAATAATTATTTATTTCTCCTCACAATACATGACAACAAGATACAATATCATAAGTTGGTACAGCTTCAGTAAAAAATTTAATCAGGTAATTGTGCGGAGCTGGTGTCTATTATAGGTGTAAAAAACCAGTATTACAGATCACCAGGTCCTCACCCCACGGAATCAAGCATAGTTAACAAAGCTGGAATAATTGTACATAAAATAGTTTGTCTTAAGTAACATGATAAATCAATTAGAATTACTCAATCTTAAGAATCATTTAAACTCAGTAGCCTGGCTTTTCCAAGGCCGGCACCTATCGAACTTTTAATAGGCGAAGAAAACCGTTGTGAAGAAATCTTATATTGCATTTCTTTGACATATAAAAGTATATATCGTATGGTGTAATACCTTTACCTTACTTATTTACTTATTTATTAATGCTAATTCTTTGCTTAGATGAAATAGTAAATGAAGGAGAGAATCCAACGCCGTGCAACGCCGACAACGAAACAGTTGCGCCCCCTGGGGCGAATGTATGTGCTTCTGACAAGAGCACATGCTTAGAAAAGTGGGAAGGTCCTAATCGGGGCATCACATCGTTCGACAACATTGGATTCGCTATGCTCACCGTCTTCCAATGCATTACCATGGAGGGCTGGACGTCCATCCTCTATTGGGTAAGACGACACATCATTTACCTAAACGGCTCCTAGTAATGTGAAAGTTATTCTGTTTTGGCTGTGAAGAATCGGTGCCAAATGGCATTGATCTATCAATCCCTTTTCAGCCAGGCACTTATACTTATTTTTTATTTCAGACAAATGATGCGTTAGGTAGTATGTTCAACTGGATTTACTTTGTACCGCTCATAGTATTGGGTTCATTCTTCATGCTCAACTTAGTTCTCGGTGTCCTTAGCGGGTAAGTTGTGAGAAATAAATTTTGTATTAGTAACACATATGTGATTTTTTTTATTTTATTAATTTTTATATTTTGTAAAAAAAAAAAACAAACCACGAGTAAATTTTTGGGTAAAACGCAGCGAATTCTCTAACGAAAGAACTCGAGTTGAGAGACGTGCTCAATTCCAGAAGGAAAGAGCTCGGCAGATGTTTAACCAAGATTTTACGGCGTATATCAATTGGATAACAGAAGCAGGTTGGAATAATCAACTGCAATTCCGTAAATAAAAAGCTACTTATGTACAAATATCAAGTTGCTAGCAAGGAGTTTTGTGTGTTTGTCTAGATATTTTGAGTCGTGTATTGTGAGCCGTGATAGCTCAAGGTCCGGGTGCTCGCCTTTGCTCAATATACTCGAGCAACCTGAGTTCGATCCCCGGTGCCGGCACCAATGAAGTTTTTATCTTTAAGTGCTTACTTATCACGTGCTCCGCGGTGAAGGAAAATATCGTGAGGAAACCTGCATATTTTCGAAATAATAACAAAAAATATTTCGAAAATATGTGAAGTCCGCCAATCCGCAGTGGGGCCGCGTGGTGGACTATGCCCTGATACCCTCTGTATAGAGGAGGCCTTTGCCCAGCAGTGGGACATGTATAGGCTGTTAGTTTACTTTACTTTACTAGATATTTTAATATGATCTATAGTGAAAATATGTTTTCGCTTAAATTTTCTTAAATTTTTTAATAACATTCTAAATATTTAAAAATCATAAAAAATATAATATTTGATGAATTTTATGATCCTTGATATTTGTGTGACCTAACTACATTTTATAGAAATATTATATTCTTAATAAATGTCTTAATTCGTATTTATTACATGTTATTGAACGCTAATTTGTTTATTTAGCGTTGAAGTAAAATTGCTAACTAGCTACTATTCACAACAATATGTAATATATTTGTATACGTTCATATGCTAGTATTATATACAACAGAATGTCGCCTCATTGAGATGTAATAAAAATGTTTCATAGTAGCTAGCCTGTCAATAACGCTATTTTGCAGTGAATTCGCTAAAGAGAGAGAGAAAGTAGAAAATAGACAAGAATTTCTTAAATTAAGAAGACAGCAGCAATTAGAGAGAGAACTCAATGGTTATGTTGAGTGGATTTGTAAAGCAGGTGAGGCATATTTTTAAACGCTAATAATTACTTATTTGTATTTTCCAGAAACTGAGTCGTATTTCCAAGCCTTAATAACATAAATAATACGTAAATTAGTAGTAATAAATAAACTATTTTATTATTTACAGAGGAGGTCATATTAGCAGAAGAGAGGACTACAGAGGAAGACAAAATGCATATAATTGAAGGTAATAAGGCGAATAGTTGACTAACTTAAAGGTGAAGTAAAAGGGAGACATATCAATATCATGTAGCAATCATAGAGGGATATAATATCCGAAAAAAACAAATTCCAATCTTAACTGGTGACCTTTAGTTTATAGTAATCAATTTAATATTTTTGTTTCATTCACATGATATTGTTATTATTAACGTGGGTTGTAATTTACATCACCACTTACCTTTATAGTAATAGCAAACTATTTAGGAACACCTGGGTTTACATTTATAATTATATTATGTATAATTGTTCATTGCCTTTTGATTTACTTGAAATTTTGAAACATTAACAAATTTGTTAATTTATGATCAATAGCTCGGAGAAGAGCGGCGGCAAAGAAGAAATTAAAAAATCTTGGTAAAAGTAAGAGCACAGATACTGAAGAGGAGGAACAGGATGAAGACTGTTGTGGGGAGGAAGGTCAGTATACAACGGACTTTTTTTATCTGTATGTATCTTGCTGTGTGTTGTATATTAAATTATATTTCCTTTGTTATTATAATTTTTTCAAAAGTACTTGTTTCTTCTGTCATTGGAATTTTGATTTTATTTCCTTATCCTTTAGCTAAGTAATAGTTTTTCAAAATTATAAAATAAAACTCTCCTGTAAAGCTCAATGTATACTTACATTTAAATAGATAGCTATATCATCGCAATCATTAAAAGTATATAAGAATGTTGCATGTCTCATTGTATCTTTAATCTATTTCTTATTCATTTCATTCTTTACGGTGATGTATTTGTATGTTGGTTGTTTACAGTTCCAAAGAAAAAGCAAGGTATGGGATCAAGCGTGATGCTGGTAGAATATTCCTTTTCATTTTCTATATAGTTGAAATAGTTTAGTTGTAGCTGTAGGCGTAGCGATCCCCAATACCAATCAATACTAACATCGCAGCTTCCCTGATTCCTTTCCTTCAAAATTCTATTCCCTTTCACTTCTTTAGTTATTACTAACATCTATATTATCAGAACTATGAAGTTTGGCAATCCCTTTAATTACATGAACATATCACTGATGTCTTTAAAGTTACCTTAAAATGTTTTACTCAACTTATTGAGATGTAACATATTTCGACAAAGACAATGTTTCTATAAATCATTTACATAAGTAATTTAATTCCTCGAAACAAACAACATTCAGAAGTACAAAAAATAGTGACACGAATTTATTTTTACACTTTTAAGCCATCAGTAAAACAATAACAAAACTCTTTAGATTAATTTACATCGATTTGTTGTAAATATAACACTATACGAATTTGGGAACTAAAACTATAAAACATTTCTTCAAAAATCCCATTCTAACTTAATAATTTGAAACAGGTTTTCTGAAAAGCAAAACTCGTTCTATCGGCAAATGTGCAAACTTTTGGCGAGCGGAGAAGAGGTTTCGATTTTGGATCAGACACACCGTGAAGACGCAGGGGTTTTATTGGTTCGTAATTGTACTGGTGCTCTTCAATACAATATGCGTTGCTGTTGAACACTATGGACAACCTCCGTGGCTCACATCGTTTTTATGTAAGTAAAATTTTATATTTAGTACTTTTGGTAAAGTATATTTAAGGATAACTGTAGAGACACCTTAGTGGTCTAAAATCCTAACCCGAGTCCCGGCGCCAATGAAATCGGTAAAAGCAGTTTTAATCCTCATTTACCTCACATTCAGCCGTGGAGGAAACAACAGTAAAAAAGATAAAGATCATCTACACATAGCTCTATTATAAAGCTATTTTTAGTGTCATAGTGTAAAAAAAGAATATACTTTTAATAATTATTAGTGCCTTAGTGTAAAAATAGCTTTTAAAACAATTTAAACTACTAGTTTTAACCACTATATTTAATAAATTCTTCTTTTCTTTTTATTCTACAGACTACGCCGAATTTGTATTCCTCGGACTGTTCATGATGGAAATGGTCGTGAAAATGTACGCATTAGGCGCACGAATATATTTTGAGTCATCATTCAATCGATTCGACTGTGTTGTTATATCTGGATCCATTTTTGAAGTAGTATGGTCAGAAGTCAAGGGTGGCTCTTTTGGTCTTTCCGTACTTAGGGCGTTAAGATTACTAAGGATATTCAAGGTAAATATTGTTGCTTAGAATCTGTTATTATCCATTTGTATGTATGAAAACGAATATGTTACTAATAAGTATAATTTTTATAGGTTACAAAATACTGGTCTTCGCTAAGGAACCTCGTAATATCTCTACTGAACTCGATGAGATCTATTATTTCATTACTGTTTCTCCTGTTCTTGTTTATCCTTATCTTTGCTCTACTTGGTATGCAGTTATTCGGAGGGCAATTCAACTTCGAAGATGGCACACCGCCGACCAATTTCAACACTTTTCCTATCGCCTTACTTACCGTATTCCAGGTACGTGTCCAGGTATCTGAAATTAGTCGTTAAATCGTTGTTTTTTAATTCTATTTTTCTGAGTGGCTTTCACCTGGAACCTAGCTTGGTATCCTAATAGCTCTAATTACATTTGGTAAACTTATATAGCTGAACAGGGCCACAGACGCTTTTTTTTTCCTTTCCGCTGGATCTTCGGGATAAAAGTATATAACATATTTTCCTGTTCAATAACTATGTTCTTAACAAGTATCAAGTCAATCCATCAGCTAGTTTTTGAGTTTTGTGGACAAAAAGATACGGAAGCTAAATTTTTATATAGAAAGACGATGGTAATAGTAATGACTATACTAATAAATCGAATTTGGAAAGACTGTATTACTAAGAAACTTTTCATTACAGATCTTAACAGGCGAAGATTGGAATGAAGTAATGTACTGCGGAATTCAGTCTCAAGGCGGCATACAGAAAGGCATGATTTATTCGCTGTACTTCGTCATCTTAGTACTGTTCGGCAACTACACACTGTTGAACGTGTTTCTTGCCATCGCTGTCGACAATTTGGCCAACGCTCAGGTTCGGTGCCCTAAACCCTTTCAGACGTACTCTTATATATTTGTACAGATTGCCTAAAAAAGTCAGGTCATGTCTAATGAGAATGATTTTGTCGTGTGTTGATGTTGATGCTAACTGTATATTGACGCTGCTTCTCGCATAAATGTTGCTGTTCTGTGTTTCCAGGAGTTAACAGCAGCTGAAGAGGAACAAGTGGAAGAGGACAAAGAAAAACAATTGCAAGTAAGTTCCCTGCTATGTAATGTTAATTACCCCTTTACCTTAGAATATCATTGTTGGTCCCTTTACGCTTCTGACGGTAGTTCATCACTTTTCCATACACTATATTGCCACTATTTTCCACTATACACTATACTGTATACAGTAAACCTCTAAACGGTTGTTGTATGGATTGTCCAATTCTATTGTTTGGGAATATAGTCAAAATTTAATTTCATACGACAACCTCTGTTTCGGCTAATTAGGAATTGGAGAAAGAGATGGGTGCATTACACGCGGTTGATGGAACTCCACCTCGAGTAGACTTAAGTCCTACATCTGCGGCAAGTAGGAAGGTAAAACACGTCGGTGGTGGTACTCAGCTATGCTTAACCGTGTGCATTGGTTTGGACATTGTAAAATATTGTTGCCTGATTTAATTTACATCCTAGATACATGAAGTATTAGTAATGAAAAGGATTATGTTTGTGTATTAAAAATCTATCCAGGAAGGTAAATTAAAAAGGAAATTGATATAGTAAATTTGATTTACGATGAGAAGACACAATCATTTAATTCAACAATATTTTTGTCATTGTCTGAGAAAAGCAAATCAGTGTCGCTTATGTGAGTCGACTTTTGATAGGCGTTAATTTACACTTATCAAACTTTATGAAATAATTAATATAACAGTAGAATAAAATGAAAATATTGTTTTTACTTTACTAACATCTTAATGGCTTACAGGTTCTATTATGCTATTATTTATATATTATTTCATTAGAATCTTTACGCATGTGAATTTTTAATTATTTTCTTTTTGTTAATGAGCGAATAAAAATCAACTTAATTAAAGTCAATTTTTTTATTTATTTAATAGCTAAATAAGAATTATAACTAACGCTTACATTTCTTTATCCATATTTATTTATCTTGGAAATGATACTTATTACACATCTAACAACAAATTAAATTGTAATCCTATAACTAGAGATGTAAGTGCCCAAAATTTTTTTTTGTTTACAATGGATAACATAAATAAACTGATCATTTCAGAACAAAAAGAAGGAAGAGGCCAAAAAGGAAGAAGAAGAGATACCAGATGGACCAAAACCAATGCTGCCATATTCGTCAATGTTTATTTTATCTCCCACTAATCCGTGAGTAGCTTATCAATAAACAAATAAAATAATAGGACGACAAGATCTCATTTCAATTGTGTTTTGTTACAGAATTAGGCGAGGCGCACACTGGGTTGTAAATTTAAGATATTTTGATGTTTTTATCATGTTAGTTATATGTATGAGTTCAATGGCTTTAGCGGCAGAAGATCCAGTAGTTGAAGAGAGTGAAAGGCAAGTCACAGATTTATAATAATTATAATAAAAATATGTAAATTCATCAATAATAAAAACTTAACCTCAGCACTGAAAATCAGCGTATTAGCTTTTACTGTAACCTTCTGCTGAGTTGACAAAGAAAGAGTAGGTAAAAACCTATGATGTACAAGTAGTCAAACAGTAAAATCAAAAATATTGGAGGTTTATATTATACATACATATTTTTTTTTACTATTGATATAAATGAGTGTTGTGTTTGCCAGTGTTGTGTCAAATAAACTTCTTTCTTTCTGTCTGCTACCATACCATAGTCTTGTACGATAAAAAAATGAGGTTCTTTCCCATCACTGTATTCTATATTATACTACTACTTATATCGTGGTAAAATATAAAGTAAAGAATATCATTATATGAAAAAGATTACGTGCTCATCTATATCACTCGCTACCATAATACGAGTATCATAACGTTTGTATGTGTATGTATCACAGATACACGTTTTCAGTCAAAAAAGAGGCTCTTTTTTTGTTTTGTCCATCTCTTTGAGAATGTTCACTTCTACTTTGATTAACTATCCTTTTTACCGAATTTTAGAAACAAAATCTTGAACTACTTTGACTACGCGTTTACGGGGGTGTTCACCGTGGAAATGCTGCTCAAGATCGTCGACCTCGGCATACTGTTCCACCCGGGCGCTTACTTGCGTGACTTGTGGAACATCATGGATGCTGCGGTCGTCATCTGTGCGCTTGTTAGCTTCGGTTTCGAAATCGGGTACGTTCTGAAACATCGCCTCTTCTTCTTCTTTCCTTAACACTTTGGAAATTGTTACTGCTAGTCATATTACTTCGCAAAAATTCGTTGTTAATAATTGAATTTCTTTCCGTTTTAGGGGTGTTAAAAAAGGAGCAGGACAGAATTTGTCTACAATAAAATCGTTAAGAGTATTAAGAGTGCTAAGACCTTTAAAAACTATAAAGCGTGTTCCAAAATTAAAAGCAGTGTTTGACTGTGTAGTGAACTCTTTGAAAAACGTCATTAACATTCTCATAGTGTATATATTGTTTCAATTCATATTCGCTGTAATCGCAGTGCAACTTTTTAATGGTAAATTTTTTAACTGCAACGATATAAGTAAGAATACTCTTCAAGACTGCCAGTAAGTATTATAATTACAATTTTCTATTAGTCTTATTATATTATACTTCATCTAATTAAAGTATTTACATACATTATGATAAATAATACATTTATGGCGCAGTTTATTATTTTAAATAAATTTAAACGTCCATTGATAATGTATAAATCAAACCAATTGTTCAGTCGAATTTTTTGTTCAATGAATCGTAAATATTTAAGAACTCATTTTATTTGTTTAATTATCATTGTTTTGTAAAAAAATAGTTCTCAACACAATTAGCGTACAGTATTAGGTGATTATCGTAACTATTAACTGATATATATTCGCAGGGGGTCGTATTTCGTCTACGAGGCGAATAGTTTGCTGCCGCGTGTAGTCAAACGGAGGTGGGATACGCAAGCGTTCCACTACGATAACGTCGCGTCTGCGATGCTTACGCTTTTCGCAGTACAGACTGGTGAAGGATGGCCGCAGTAAGTTTTTAGAATAAACTTTCTTTGAATACGCTTGGGTAAATTTTTAAATCAATGTAAAAAAGCACAGTTGCGAACCGTGATCTAAGAAGGTTTTAAGTCAAAATTAAACATAGACAGAGTTTCGGTGACTCAAAGAGAGTTGACGTCAGGCAGATCCTAAACTCGACATAATCGCCTAGCCAATATCATTAACAACATTATTCACATGTTGCCTCCACCTGTGTAGGATACGGGTAGGAGAGAGAAAGGACGGAGGATTGGGTCCTACCATCAACTTTTGATCATATAATTAATAAAATTAAATATAAGCCCAAGCACATCACCACTGCAAGACTGGTTTAATCAGCACTTACTGCGTAAATCAGACATAAAATTAATTTAACAAACTGGCGATGGCCCGGGTAAATAATGACATTCAGTCTTCTAACGCCTCAGTCAGTTCCGTGAACATGAACGTTGCAAAATATTCGAAACGTTTAAAATTTAAATTTAAAACAAAGCAATAATTTCGTATAATTAGTTTTATATAATAATAGTATTTATATGTAATAATATTATAAAAGGACATAGATTAATGTGACAATCCCATGTTAAAAAAAATTATATGCAAAGATTTACATATTGCTTTCTCTACCCTTTACTAACTTATAAGTAATCTTTCATTAACAAATCACCCTATTGTATTAGGAAGTTTACAAACATGAATTGCATAGAATGGAATTATTTTCCTATATCACTATGCTACACCACATTTTTATGAAAATTTAAAATAAAATCATAATAATTTACTATTATTTTCACAGGGTGTTGCAAAACTCAATGGCGGCTACGTATGAAGACAGGGGACCCATACAAAATTTTCGTATAGAAATGTCCATATTTTATATCGTTTACTTTGTGGTGTTTCCGTTCTTCTTTGTTAACATATTCGTAGCTCTTATAATTATCACATTTCAAGAGCAGGGTGAAGCTGAACTTCAAGATGGTGAAATAGATAAAAATCAGGTTTGTGCAACAAAATATATATATCGCATTTTTAAGTAGCTTTGTACAACGTCTGGGGATATGCAAAAATTATCTTTATTAAATTTGTTTCTCTGTTCGCAGAAATCGTGTATCGATTTCACGATAGAGGCACGCCCTCTTGAGAGGTATATGCCCAGTAAGCGAGGAAGTTTTAAGTACAAAGTGTGGAGAATAGTCGTCTCTACGCCTTTCGAGTACTTCATCATGACCCTTATCGTCCTAAACACTTTGTTACTCATGATGAAGGTATGTATACAATGTTAAACAATAATTATAATAATATACAGCTTACGTATCTTAAGTATATATCCAAAGATACATATTTGACATTATCATGACACTAATTGAAAAAAAAAAAACCAAGAAGACAAAACAATTAAAGCACTTAGTAACTAATGTTTAAGGTAGAAGCAGGGAAAACGTAACGAATTCACATGGCACATTAATTTTAAGTTAGATTAGAACCAAAGTCTGTGTTGTCAGCCTATTCACTTGGCATTTCTAGAGAGCAAACTTGTTGGTGTGTGAATGTTGCGTAATCGTAAAGACCTCTCTAGCTTGGTGTTTTTTGTAAACGTTTGTACGTCTCTATCAATCAATTTCCATTGGCAAAATTTCCTGAAGTATTATTTTCTATACCGCCAAAAGGTAAAAATTGAATCGGCAAGCGCCTGTACTGCCTCCTGTTCTCATACTAACACCACACATCACATACTCACACATCGACACAATGCATAGTATACAGCGTGGTAAATTCCACCTGTGATGCACACACACACACACACACACACACACACACAATGCAATGTAATGCGCCGTGTTTAATATCCGGCCGAGCCTATCCCTTCATTGTGCCACCAGGATTATTTGTTTTCTCCTATGATTTCCGTGTTCTAATACATGATCCTTTTGTGAGTCCTTGCTTGCTGTAAGTTATTTATGTATTTTATCGTTATATAAATGTTATGCACGTTACGAGAAAACTACCTGCACATTTACAGCACATGGGGGGAACACTGTTTTATTACTTGTGCTTGTAAACGCACAATATATCCAGGATCTGTCTGGCCGCGGCATGCGTGCCATCTATGTTGTTGGTGTTGCATGATGTAACTTAAATAAACTTCTTGATGTTATCAGTGTTAAGTATGTGCATGAGTGTAGAACGGCGAAACAGCCAATATACCATTTGGTGGCTTTAAGCTGCTTCTTGTAACTCCTTTAATAAAATATACAAACTAAAAAGGTGATAGGTTCATGTGTCATCCTTAGTGGATCTTAAATATTCTACGCTTACTTATTTATGTCCTATTATTTGAAAACGTAAACATGTTTATAATCAATTTGTTTAATCATTTTCTGGCATGTAACGTTTAACCTATTTTACGTTGTCTTTCTTTATTTATTTTACTTTTGGTTTAAATAGTACAGGTCATTATTTTAACAGTGAAATAGTACGTTCCTTAGTATATCAGCCGTTTCAATAATGCCCCTTTTGTTTTTTTTTTCTTCCTGGAAATACTATAATACCCTACATAGATAAATACAATTCCATACTTAACATTCATACTTTATCCTGTTGTTAAATCACATAATCATTAACTTACCCATCAAGTAAAATAAATGTATTTTATTGGGCTTTTCCAACACGCATTCACAAAATGGCAGTACTATAATCAAAATGATCTCTACTCGGATATCCTGAAGTATTCGAATATGGGATTTACTGGAATGTTTTCCGTGGAAACTGTGTTGAAAATCATCGCTTATGGTGTCAAAGTAAGTACACGAGAGCAGTATAGCTGACTGACACTTTATTACTAAAAAAAATCTCAAATATATAACATTAATAACTAATACAAATGTACACTTTCTTTTGACAATGTGTTGTTTTCAACATGTAACACGACCGTATGGAAATATTCTTGGAACGTTTTAAGATAATCCTATCCGAACATCCTCTGCTGGTTTCTCTCTAATAATAATATGTGTATCTATTTCTACACTAATAAATACTGTCAACGCATTATGTTTAACGCATGGCCTATTAACGCATGGTTTCCGGTTAAACACTAATATATGTCTAACAGAAAATGCTTTACTAACTGTGCGTCTTAATTTAAGCCTATGTTCAGATTTTCGTCTACCAACGATTTTGAGAAAAGGTAAGTTGTCTTCGCTGTGTCTGTTTTTTCCGTAATATTTATGTTTTCCGTTTGAGGCCTACTGTATCCTGCCTATAACTCCCTGCGAGTTGATTTGCTTTAAACATCCGCCATCTCTGCATACGAAATCCACATATATATGTTGTAACCCTTCGAGCATGTTTGTATAATGGGCTCTGCATGAAGCACGTGCACTAGCCACGAACCACGTATTTAATCAACACAATTCGACTATTGGCTCAATAATGTTCCGATTCAAAACAAAACACACACAAACACACAAAACCGTTACATTGTTATTGTGTGACAAATCAATTTAGCTATTTTTAATTATAGTGGGTAGAACAATGAAATAATTTACCTTGACTTTGTGAGCTAAATGCTAAAAATGAACCAAAGATTATTCAAATACATGCTAAAAGAATTAAGACACTGCTCGATAAACAAAATACGAAGCACTTTTGAAACAGTTTGAAGGTTCTTTAGCATTTAACTTTAATATTGACTTTTCAAGGTCTATAAAATTGTTTGGTCTTGATTTGTGTTAGTTTCACGAGGCTCCACCAGTACTCATGGACACGTTAACATTCATGAACATCGTCTTTACGTTCTTCTTCCTACTCGAGACCGTTTTGAAGCTAATTGCCTTCGGATGTACGGTAAGAGTTTGAAATTTTAAATTTAAGCATATTAATAGCTACAATATCATACATGGAGTTGTAACAATTTTAATGATGTTATACAAAAATTGTTTAAATTCTATGTAAATTAATAAATTATCAATCACCCGATGAGTAAAACGATTCATAACTTTCGTCTATAAATATATTTCATATACCTAAAAAATAAGCTCTAGAGTTTCGTTACTTACTCAATGAGCGATTGTGTCAATTGCGTTTGCCACTTATTTACACATTTCGAAAATATACTAGTTTAGCTTACGAAGTTCAACATTGACTTGAATATGACTAGAACTAATATTATAATTATGATCGATATTTTGGGATGCCGCTTTTTTATTAAAACACAGGTTCTTAATAGTTTTACAATTTCACATCGATTTTGCCTAGCGATTTAATTAATATCGTTTAGATTTGTTGAATATGAGAGAAATCTCCTCGTTCCCATCCTCGATTTATCCTATGTGCAATCCGTGTTTAATACAGAAAGCGTACATTTGTATACAGGTATAGTTTTCTTCTGGTCAACAGTAATATTAAAAAAGTATTATTTTTGTTCTATTTCTACTGCAATATGAATCTCAGAACTTCGCTAGCGAGTTATTTAAAAACTAAATTTTTTTATATTTTAAATAATTTTTCAAAAATAATAATTCATTAAATATGTGTATTTCTTTGTTTTAATAACTTTTGAAAAAGATTTTAAAGTAATTTTTTTGAGAATATTATGAAAATATTTTATTATGTTTGCAGAATTTTTTCAAAGATCCATGGAATATTTTCGATTTCATAACGGTCATTGGAAGTATTATTGACGCTCTCATAATGGAGTTTGGAGTGAGTACCTTGTATACATATTTCATTTTATTATTTTTACTCCCGGATGAACTGATTTTCAAGTATCTAATTGTATTTTCTGGAATTTTATGTAAAGGAAATATCATTATTCCAGAGCGACCTCGCTGAAAACTGTGCTGACATATCCTGTCAGCAGGTAAAATTTTATCTTTTGACTGCTAGGATTATTAGTCTAGTACTTGAGTCCGGTTTGTATTGAACTTAGACGAAGTTTTAATATACGAAGGAATTCGTTATTAGTAGAGCTAGATTTGTTAAATTTATTGATTGTATAGACGCAGGAGGAACTACCTTCCTAACTAAATATTTTCCAGGTTTTTAGTAAGCATTGGTTCTTTTGAAAAAAAAAATTCTATGAAAGAAGGAATATAGAAAGTATTTTCACTATATAGTATTGGTGTAAGCTACTTATTTATACACTTGGTACTGAGTAACATTTGTTGTGAAAATAAATTATGTCAGAACTAGGAAATTTAGACTGGCTTAGATTCAATAGTGTAAAGGTGTGGTAGGATATTCAGGACCTACTAGAGCTTTTATTCGATATTGTATTGAATGGTGTGATAGTTTATAGAAATCCTGTGATGTGTTATTGTTACTTATTACAACTGTAGAGTCGCTAGACCATTGACGCTTTTTCTTACACCTTTTTTTGCGTTTGCAATTCGCTTAGTCTTGAATGTTCGGAAAATCATTTTGAATTAATAAACAACGTTAGATTGAGTAATGAAATATGATTCAGTATCATGCGTTGAAGTCGCGGTTTTAAATCCTAGATGAAATGCGTGGTAAAAATTATATCTCACATTTGCCCCAGCTTTTTACAAACGACTGACGGCGTTTCCTAAAAGGTGAGAGTAGAAACTTTGATAAAAGACATAAAGTTGTTTTTGTTTTTTCAAGTAAAGCATTAATGTGTTAAACTTTTAAAAGTATATTCAACAAGCCTTTGTGAATTGCATCTTTCCATTTTTAATGAGATAAAATTCGAACCCTTAGTTATTGACGAGAATACATAATATTAATAGGTATATTTCAAATTTCGTGTAGATTGTGAGAAAAACCGTTCAAATTCGTAATTACTGTACTAGCCTTAACTCGTGTTTTTATCTCTAGTAAGCTAAACGTTAGTTCTTTTTTTATTTATGTTTCAAATGTATTACCTACCTTTATTGTAACACCACAGTTAAATGATAACAGAATTCTATAGTAAATTGATAAACTAGAATCGAGCGATTTGTGCGACTTTACAAGGCATAAGTTAAGTACACGCGAGCTGGTAAATGTGTGTTGTTTTAACGTTTTTCGCATTCCTGACGGTATTGGTGTAGTAACGATTGATTGGATAACACGGCTGATTTCAGGAGAACACGTTCAACGTTGGTTTCCTTCGCCTGTTCCGAGCCGCGCGACTGATCAAGCTGCTCAGACAGGGCTACACAATTCGGATACTTTTGTGGACTTTCGTGCAGAGTTTCAAAGCCTTACCCTACGTGTGCCTTCTTATCGCCATGCTGTTCTTCATTTATGCTATAATCGGAATGCAGGTGTGTTACTTTTGACTGTTAAGTTTTATTCTAATTATGTATCGTTACTCTAAAGAGTGACTGGTATGTGGTTTGACGGTGTAATGCTAGAGGAAGACCGAGAAAGATTTGGATGGACTGTGTGAAGAATGATGTGGCTGTGAAAGGGGTGAGTATTGAGATCACGGCTGCGTGACAAAAGGGCAATAATAATTTGCTTTTTTTACTACCATAATTTAAAAAAGGAGAGTAATCAAATGGAACAGTAATCGAACTAAATTTCGGGTGCACGTAATAAAAATGTTTTTACTTGACATTAATTTACTTTTTTTAAATTAAATTGGAATATAATAAATCAGTAAAGTTGTTAAAATCGCACTGTATCGTATATACGAACATAAATGTGTTTAAAATAAAAAATATTAAATTTAGTTCATATGAATGTTTATACATAAGGAGTAGTCCATTGCACCATATTGATAGAAAGTATGTATTGTATTGTTATTTATATTAATTTTATATCTTATTTATTTTTTATCGCAGGTGTTCGGAAACATAGAAAACGCGCCTGAAACATCAATGAATAGGCATAACAATTTTCAAAGCTTCATTCAAGCACTCATGTTATTGTTTCGGTAATGTACAAACACTTATTGATGACTAATTTTCGATTTCATTATGACATTAAATTCGATTTGAAATACATTAGTTACAGTATATTGAAAACAAATAAGTTATTAGTTATGTTAATAATATAACAAATTATAATAAATGTCATATAGTTGCATTGACTAATTGTGTACAAAGTCTGCACCCCAATTCACTTACCACAGCTATGACTGTAGTAATACAATGTGGAATTGTAACTATTGGTTGAACCTTTTTCTTTTATGTGCGAAGGCGGCTAGTGAGCTGGCGATTCCCCCGATGGTAAGTGATAATCACCGCCCATGGACATTTGGCACACTCGTAGGATTGCAGATGCGTTGCCACCTTTTAATCTAATAAAGTGGGCCCCGGCTACCTCATTCACTAGATGAAACGCAGAAGTATAATACTTGTACATCACGCCGGTCTTCTGTGAGGTCGTAGTACTTCCCCAGACGGCAGGTCCGTCCCATTCGTGATACGGCGTAGGCTTATAGATTTCATCACATCCGTTCAATTTTGAAACATTATGACCATGTAATACTACTGATGCTATTTTATTATCGTTAGATGCGCGACGGGGGAGTCTTGGCCGAACATTATGTTAGATTGCTTAAAACCGGCGAAATGCGACGAGAAAGCCGGAAAGCCTCCTCAAGAAGAATGTGGGAGTACACTTGCCTACGCATATTTTGTTTCCTTCATCTTTTTCTGTTCTTTCCTTGTAAGTATCAATCTTGAAATGTACAAAATCATCTTGTAATTTGTTAACTAACAATCCCTACAGTAAAAAAAAAATACCGGTAATTCTTTTGCCATGTTTTTACAACACACTTGTCTTTGTGATATTAGCTGATGCAAAAGTCCCAAATTTCTAAATTTTTTCAACATGACTTGCTTTTTGTTACCACTTACATCGTTTTAATTTAACTTGTCCAGATGTTAAATTTATTCGTTGCCGTCATAATGGATAACTTTGACTACTTAACAAGAGATTCGTCGATTCTCGGAGCACATCATCTCGATGAATTTGTTAGAATTTGGGCTGAATACGACCCAAACGCCACGTGAGTAGTACTCAATAATTTCAACTTAACACTTGTTTAAAGAAAATGGGATATTAATGCAATTTCTCTAATATTTTATAAAAATTCAGGGGGAAAATTCATTACACAGAAATGTATGATATGTTGAAGAATATGGATCCGCCGTTGGGGTTTGGCAATAAATGCCCCAATAGATTAGCATATAAAAAGTTAATAAGAATGAACATGCCACTAGACGAAGAGGGGAAAGTGAACTTTACTACTACACTTTTTGCCTTAATCAGAGAAAACCTCAATATCAAGATGAGATCTGGTAATTACCCAAATATAATGAATGAAATTTAATACTTATTTGTGTCTTCAATACAATAACCACGATTAAAATTCTCCTCGAAGCTGAAGAAATGGATCAAGCTGATCAGGAGTTGAGACAAACCATTACGCAGATTTGGCCCCTCCAAGCGAAGAAGATGTTAGACTTGCTGGTGCCTCGCAACGATGTTCTTAATGCAGGGAAACTGACAGTCGGGAAGATCTATGCAGGGTTACTTATTCTAGAGAGTTGGAGATCAACTAGGTTTGGTCAGACTGAGCCACAAGGTGTTCCGGTAAGCCACTTAATTAGCACTACTTACTACGCACCGTATTTCTTTTATATCTTACATTGTACTTTCTTAGAAACTAAAGTCGCGTCAAGTTTTCTGTAGATTTAAATGGAGCCAAATTAATTCTATTGGCTACGGACTGTATTATTCTGCACAGATTTTGTAACTTTGAGCCAGATGTAACCCTAAATTGATAGGTAAACTACACTTTTGAGAGTAGCGTTTGTTGCCCCCCTAATTGTTGTTCCTTATATTTAGTTTACAAACTGCCATATAATAGTTAGTTGTATAGAATTTGTGTTGTGTTCCTGTGGATGTATTGTTGTGCAAAAATGTGTTTTATTTATGTAACTACAGAACACCTTGTTTAAACAAATTAATTAATTTTTCTCCATACAAAAGTGTGTCTACGGACACGACAACAATACAGAGTCACTTTAGTTGAAATCGGCTCTGTCGAGTCGACTACATTGGTGGTTTACTTTTCAGGCATTCAGCGAGAATAGCCCTACGGCCAATCAGCCGGTAGTATTTAAATATTTACGGAACGAATCTTAAACTTTCCTGCACTGTTATAGTTTTACTCTTTTATATATTTTTTATAACTCAACTTTTATCGCATCTTGTTTGGATTTTTTAATAATAAATAAAATTACCATAAAGACGTGATGGTTAAAATAATAATAATTAATAGATACATTTTATATTTAAGTAGTTTAGTGAACGAAATCAGTCGAGAATAGTTTAGATATAACATCGCACATTCCAAATTAAACTAGACAATTTTGTGCTCATTTAGCATAACGTTGTCAATCAAAAAAATTAAGGGCATCGTAAACCACGAATTAGTGACCTGTCCTATAGTTGCAAAATTCGTAACTAGAAATTAGAAAATTTTGTGTATGTGTGAAGAGTTCATTTCTTGTAGCACTAGAATTGTGTCTTTTGTAGATTTGATTATATTTCTTGTTTGTGTCGTCTCAGTTTCCATTTTGTGCTTTATTTTCTAGGTTGACGATTTACAAGATTTCTTTCAGTGTTCCTTATAAAGTCTAAATCTATATCAAATAATGTTTAATCTATAAAAAGGCAGGGTTTTGCATGTTCATTTTACTACATGTGAACAATGAAAGTTTTTGTTGTACCTACTTGATTTCGATATATAAACAATTTTATTATTTTAACCTTACAAAATAAGAAAGCCGTCTTTTTGCTTCCTCCTTTGTTCTATTACTTTAGTATTTCCTAAATATTTTATATGTTCATTGTGCATGTCTGAAAAGCGTACTATGAAATCATAAGACAAACTTGACGCAAAATATTTGTTCGTCCAGCAACAGAAAACTATCTCCGGCTTAAAAAGTAATGCACAATTTTCAAATTTGGCACCCAAGCAATTGCTTTTTAAGTTTATAAGTTTTAATGCTAATGTCCTATATATTTTATTTTGTTTTTACTTTCCCAATAATCTTCAGGGTCAAATACAACACTCCTACATTAAACATGTTACGGTTGTGTTCTCAGATCTGCCTCTAGTTGCGTCCATGTTCATAAACATAACATTTTATACTTCCACCGTCCATTCGTTGGAATTCTAAATACACTTTACATACACACGATCCGAAATACACATATTCGTAATGACAAAAGAACTCCAGCGTGGACAAGGTGTGAGAAATGTTTGCGCAACCTCATGTAGGCTTTAGGCGTTAGAGCATTGCCAGCGGTTGTACCCAGAGCATTTACATCGAGTGACATGAGAATGCGCAAGTGTTAGGTTTTCGGGGTGGGTGCGTTATGTGGGGTGCGTGGTGCAGAAGGCGTCCTTCTTTAACTGCCTGCTGGACGTGGCCGCGGGACTTGGGCCTGGATCAAGAACAGGCTCTCTGAGTCAAGAAGGCCCCCTTATCACAACCGCGGAGAGCCACCCAGACGATCCCCATACTTTAGCCAACTTCGCAAGACGCAGTACCAGAAGATCTTTCAAGTAAGTTTTAAATCTGAATGGTTATGTTATCGATCCTTAATTGTTATTTATGTTAAAAGAAACACGTATATGATTACTAGAAGGTGATGGCTGACTTCAATGAAATAAACTAAAGTTTGCCAGTATGTAGACCAGGCGCAAGAGAAACCCTATGTTTTTTTTTTTTTTTTTTTTTCAAATTATCTTGTCATCTGGTTTTTTACTTTGGAGTTCCGCATCCGGCTTAGACACAATATTTATATTACAAAAGCAAGCCATACGACCTTTATTAGGGGATTTGAAGCAAATAAACATTTTAACGCTTCCGTGGCTGTAAATTTTCGAGAACATAATGTTTTTTGCGCAATGATACCCTTATTTTTACAACAAAACATATCACATCGTGTCGGGGCCGTGGCGACACTGAAAGTGCAGAGTTGTAGACTAGCTAAAACCAGAAAATAATGTAACTATTAACATATGTAATAATGTTAGTGATATCAAACAAATAAATGTAAACATGTTATTGTGTATGCATTATTATAGCTTCGTATGATATTAATTTTCTTTCAAATAACCGCATTGAATGAACAAATTTATTAACAATCACTTTCACTTGTTTCAGGAACAATAAAAAGGTGATTACTTACTCCCAAAGGATGAACATGTTGACCCAATCATTATTGTTTTTTACATTTAAAACGAACATTAATAAAAATATTATACTACTACAGCCAAAATTATAACCGCAACTTTTGTTTATGTGCAGTGTTGCAAAATGCCATTGGAAAATCGATTATAACGCCTCCTAACCTTCTTAATGTTCTGGGTTAAAAATGTTCAGTTCTTAAAGTATCCGCTATTGGGTGTGTCGTTTAGAAACAACCATACAGATGCATTCCATTTGTAATAGATAGTTGGTGTTGTTATATGTTAGCGAATCGCTGTTTCGGTGTTTTGTTAGTTAAGAGTTAAAATTGATGGTATTGAATATTGTATGTATTAGCTAAGATTTTAAGAAAACAAATAGGCTAAGTTTTTGGTAAATGACGCTAGTTAGGGGCCTAGACCCACAATGTTAAATAGATATATTGAAAAATGTTATTAATTGTTTCAACTTTACAGATGGTTGTTGATATTTTTGGTAAAGTGATCAGTAATATTTAGGGTTTACTTTTTACAAAAATGTAGAGAATAGAAAACTTTTTAAGTTATAACTAGTATATTCTACTATATTTTGGTTGTATAATGTATTTTTTTTTTGTCTGATGAATAATGAACTAAAATGATTGAATACCTTAGCGAGCACTTTCAGAATCAATACACGAACACTCCAACATTACAGTCATGAGCATTTTTACTAACTAAATGACATGAAAACAGAAGTTCTATTAGAGATATAAATATAATTTGCATGAAATGTTTATAGCATGTTAACATTGCATGGTTTAATAGTTTATCTTGCACTAGCTCTGAGGTTTTGGGTAAGTACGTAATTGATGTTATAGTGCCTGCAGCACAAGCACGGTACGCATTGCATGTTTTGCATATCACACATTTGTGTGTTTGCGTTGGTGTTGTGAAAATAATGCTGATTTTGTAAATATGGGACAGTAAGTTATAACGTCAATATTTTAGACATCGTGTTTATTGCCCCCTTTCCCTTGAGCGACAGAAACATGATCTATATCTAATTATAGGTTCTGGAGCTACAAGATGTTGAGTCGCATCACGCATCCATAGAATCCTTAGATGAAGCAAGGTTACAGCCACCGCACGCTTACCAAAATGGGCATCAGGGGAGATCGTCCAGTTTAAGGTATTCCACACATTTTAATAGTATTTTCCTTTAGTTCCCTTAATATCTTGCACTTATTGTTTGTTTTTCGTTTTATTTTATTTTTTTATTTATAGTGCCCTCAATGATACGACGCAAGAGAGAGTTATCGTATTGCGACGTGGGTATGTCAAATTTGCCCGAAATATGAACTAAATTTTTATATTATTTGATAATACTAACATTTTATTAACAGCATGCTGTATTCGTATAACAAACGTTTGATTAACAGAAATCTAGCCGCATACAAAATGTTTAAATTTTGGTGTAAGATCATATTGATCGCAAAAATGTTTTAAATTATAGTCTTTATGTGTTTTTCTCCAATAATTTAGGTTTTATAAGGCCGTTACTAATTACTGTGATTCATTCTACTTCTTTTTACTAATCCTCCCTTCTTTATTAATAATATGCTAAGTACATCTTTATTGCTACTACATCTTCTGGTTCCACCGATGCTTGACCTCTTTATTTATAAAATGATTATGTCAATTCCTTGGTTTCATCGGGATTCCGGTAAGTTTTCGACCGGTCAGAAATAGTCATTAGTATTTAAAGACATTTGAAAAATCGCAGACGGACTCCAAGCCCGCGGAGGCGTGGCCATTACGGCGGCTATCACCACGACATCGGGTTCTCCGACACTGTTAATAATGTCGTCGAGATAGTCAAACACGAGCACCAAAGACACGGGCGGACACACCGAGCTCCTCACCACTATCACCCACATGGTAGGTGCATTTCACGAAGCTCGTAAATCGCTAAATAACATAAACACAAACTGTAATGTTCCAAGGTACCGTCATGTAAATCTGCTGGTATCTTTGAATTAGCCTAGTCCCTCAATAGCAGCAGATTTACTTTACCGGCTTCAAGCTACTGCAGATATTCAATAATGACGTTTATGACGAAATTTAGAATACCGAGCTATGTATACGCCTTAATCTTCATATAGTATTTATACACATCGAAATAAATAGCGTAAATATTCATTAGCTTCGATTTAATTGACAAACAGTTTTGCAAACATTTTTCTTCTCATAAAGGTACTCTGAAAGTTTTGTGAGAAGACGACTTTAGCTTTATAGTAGATTTAGACACTCATGTTCTGTAGTTGTAGTTTTAAGATCAACAATCGACGCCGTCGTGCTGTTAAGCAACAATTGGTTTAATTTAGAATTAGATTGTATAATCTAGCTATTTATATTGGACCACAAGCTAGTTTTGTAAAAACGTTATTAGTAGCTAAATTTTAGTTCTATTCGATTAATGCTCTATCATATGCTAATTATTTATTGTTAGATATATATTGTTATATAATAGATTACCAGAATTTGTATTTAAAATTTTAGATTAAGTGGACTGAAAATTGATAAAAAAATTTATTCACAAAATTGACCATATTGTTAATTACATGTAAATTTACCAACAATATAACTTAGAAACATATGTTTATTATATTATAATAAAATATTTTGCCTGCTGCATGCTAATATTATTTTGGTGCCCATAAAATAATAGAATGTGACCTGCACCTGATTAAAGTAATGATTTTATCAATTAAAATAAATTCTGATTAAGAGGGCCTGAAGCGCATGTGCATTAAATATTCCAAAATAATTCATGCAGCATGTAAAAGCTTATAAGATTATAAATAGTGCGAATTTGTGAAATTATGTAGATATTTTAGAAAACTTTACCTAAAGTATTGTAAAATTTTAAGAAAATACAAAAAAAATCTTTGTCACAGCAAAAAACTGAAACACCATATGGACACACAACTTATTCCATACAGAACAAGATACCCATTCCTTGATTTTCCACACCCATTTCCACAGCCTTGCCCTCTTTGACAGACACCCAAAAACTTTTAGAGTCACCTTTGTGAGCAAGGAAATTAGGTCGGTAATCCGATGGCCTTAGCGTAAAGCGTGGTGGAAGGTACATGAAGGTATTCCTGACAGCAGGGAAGGAGTGGAGGACGCCGCATCCCACCACCAGCCTGAGCCAGCCCTCGAGGTCACCCAGCCCGCCACACCACACCTACGGTGAGATCCACTCGCCACTCGCCACACACATCGGACCTCACTCACCACAAACCACACGCAATGCGCTTTATTCCGAATCCCAAAGAGCTATTGTAAGCGAAAATGAGCTAGCACCGAAATACATGGTGATGTTATCGATAAATATTTTATATAGGTTCTGCAATATTCAGTTCTAGCTCGCTTTTGAAATCTCCACCTTTATCATTCCGTTCACAGAACATTGCAAAAGTCTAAATTGGAAAATTAAGTGTAATAAAACTTATTTACGGTTCCTCCGTTGGAAACATTTCGAAACCTATCAGGAAACAAACATTGTAAAGCAAAAGGTCTGTCCTTGAAATTGATTGGCTTTTTTGTCACTAAAATGGAACGCCTTCGAAGACCTTTTGCTAATAAGTTTCTATAAAGCTTATTATATTACACGATTATAAAGATTGGCTTATGCGTATTTATGTCTAGCGAAAGGGGCGCTTGCTTTTACGGAGCATATAATTTTATAAGAAAATTGTTTGCACATCTGTTTATGTGAATAAAAATGAATTCATCATTGGAATCCGAATGTTACTTTTTTTTTGTTTCTTCTGCATCGAGCTTCGTGTTCACGGAGAGGTTTCCGTTTCACGTGTCCGTTGATTGTCCAGTCGTGCTTGCCCGAAGGAAGGACGATCGAGTTATTCAAAGAACAGTTTGGGCACCCATAGTTGGAGATCGGGAACGCGAGTGGAGGGAATGGCGGGACCGGTCCTGGGAACGCGAGGGGGCGAGGCGAGGCCGGGGCCGTCAATTGCCCCCAACGCCCACCAAGCCGTCCACGTTACAAGTCAAGCAGCAGCCACCGTTCACAAGAATCAGCCACAGCCCCTCACACGTAACTATTAATACCCTAGTCGAGCAGGCGACGATGAAGTATTCCGCGCCGATGTCACAATGATAATCCTTTTCTTTACAGTTATCGTTACGGCATACGGTGAGAGAGCCCGTAGAGCCCTTGCACGATGAATATGAGTACGGCAGAGAAGTTGAAAGACTGATACACAGAGATTATAGATCTAGGGAAAGGTAAGAGTCAGTTTTCTACCCCATTGTTTGTCATAAAGTTTAATTAATGATCTACAGCAAATATAAGTTTTATTTGTTATGTCATAATAATCTAACGAAAAAATGTATTCTTTTTTCATGCAGGCTGGACCTTATTCTTTCTTATTTATTGTCGAAGTCGACTAAAAACTGACAATATGTACACATTAGAAAAGCTGTCCAGCTGCGTTATGCAGTCAATCTATTCTTACATATTATCAAGATTTTTAAAACTAACATAAATGATGACTCCAACTGATCTTCCGACATAGGGATCTCCTATGGTCTTGTTTATTATGTACTAGCGGGTCGTCGCAGCTTTGCACGGGTGAAAGTTTATTTTTTTGCACCTCATTTTTTCTAGTAATTAATATAGCCTAAGTTACTCAGGGATAATGTGTAACGTTCTAATGATGAAAGAATTGAAATCGGTCCAGAAATTTTTGTGTTTATTCGTTACAAAAATTCAGTACAAATGTTTCCTCTTTAGAATATTAGTATAGATTAATAAAAGCTCCATCTGACCTTAAGACGGGGTTTAACTTAAGTTGTTTAACTTAATCTTCAACGACAAGTCGCACCTTCCCGTATAAATGTACATTTACACGACAGGGTACGAATTCTCGTAACCGCATAAATGAAACCCCGTCAGATCTCTCATGAAAACTCCGTGATGCAGTTGCCAAGGCTTCGAATCCAGGAGTCGTGGGTTCGATTCCCACGCAGGACAAATATTTGTGTTACCCACAGACAGTTGTTTTCGATCTGGCTGTTGGTCCACGTGACATTAACACATACAAATCTTCCTTACAACACAGGATAATGTAACATTACACAAGCCCACATTGAGGGCAATGTTTCAAAGAAAAACTGCTCCCCAGACGGGGCAGGGGCTACGAGGCGGAGCGAGTGCGGACGTACGAGGCGCCGCTCTCGTACGAGGCGGCGCTGGCTATGGGGCGGGGGGGAGGGGCGCGGGCGCTGCCCTCGCCGGTGCCGGCGCCCCGGCTGCCCAACGGGTACAAGCCGCGCGTGCGCCACTCGGACTCGGACGAGGACGACTGGTGCTAGCGTCGAGGCCGCGCGCGCTCCCAGCGGGACGTGCGCGCGGCGCTGCCGAGGCCAGCCGACGCTGCGCCGCACGCGCACACCTTCTGACGCGTCGCGCCCCCCCCTCGAACCCGCCGGACAATTGTTACTCCCCCCTCTCCCCATCCCCCAACCCGCGAAAACCGCCCGCGCCCGAACGATCGCGTTCCCTTCCCTACGGACATGTGAATATGTACAGATAGACGACCCGCGCCGCTCAGGGGCTCGGACGCCCCAGCCGGTACGCGGACGCCGCGTATCCACGAGTATATATCCAAACTCTAGTATTTACAAAAGGTTTTTGGAAAATTTAATTTTTAATTCGCTAAAAATTTTACTCTTTAATTTATATTACGGTTAAGGTTATCGATGTATAAAACAGTGCCAGGCAACTCGGTTTGCGCTAGGATTTTTACATAAATGAAATTATTAGTCTGTATTGTAAAAGTAAACTTTCTATATTAAATTTGCACTACGTAAAGTCTACATTATATATCGCCTGCTGAAACACCTGGGTTGGGGTCCACAACTAGTGTGTGCTTGCGCGACGCTCGGACCTCGATCCTAGTGTTTCACGTTCAAGTTAGACGTTGGAGGAACACTAGAAATTCATCGTCAAACAAATTAATACTAGTATTGTATAAAATATTTACATAGCAAATAATTTTTACTTAGTTAATATTATACTAAATAAATAATTAAACATTTTTTTATTGTATTTGCTGTCCTTACCCCAAGTGCTTTATATCTACGTTATTTAAATTTAAATACAATTAAAGATAAATAATATGGATTGTATGTAAACTTTAAAAATATATTTCCACATTAAATAATTACGTAAATTGTTAAATCGTGTGTAGGCCAGTCAGGCAGGTTTGGTTTTGTTACATTTGATGATTAAGTTTATATATAGCGAAATAAAAAGTTTTTTGTTACAAACTTTGAAAACATTGTTTAGTCACTATATATAGCACAGTTCACGAAATAAATACTCTTCAAATAATTTTCAAAATAAATTACCACATGACAATTAAAATTTGGAAAATACCAAATGTGACAAAAATCTGTTTTAAGTCGCTACTTGTTTGAATCGATATTGATAGGATTAAGTAAGATTTTGTAGCCTGGTTGAATCAAACTTCAACAGCATTGATTCTCCCTAACATTCGTCCAATACTATTGTATTTTGCCTTTTTTTTTAGCAATTATGTATGACATAGGTTCACACCTTTCTATTTCCTTTTTCTAATAAAGAAAATCGTAGACCTCTTTCACTATTTTAAAACCAATCAAATCAATGAAGTCAATCGCCAGGCACAAAATCTATCGATACACAATTGTAATGAATTGGTTTACAGCTTTCCAAAAATGTTGATTAATACTATTTTACTTCAATTCCGTACATTACCATTCCTTAGTCGCATCAAAGCCGTAAACCAATTTTTTGAGCGTTTCTGCTCTGGTGTCGTAATAATACGACACGATATGTTAAATCCATCGCCATGTTTATTCAATAGAATTATCTCGAATTCACCTATTGTATCCTCAATTTATGTTTCACTTCTAAATCATTTCATGATAAGCCGATAAGAAATGTCGGTAATACGTGAAACAATGTGACGTGGCGTTCGCTATACGTATAAAACGGGGGCGACTCAAATGTTATCCGAAGGCTAGACTGATGTACAATCTTTTAAATCTTGCAAAACAGCATCAATTAAATTTTAGCTCGCGTACAATGGGTAATCATGTTGATAGCGTAATACAATACGTAAATTGCAGAAATTTTCAGTATTATCATACCCTAACGAATTAGTAAGCGACCATTCTTTTCTGTGAGCTTGCGCCTCCGTTCGAAATCTTGGGGCAGTTATCGGGAAATCGTCTCATATTTCAATAGCTTGTACACATTTTTTTGCAAATGTGAGAGTGTTTTGGAATTAATGATACAATAGTGTACGAGCGAGGGTAATTTCTTGAACACCATTCACCTCCATTGTTGCGCAAGCTGTAGAATACGTACGACAAAATTGTAAATAAATGATTTTCTGTGATAACATGTGGGAAATGCGAATATTATTAGAACTGTGTGATTGCATAGGAAAGTTATTTATTTGTGAAAGGCGCTGTACGATAATGTTAAAAGAAAATGTTCTTGCGACTTTGATTGAAATTTAACGTTTTTACGCGTAACAGAATTTATCTAAAATATAATCTTACTTTGCACTATATCAGTAATTCAATAATCAATTTAACAATGACTTTAATGAATACTTTAATAATTATTCAAATATTGTTAGGGAAAATATTGAAAAGATTCATAATTCAATCTATAAGTTGCATCCTGTCCATTTCTTAGTAATTTCTAGCTTTTAAAAAACAGTGACTACTGGAGAATTCCTTTTATTTACAAAAACTGTCGTAGTGTACCGAAATTTTGACATAGCTGAAGACATAGATTAATAACAATTTTATTGTGAAAGTATTAATCATTTTTTTTAATCACATAACGAAAATGTATAAAGTTCACGTAGAGTAGATCTTACTTTTTTTAAAAATTTAAATATTTCGATCACCTATATGACCTGTTGACAGAGTAGATATGAAAGCTCTTCCGGATATTTTTCTAAGCTTAAATTTTTTAATTCTTCTAATCAAAGTCGTTAAGATCATAAAACAAAGGCAGACGTCTGTAACAGTAGTTATTTTAGTAGATTTGGATATTATCATTCCCATATTATGACCGTTGTTATTCACCATGATCGTGAAAGAATTATGAGGATAGCTTTTAAATGTGTTTTCTTTTAATATTTTACCTCTGTTAATAGTACAAAGTATATAAGCTTCGAATCGATTTTTACTCATCGGTTTAAATATTGTATCGATTTTGAATGTTTTATTTTGTGTACCGTCTTTCGAGATCGACAATATGCCCAATAGTAATGCTCTGGGGTCACAGGATTGTTGAACTTATTCACTTGCCACTGTTCCATTGAGGTTTGTAAACGGCATTTGAACCAAGTTCATCATTCTCGTATTGCATTCGAACGAAAGCTGAGATGACTTCGGAACCGCGAACTGTTTTGATATTATTACCTTCGACCACAACGCTATCTAATCATTATCCAATGTTTTCACCACAGCGATCGCAAAAAGAATGCGTTTCGTGCATGACTCGATCTTCGATTTCAGAGTTAGATTTCATCTAAATAGTTTTATTGTTTAAAGTGATTGACTCATGAGGTATATTTATCGTTTTTGTATAGGAGTACGGGTATTTTTCGTTCTGTCATTCGTAATTGGGGTGTTAGGATAATACAAGCCGATGGACTTTCGATGACTGATTGGTATATAGTTTCAGAGTGCGTATCGCTTTAGTGTTCGAGACTCTCTCGTAATGACTGCGACGATGTTTCATTGACATACGTGTATAAGAGGTGTAAATATTGTAATATATAATGCGGCCACCGTGTTGAGGTCGCCTGTGAAAATGTCTAGTGATACGTTACTAGTTAATATTAATGTTAGCTAGGTATTCTCGTTCCCAACTTCCTTGATTTACGTTGGGTGTTTCACTGCCTTAAAGTAATAAAGAAAATGTTCGATGTAATAGTTATCTTAACTACTGCAGATAAGAGGCGATTTAAATATCGTTCGTTTAATGAAATCGATACAAGTATGTTCAGCTTTTATTTATATATATATATATATATATATATATATATATATATATATATATATATTTAGATGTCACAATGGTACCGACTCGTCTATGGTTTGTAGTTCAATGAAATTCACGCGATGAGTTATAACATTTTTCACATTAACGCAGTGATGAAAACTACTTGAATAACAACTATGTACATTTTTAATAGCTGTCTTAACTCATTTCGTTTAACTTGAAACAGTTCGTGTGGACAAACATTTATTGGCGTAATTTTATCGATATAACAACGTATAATACTGTCGATGGAACATCTAGATATATATATATATATATATATATATATATATATATATTAATGTAAACTACCAGCAAAGTGACCGAAGTGAGTTAAGTCAGAGTCCTGGTCACGTAATGCCTGCCTTTACTGCGTAATGCTTCACAACAAATAAATTATTATATTTTTAAAATTGGATTTGTAATTATTGTCGCATATTTAGCATAGAAAGTTCATCGGCGTCGAAAGAGCACCATAGTTTTTTTTGGTACGTTCCAATAACTTTGCAATATAGTGCAATCCTATTGATATTGTATTAATAAAGAACCAAACTTAAAATTAGTATTTAAGTAATTTATTATCCTAAAACTAAATACTATACGCATGTTTTCACTATACTGGTAAAATGGTTATGTACAATACGAAGGAGCTGCTGTTTTATATATGAATTCTTGATCGCCTGTAAAATTTTGCAGAATGAGTCATTATAAGAATGTACATTATGAATAAATACAAAAACGAAATTTCCTCGATATGTTGTATTCATTTAGTTTAATAATCATTTGAATTTATAAACTGTAACATACCCATTACAAAACCACATTTCAAATAGATTCATTTTTTTAATATTTAGCTTTTCAATTTATGAAATATATCCGTCGCAGTTGAATACAGAAAACAATCTATTATTTTACTAAACGATCTTATACACTAATCACCGAAACAATGACAAGTCGCTACTAGATCCCTAGATTTAGTTCTTCCTAATCTCGATGCACACGAAGAAATTACTTATTAAACCAAAAACATAAATGATATTTTAAAACTTTTATAATTATACCGTGGTAGGGCCACGCAACAGCTTCTACTGTTGCAATAATGGGCAAGCTCATCCGGGGAAGTACCACGACCTCACAGAAGACGAGTCAATAAAAAGTGTTAAACTTTCGCGTTTCCTCTGGTGAGTGAGGTAACCGGAGTACACTTTTACAAGGTTTTCAACACATATAGGCACAAGTCCTCAGGTATTGCAGATGTCCAATGCGGTAATCACTGCTTTTCGCCTTAAAAACGACTGGTCTAATAAATTACTTTATTGTATCTTTTATTGATATTATGACACCGTGGAATATATCTGACACATTTTCATATTTACAATATTATTGAATTCATTTAACTTGCAATAAATATTCAAATATCGAATAAATAGTTGTAAATAAAGTTCAAACTGTTTTGTGTAAACTTTACTCTGTAGGTAATTGTTAATTTTAAATATTTCAATATGAATGTCGAACAACAAAATTATACAACTGTTATAATCAAATTATACAGTCTAGGTTAGGTTCCATTTTGAGTCTTAACAGAAATTTAAAAGAAATAATTTGAGGCGAATTTTATCATCATTGCAATATGAATCAATTTTTGTATTTTAAAATTAGATGGCTACTGTAGGTACGTATTGCTATTGTGACAGTTTCAAAATTTGGATCCACATATTAAAAGACGAAAACTAAATGGCATACAATTTTATTTAAGAGCGAAAACAAACGTTTTGTACGGGAACAACAGCTTTAACATTGTCAATTTAATCGAAAGATGAAACAAAATTAATTATCTGAGAAATCAGCAATGTCGGTGTCTAAGGAACTGACATCGGCGTCTCGATCACTTGGAATCGTTTCATGGTTCATAGCATTTGAATTAGAAACTTCAGTCATACTATATACGTTATCATTTTCTGGACCTAAAGTAAAAGTAAAGAAAATTATCAACTTATATGTGTCCGTCCCACTGCTGAGCAAAGACCCCATGCGACCCCACTGTGGATTGGCTTAACATATCTTCGAAATATTTTTTTTTATTATCTCAAAATTATTCAGGTTTCCTGATGTTTTCCTTAACCGCAAAGCATGTGATGTCAGCACTTAAAAATAACAATTTCATTGGTGCTGGCACCGAGATTTGAACTCAGGTTGCTCGAGTATGATAATATAGGGTTCCAGGCCCTATATAAAAAGATTGGGAAAATATACACATTTTTTTGCAACTTAGCGTTACAACTTAGCGTGGTTTACCTGATGATAACGGTCTTACATATAGGTCTTGGAACTCAGCAGAATTAGAATAGTAGGGATTGAGTCAATTGTTACAAAAAAATCCAGAGTACACAGAAGAAATACAGAAATACGGAAGAATCACATCTTCGGAGTGTAAGGTTATTTGTGAGACATTAATAACTAAAATGGATTTTAGGGTTCCGTACCCAAAGTAACAGACATGATTTTTTTGCCGTTTTACAGATAATGGTACGAAACCCTTTATGCGCGACCTACTCGCACTTGGGCGGTGTTTCACGCAAGATTTGCAAGACCGTGGCGAGGATAGTCGCCCATAGTTGTTCACAAACCAGCAGTGTTTCAAACGTGTTGATAACGACGTATTGGGCGGTTACCTCGCTCGCTGAAAGTTGAGCTGAATTTATCGACACTGAAATTACCACTTTATTGAATGAGCCTCTATGATTTACTTTATTCGAACAAGCCATCAACTGATACTGGTGCTGCTACACGAGATGTTGGAGTAACTCAGCTCCTTTTTTTTTGTTCCCAATTTTTGTTTTATTATTTACTGTATTATTAAAAACTTTAGCACTTATTGTTACGTTTTTGCTGTGCTTTTTATTATGAGAAATAGATCCCAACATGTACAGGGTGGCTTTTCTAAAGATGCAATCGTTTATTGAAATAAAAACTATGCCATTCTCTTCCCTAAAAAACAGAACTTGTTGACAATGCGGTGTCATTCATAAATGCGTCGTATATATTTGAAACGAACTTGTGTGCGTGTTAGTTTTGAATGATCGCGCGTAAAATAAATGAGTTGCCCAATAAGTTAAAATTAATGTAATTAAGAGTGATTTTAAATATTTGTAATTTTTTTATATAACATTATTTATGTCTACAATTTGAATTAAAATAATATAGGATATACTTAGAAAAGCCTCCCTGTGTAAAAGGGACACTTGTCATCGTGGTTGTTATCGAGAATACTAGAAACTTGTAATATTACGCAAAACAACTTTACCTGTTCGATAAGATATATTTGGTAAGCCGGTTGATGGTATTTGTAGAAATGGGCGGCTACTGGGCTCTCGTAAAAATTCAAGGTTCCCATTGAAAGTTGACGGCTCGACCAACAGGGCCTGTGAACAAAAGTAAAAACCTCTTATTAAACAATTTCTCATTGGCTAATTAAAATAGGACCAAAGGCATTAGGGAAAACCGAAATACCAAAAGTAGCAAAAACATAATAAGTTTCCCCATTTTAATTTTTAAAATGTTTTTGTTTGCTTTTACCCTAGTGGGGTAATAAATAAACAAGAACGCTAGTGCAATCCATGATTCAAAAGAAATCTAAAAATTCAACTTTTTTTAATGTTTGTTAACTCAGAACCGATTTAGCTTCCGCATTGTCCTCCTTTGGTATTGGACATTGGAGTCCAGAGATCCATCCAAAGTCCATCAGAGAACTCATTAACTAAGTAACTGATAAACATAATTTTTATGTAAATAAATACATATTATAGATAAATAAACACCTAGACACTGGAACAACACTATGAAATTCATCGCACAATATTCTAGTAGTGGAGATGAACCCACTGGCGCAAAAGACTGGTCCATTATCCACTACGCCAATCAGGTCAACAAATATAAATAATATTTAACTGAAAATTTTCAGTTAAATGCCTACGATCCAAATAAAGTTACACTTGCGTCGTGGTATCATAAAACCACACAATTTTTTTTGTTACTAGAAATATCTTATAACCAAATGTCAAACGTACAACTTCTCACTGCACTCAGGTCAAACTGTGATGTTTGAAATGTATACGCCACTGGGTTTGGATCCGTGAAAACCGAACGCGACTGCTTCCCCGAACACTAGGCTCACACAGAATTTGTCGAATACGAAACGAATTCAGAGTGGTAGGGCCACGCAGCAGCCTCGGCTGTTGCACAAATGGGCAGGCTCGTCCGGGCAAGTACCACGACCTCACAGAAGACCGGCGTGAAGTGGAAGTATAATACTTTCACGTTTCGTCTGGTGAGTGGGGTAGCCGGAGCCCAATTACGAATTTACTTAACATCAGGTGAACCACATGCTCGCTTGGCAACTTTTCACATAAAAAAAATACGATTGACGAGAACCTCGCTCTGTTGTCCGGACGATGTTTCAGTTGAACTCATCGACGTGTCGCGTCCAGAGCTGTCGCGATCGCTGTGCATTCCGCGGCCATCGCCGGCCCCCGCGCTCGCGCCTATGCCTGGCTCCGAAATGTTACCGTTCACATCTAATTGTGGGGCGACGGTGGGCAAAGGAATGGGTGCCAATGCAGGTGGCATTGGCTCTTCGTCCTATGTAACATAACACTCTTTGTTCACATGTTATTGGTATATCCCAATGTGGGATAGATCACCGCGGCTGACTGGTATTAGGTTTAGTAGGCGATGAGGCAAATAGTTGAAGCCGTACTGACGACTATTAGACGAAAAATCGATGAATTAAACTACGGTTAACAAGTTCTGTTACCGAGTTCACATGACAGCTTGACAAGGCAACAAATAACTGTAGCGTGAAGGAGAGAGAAGTTACTACTTATCCGCAATGTCTGATAGGTCGGCTCGATTTTCCTTGCACGGCAGTCTTACAAATAACTATTTACCGTACGAGAAATATCTTATAACCTAAATATGTACACAAAGTATTGCTAGCAAAAGTAAAAATATAATTTTTTGAACTATTACTTCGTGTTTCTAGGATTGGACTAAAAAAACCATAGCTAATTTATCTCAAAAACTTCTGATTCATTCGTCCGTAGTTTCATTGTGTAGAAAATTCGTGCCCCTCGGAGGGGAAAACTGCCGTTGCTTACACTACACACAAAATTAGGTAAATGCTACTACTGATCGAATCCCTCTCTCGAAGGAGTCAATGAGGACGATACGCATTCGACTTTAGTAAACGGTGGCGTTAGTTCGATAATGCGCTGCGTTAGCACCAGAAAAATGAGATGATTTTCGATCCTCGCGAAGAATCGTTTTGTCACATCTCTAAAGTTATTGCGCTGATCTCGACAGGTCGTATATGGTCATGATGGAACGACAAAGAAGAACTGTTTGAATTCATTACACAACACAATGAAGAACGACATGTATTTGCTGTTTTTGTTTCGCACACAGCTTTCTTGCTGCTTTATTTTGTCGGCGACAATGCAGCGAAATTTCTTTCGACAAACTTGTGACAAGACCTTTCAATTGTTTTTTTCAAAATTTAGGCGCGTCTTAGCGAATAATATGAGCACCACGGCGCGTCTTAGCGAATAATATGAGCACCACGAGTGCTGCTCACACACTGTTAACTACCGTGTGGCAACGAATTAACGCCATGTATAACAAATTAACAGACTTGACTTTTGAGACGTAAAGCGGCTTAGAGTGCAGCGCAAACCGTCCCCCTGTACTGCGTTAATTTCAGAAACGTATTAAATTGTGTCCGGCCTGTACCAGTACCGCTCGCCTTAAATCTCTATCAATAATGAGTCTCACAGATTGTTGTTGCTGGTTAGTTGCTCGAAAAAGCCAGTGCGGAACCACAGTATCGTCATCAACCTGACACGACACATAAGTATCTGATGATCGCCCGGACGTAAACACTTCCTCCGAAGTCTGAAATAAAACAGATATTTCACTACATAGTATAAAACAAAGTCGTCCCGCTGTCTGTGTCCCTACATATGCTTAGATCTTTAACAGTACGCAACAGACTTTGATGCTGTTTTCTTTAATAGATAGAGTAATTCAAGAGGAAGGTTTATATGTATAACTCATGCATAATATAGTAGAGTAACACTCATAATTTTAGAGGTTTCTAATGCGTTGTCGAAAACAAACATTCAGAATTGCACTCGCTATTTAATACGGATATTGTAGACGTCACTTAACAAAACCATAAACCGGTTTACTCGCTTGCTTGTTGCAAACATATTCTCTCTTTTAAAAAGTCCTGTATTCAGTATTCATAACATCAGAAGATGATAACAAAAAAAATTCATCGCACTAGCATATATGGTGGACTAAAAAGTTCACGGCCTAGTTTAGAAAAAAAAAAACTTTCAAATATGTCACATATACAGGACTAGCTGCTGCTTTCAGACAGAAAGAATAAATATGGATATAAATTATAGCCTATTTCTTATTTTGATGCATAAGCTATATTATTGTAGTTTCATTAAAATTCATTCAGTAGTATTTGCGTGAAAGAGTAACAAACATCCATCCATACATACAAACTTTCGCCTTTATAATATTAGTAAGGATAGCACAGAGAATATCTCCTGAAGGGTCTAAGATATAGACACACATTTTCAATGTTCTCTTCAATCGAAGACGTCGTGTTTGAAATCTATCACAATTTTTTCACACTTTTATTTATGTTTATTGATTTTGTTTTATCGTAAACCATCTTGGGCGTTAATATTTCTACACTAGTAGGTACCTGCTATGATCGCAATATCCTTCACTTTTCTCTAATTTGTAAAATCAACGCGCTTGATTTAATTATAAAAACAAAAATGATACTGTAACAAAATTTCGCGCTACTACCACTAAAAGCAAATGAATGACAATACTAACATAAAAATATTTAAGTATTTAGGTCACAAACTTTTAAATCCACCTTCGAATTTTTAAAATTATTTTGGCTACGGACTATTTATAACTTACTGCCCGTCTTACTTCTACACAATGAGCCAAACTTCCAGTCTCCGAGTCAATTAAATTGACGTAATCTGGCTGATCACCTATCATTTGTTCATTTATTGAAAATCCGCTGAAACCTTGAACATCCATCAAACCTCCAGAATTCTAAATATAAACATGTGAGTTCTTTATTTGTACATTAAAATTTGTAGAAAAAGTACGAAAAGATTGTCGACGCTGTAGAAATCGAACCCACGTCGTCGGCAATCAGCCGTTTAGCTTAGTGGCTAAAGCGTCAGGCCGTGAGGCTAAACGGCTGATTGCCGACGACGTGGGTTCGATTTCCACAGCGGCGACAATCTTTTCGTACTTTTTCTACAAATTTTAATGTACAATCTTAAGTGCAGAGATTAGCACATAATAAATTTTAAATTATTTTATTTGTGTTGATTTATAAATATTTTAAAACAATAAAGTAATTGTAATGCAATAAAGTAAAATAACAGAGAGTAAACATAAACAGAGTTCCTTATTTGTATTGCAATATAATTATTTTAAGACAATAATATTGATATAAATGACCCTTTTATAGCTCACCGGAAAACGTGATTGGTCGTTTCTTTCAAATAAATCTTGCACCGATCTCTCAGGCGGCGTAAAATTTTTATGAGAATCTAAAGTTGAATTTTGGTCATTATCAGCTAAAAAATATTCAGAGTAGCCAGAAATGGAAGCGAAGGACTTAAATGAAATCATATCTACTTGTACTGGTTTTGGTCCTGAATCACATGAACTAGCAGCTGAAAAGCTAGCGAGAGGCTGATTTGAAGGTACTTTTTCACGGATAATACAGTCTTCTTCAGTTATTTCTCGATCGCCATTGCTGTCAATAAAATCTAATTTTTCTTCTATTATTGATAACATTTCATGGTACAAATTGACGGAATTATGATTTACTTTTTTTGTCTCAATGTCCTCAATTGACAATTTTTCATTTCTTAAAACTATTTCTTGATTTTCTACTTGAGATGACTGAGGGAAAGGTATATTTTCTATGAGTGGATGCGTTTTATACGTTTCCAAAATGAACACTTGGTTTTGTGGATAGGAATCTACATAACTTTGGGTATCAGTCATAACGTTATGCATCGGATCAGCTAATAAAACTGTCTTACACAAAGATACACTTGATAGACACACATTTACATTATCTTCACCTTGCTTTGATTGCTTCTTATTATCGGAGTAAGTATTTCGAGGCATAAGAGTGCTTTTCGATGGTTCTTGTTTTCTTTCTTTATTGACTTTAAAATGGCAGTTTGATGGCTCGGGATTATTTTCCTTATTATCAAACACAACAGTTGATTTTTTGTGATAATCTTTATTTTTCCTTATCGAGGAAGATTTTGTAGCGTTATTTAATCTTAAATTGCTTTTAGAAGAAATAAATTTTCTTTTTGAATCTTTATTTTGTGGAGACAAATGCTTAATGGTAGCTATGCTGTTATTAGAGGAGCATGAACTATTTCCGGACTGTAAATTGGATTTATCCTCATTATTATTTAATTCTTCAACTATTAAACCTCGACTCTCGTTGTTTTTTCCTTTTTCAACTTTATTACGAAACACAGAATAAGTAATTTTATGACATGGGTCACAAATATACTTCAATAATTCCTTTTTAATGTCCTTCGTTCCAGGATTGATAAGGAAGTCATCATTTATGACACCAATTTTGTTCACTTCAATGATTGGATCAATGATTTTCTCGAAATTTTTAGATTTTGACACGCATTTACGACTTTTTAAATATTGCGGAATATAATTCTTCTTTCTTGAGTTAACTACTTTTTTCTTTTCTTTATCAGAATTTTGAGGTGTGAAAGGCGTATCAACTTTTTTCAAAGCCATTTGCCTACTTCTTGTGTATTTAGATAAAACGGGGCTAAAATAAAATAGTAAAGATGATTTTTAGGAAAATTAAAGGTAAAAATTAGATAAAAATGGTAAATTTGAAAATAAACCGACCTTAAGGATATTTTGGACATTGCCTGTAATATAATACTATATATTTTAGTATAATAGAAGCAAAAAATAATGATTCTAAACAGGGACAAGCAAATTTGTTAATCAAATATGTACCTTTATTATTTTCTTTTCAGGACATTTTATTGGTGTGCTTGATACGAGTGGTTTCTCAATACTCTGGCTCGTTATATTTAGCCCCTTTAACTTTTCAGTTTCAAGTTTTCTTCTACATTTTCTGTAGTTTATATTTTTAATGCGAGTCTTCTCAAGAGATTTTTGCATCAAAATTTCTTTATTGTAGTTTATCGCTTTAGTGACATTTTGCTCGGGATTTTTCCTGATGTTTATTGTATGACATGGATTTTTCTTTATAATTTTCAGGGCAGAATGCTGCCATTTTCCTTGATATAATATATCTTCACAAATTATTCTATTTTTATAGCTGTTAATTATTATACCGCCGCATGTAAGTTTACGCTTAACATCTTCGTTGGAGACAGAAATTTTACTATCCATATTACCTTCTTTATTTACAACAAGTATAATATTGTCAGGATCAATATTTGTTGTTGTTTTCTCAGAATCTACGGAGTTGGAAATTCTGCTTTTTACATTATAATTGTCATAAGAAGGGTTATTATCAAATTCGGCACAGGATACTGTCACCCCCTTTATATTAGTTACAGATTGTACTATATCTATAAAATCATTTTTCGGAGTTGACTCAACTATCTCTTTGAAATCATTATTGTATGTTCCAGTAGATCTATCTTCATTCAATATTAACGCAGCGTCAGAATCTCTTATTTGAATGCCATTTGACTTTACTCGATAATTCAATATGTCATCGTCCAATAAGCGATCATTACGTCCAGGAACGTTAAATTCATAACATTCTTCACGTCGTTTTAGGTTGGATGGAAAGTTCTCTTTATCACCATTCTTTATCACGCTCGGAATGTTGTGCAGTGACGTAGTTGGAGATAAAACTGGACTTAAAATCGCATCAGAACCGCATTGCACATCCATATTTACGTGTCGAATACCTTTCGATGTGCTGGGTTCGTTAATATCTAAAAATTGATTAGAACGACTATACAGAAGCTACCTAATATTTGATTGCAATTTGGTTCATAGTTATACTTTAAAATGTAGCTAAATCACAAAGTCAAAAATTTATGAGTAATACACGAGTACGTATACTTAGTATGTAGTAGGATCACGAAACAGACTTCGTTGTTGCGTGAATGCAAATCCGTGGGGAAGTACCACGACCTCACAAAAGACCGGCGTAAAGTGAAGCTATTATACTTCTGCGTTTCGCCTGGTGAGAGAGGTAAACGGTGGGCCCGTTCTTTATTAAAAAGGTGCAGCGCACCTGAAACTCTACGGGTGTTGTTTCAGGTGCGCTGATGTCCATCAGAGGCGAATATCACTTAACATCAGGGAAACCACAAGCTCGCTTGTTTCTTCTAACATGAAAGAAAGGTATACCTATATAATTTTAGACATGAAATAAGAAGACAAGGTCACAAGTTATTTCTTCTTCCTGCCATTCTTTAAAGCTGTTTTTAGCCTTCACTATCCATGCCTAACCGAAAAATCTATTATATATACCCAAGGTAGCGAAAAGCATTAACTTTACCTTGTTCCTAATCTAACGAAAGGAATAAAGTGTTTATTAAAAACATTAAAATGTTTACCAAATAGAAACATGGGTCTCGATTCCGCACTTCCTGTTATAAGCAGATTCTTATCAGACTCTTCTTCATTTAGTGATGGTAACAATTGTTCACTTATTGTATAGCTACAATCGAAAGTATCTGTCGCAACTGTTCGGCGAAGAGCTATTGTTTCACTCTTTCCATCCGTAACAATTTCTAGAAGGCAACTGTTTTCCGTAACTGCTATGGACTCCTGGCATGGCTTGAATGACATCATGTTATTATTATTATTGGATAAATCAAGTCTCAAAGAATCGAAATGATCTCTCGTATTAGCCTCTTGTGGGCAGAAATTTATCAAGTTATTTGGAATCTTAAAGGAAATGAAACACGAATTATTATTAATTAAATAAAACATACACACATAATTATATTTATTAAACGAAAGGAGTTAAGGTGATAAAACTCTTACAGGCTTAGTAAAAGATCTAGTCAGACGATGTTGCCTTATTCTTTTCTTTATCCCAATTTTGAAAAGTTCATACTCGACAGATGAAATATTGTTCTTTAATAAATAACACAAAAGGTTTTTCTTTTCGATTATTCCTTTTAAAATTTTTTTTCTATCGTTTCTGCAAATGTACTTTTCATTTATTTTGTTATCCCTGTTATTCAATCTTTTACTCCTAGCTCGTAGAACATTTACAGAATGGCAGTGGTTATTAACTTCTTTGCTCGTTCTATTTGCTTTTTTGGATACATTTCGAAGATTCATATTAATGCTAACATCCGTATCACCAGAATTGCTGACACCAAAGTAATTCCCAAGCTTACAGTGTTCCTTCGTAGCAGATTTCCTTTGTAGAGTCTTGGTGTTCTTGGTTTTGTTTCTATCGATTCTTGTGGAAGACGAACTGGTATCGTCGTTATAATCAAAAACTGGAAATCATCATTAATATATAAATGTCCACTCGGGAAATAAACAAATAAGTACATTATTTTCCACTTACTTCTTACTAACTCATTACTCGTAACGCTCGAGTCGTCATGAACTTCTACGTTACTATGTACATATCCATAGGATTCTTCGATCAAATCATCGAAATGATCCATACTCGCTGAATGTAACATTTTGTATCAATTATCAAAAAAATCGTGGAAAAAGAATTAAAAAATATTTTAATATTATTTTATTTATTTCTACAATATCAATACTTCTAAAATTATCTTTACCTGTCGGCTGTATTAAATGGCAATACTTGTCAACAATTTCCTTGCTGTAAAAAAATATAGAAATAAGAGATATTGAATTTTGTTTAAGTTGTATCTAAAGTTACGGATAAATTGTGTTGCATTTTAGATCACGCCTTGTCACTTGTCTGTTCTAATTAGCATACTATGCCGGCCTTAGCCCTTGATCAAGTTAGAGCGTGATTGTCTTTCAGCGCCCTTTTTTCGGTGCTTTCATTTGCATAAACTGTAATTTGACTTTCTCATAATAATAATAATAATAACAGAACACTTATCGAAATAAATCAAGGAGCTGTAACTATTATACAACTGATTCTTAGGCTTTGAGAAAGTTTATACAGTATAGTGCTACGTAGTTAATTAAATTGGAATTTTGTGTTAATTTCAATTAGTTAATAATAAAATCTGTTATCTATGTAGGTATTGTAACAACTAATTGAAGAAAAACACAATGCCACATCTGTTACATTGATCTAAATCCAAAAAAAATAGCTGCAATAATTACACTCCTGCTTCCTCAACATTAACAACGCTCCTACTAGTATATAATTAAATTAGTATTTGTTGTTATTTTCAATTAGTCACTAAATAATAAAATCTGTTTCCTAGTAAACTAAACTCGCTCCGCGTTTCTCAAAAGGCAGCACTAAATTTATATTGTATGTTAAAATTGTTTTTTGCATTAGTTTTTAGCGCCTAATACCTGGTACCTAGAGCGACCGTTCCTCTGGGCCGGCGCTGTTATAGCATATCATATTGCTACGCAATGTTTTAAAAAAATCTGTCTTCCATTTTTTCCATGATTAAATACTTCGTATATACAGAAACATCAATTACTTACACTTTTTTACTATCTTCTGCTTTTGGCAGCTGGATCTTGTCAATTGTCTGTCCCTGTAAATCTGTGTAGAGGGCACAAACGGTAAATAATTTAATCACCGATTTGGATACTTGGATTAAGAAGACGCTGCAGACTTTCCAGATGTCAAACTGTCCAATGGTCAACTACTGCTACCTGTTATTAAGTAATTTTTTAATCTTATGATTGGCTACTCTGCGCTTGTGCCGGAAAAATTGTTTCTCACCATGTATGGGGTCCGGTGGAGTGACATGGCATTTCACAGCACCCTTATATGATTATAATACGGGAGCCATATTCCACAGACGACCTGGCTTCAGTTTTATTATCTTTTTATCTGAGAAGTTGTTAAGCGAGCTGGCAGTTCACCTGATGTTAAGTGAATACCGGTGGTATTCATGGACCCATGGACATCTGTTACACACGAGGGTTTGCGTTGACCTTTTTTATAATCTCCGGCTACCTCACTCACCAGACGAAATGCGAAAGTATTATTCTTGCACTTCTTGCGCTTCTGTGGGGTCGTGGTTTACTTACCCGGGCGAACCTGCCCATTCGCGCACAGCCGAGGCTGCTGCGTGGCCCTGCCACAGTTAAAGTCGGTTCAGTTTAATACAAAGGCAGATTTCAAATTAAAACCAATACAAGTGTGAAATACCGCCAGACCTTCACACAAAACACTCAATATCTTTACTGCTGCATTCGTTCTAGGTTCATTGAACCTCCCAAAGCTAAGATTTTATGAGATCACAATTAATATAAACACCCGGATTTTGGCGACATTGTATATTACAATATTGGCATCGCCCCGTTCGGTGAATGTCTGCAGTGCGAGATGGTATTGCGAACATTTGATCAGAGATTTGTGACTAAATGCTTGACAGAAACGTTTTCGTACCCTTCGATTGAACGGTCAATGGATTCCTATCGAAATAATGCCGCTTCCTCCTCTCTATCGCCCTCTCGGTTAACGTTAGAAGATCCAACAGTTTAAACTGCAGCCAGGAAGCGGGCGGCGGCGTGTCTCGGCCGCCGCTCGTCTTCAGCGCTAGCTTCATAAGTCGACACACCACACGGTCCAGCTCCGTCGTGATGTCCTCGTCGGCAGTGAGCAGGGTGCGCAACTTACGCAGTTTACAGTCGAGGGCGTGCTGCAATCCTTTGCCTACGCGTTTTGGTATATCTCAATAAAGGCTACCACTACTCGGCTACTTGTGCAAGATGGTTATTTTCTAACGATTTAAATTATTTGTGTATGGATTGTGGTAGCAGAGCAGAAAAGTAGTGGATACGGTGCAGACGTATAATTTCTTCGACTTAAAATGACAACTTGTGATAAAGTGAAGGAAAGGAAACAGCTTGCCATTAGGGTAATGTAAAAGCAAACATTTTTAGGGTTCCTTAATCACTCTGTAAAAACGCAACCCCTTTAGAATGACTTTATTGTAATTTTCTGTTCCTTTCTCGGAAAATAGTATGGTTGTCAATTGGTAATTTAGGTTTTGTAAAAAAAGATAACCTTAAACAATATGACCATTTCTATTCCATCATTTTATACTTGCAGACCCACGCATAAGAAAATCTAAAGGTTTCTTCCCTTTGACTCAAACAGTAATATTTGGCGTAATTTTTACTTAATCACTTTTTACACTTTTCATTTAACATATTAACTAATTACATGAGTAGCAAACAGCTTACATATTGAACTAACGTTACCTAATATGCCATTAATATCATTGTACTACTGTCCACAAAATTATTTTAAATTAAATTATATCTATATAAACTAAACTACGATATCCAGGCATTATTACCGTCATATCAAGACAATGACCAGTAGAATGATTGTCGATGTGACGAACTCTTTATACATGTATGTAAATAAATACGTAAATCCTTACATTACAAATATTGCTCCGTACAAAAACCTGATCCTATTTAAAAGATATTAAAACAAACCATAAAACTGCGACGAGACTGCGCTTCCGTTCGAGTAAGAGGTGGAATGTATTTCAGTCACATCCCACTGCAAAATAATATTTAAAACACAATGGAAAATTCGGACACTCCTTATAAACTAGCCATCGGCCATTACCGTCCATGGCTCAATGGAAAACTAAATTCACAAGTATAGAAATGTTACCTATAATTATTCCCTTTTGCTTAGCGCGAATCAAATGCAAAACGATACGTCATTAAATTTATAGAGAAGTAGAAATAGAGAAAATTCAGTCTCATTACGTACGGTCAGTTAAATAAACATGAGTCAATGTTGAAAAAAATGAAGGTGCGGATTTTTGTGAAGTGAATTGATTCAAAATCATCTAACTGTGAATCCAAAATGGAGACCGTTTCTCTATAAGAACGGTAAGTTTATATAAAAATACTGAAATTTATTTCATCGTATTATGCTCCATAAATGTCCTTCAATAAATGTTATATACATCACTTTAAAATTAACAGTGCAATAATATAATACATATTATCGACCACTGGTGGAAGGTATAAAGGTATTATATTATTATAGAAAGTTTAAATCTTCAAAGAAAAAATAAAATAGAAATATGAATTTAATACAACTCACTTCTGATATTATGGATGGGATACTGAATTTTAAATATGGAAAGTCACAAAACTGTTGAGGTTACATTTAATAACAATTGGTTTCATCTTATAATTTTAATTTTAGTAAATAGTTAAGTCCTAACAATATTAAAACTCTAAGATTAATTTTAACAGTATTTTAACAACTTATATTATAATTATCTATCCTAAGCTACAATTTTTGTTTCACAGATTATCTATGCAATGTCACCAACATCTACAAATTCAAAATTTCTTCTTACATCTGAGATGGTGTCATTGTCTTGCCATTCGATCTCAGGTGTTGCCATAGAAACATTTTCAATTACCAAACGCGAGTGGATAACAATATTATCAACCACTTTGTACCCGTTCCACTCAAGAAGATCTCTACAAAGAAAAAATGAAAATCTTACAAAATAATAACTTATGAAATTTATGATTCTTATACAAGTTAGAAACACAGCAGTTTAATCAAATAATGTACATATTACATAGATCTTGAGATAAAGACAAAGTGGCACTAGTGTATTTAAAAGACAGTAATACAAAATCTTATGTAGATAATGATAAATTAATTTGTTCATATCGTGACTATTTTACTAATGGTACTTATGGATCAATATCAGTGAGAGGCATTGGTGCCCCTTGGTGGCCCATTGGTGGTTCAGTTTCACACTAATATAAAATTGTACCCAACTCTGACTGTACAAATGTCTTAAAATAAATGTACCATTCATGACCCAAAATTGGGTCATGGTCTTGTCATTTCTGCACCTGCCTAGTTTCTACCCTAATCATCTGTGACAACAGAGCTCGTGAAATTCACTTTCACACCACTACCTCAGTGTAGCTTTTTTCTATGAAAGGGAAAATTCATTCATTCATTTACATAAAAATAACTTACTTCACTTTATTTTGATCACTTGTAATATGTTCGACCACGCCCATAAGATAATCTAAAGGTATTTCCAATTTATCCGTGCAAAACACGCCTTCATCTGTGCACTGCGAATCTATCAGTCGGTTAATTTCATCTGATATCAGATCTATGATCCGGGTTTCATCTGATTTTGTCTGGACAAAATAGAATAATATTAGTCCATTTCAGTTAAGCGTTTTATATGAGGAATCAGCATTAACGAACATACAACATAAATATATATTTCACTGTTACCACATAGAACACAATTCAATATTAAAAACTATTTTTTTTACATAAAGAAATTATAAATAAAATCGAAGTAAAACGTGTAAAAAAAACAAAACCACGCATTTTCAATTTGATTTTGATGAGCTCCCTGATGCTTTTGAGTCCAAGGTCTATAACCATTGTAATTAATATGGGACATGAGAGCCAAAACATACCCAATGCAATTTTTTTTATCGGTGCATAAATGACAGAGATTTCAAATAACAAATATTAAAAATTAATATACATCAACAACCAAATTGAGAACCTCCTCCTATTTTGAGGTCGGTTGAAAAGGTAATGCTATCCTTTTTATAGAATGTGTATTAAACTCGAAAGCGTCACAAGTGAACCATGGGAAAAGAAAGACTATTTTAAGCAAGAACAACCAGACATAGTCTAGTTAATAACCAGAGCAAAGTCAACAGCTTATTGAATTGTCACTTGTTATGTAAGCTTTTTTTTATATTTAGGTGAAATGCAAATCTGAAATATAAATCTCAACTTTATTAAACGTTTAAAAGAAAATCGCCGATTGTATGTAATAAACCAATGAGCTATATAAATTATAATTTATACTTACTTCAAACGGATAATTGTAATCTCTGACAATCTTGTAGTATTGGTTCCAGTATGGAGCATTATCGCCCCAATTTATATTACTCCAAATGCATGTGTTTTCCTTGCGGTCAACGGTGCTTTTGTCAAAGTTGAGCATTTTCGTCAACTGTTGAATCTCATCCACTACTTCCCTTGTGTGGATAATAGAGTCAGGTTTATTCTTTGCCATTAAGTTTTGTGTTGCTTTGGAGAACTTTTTCACTTGCAATGTTGAACAGTTCAACCTAAAATTTAAGTTTAACTATATTACTTACATATATTTTGCTATAATTTGGTTACTTGAAAGAAAGAACTCTTCATTTGATATCTTTTTTTTTTATGTGACAAAGTGGCAAACAAGCTGGTTCATCTGATGTTAAATGATAACCGCCGCCCATGGACATTTGCAACACCCGTTGCAGATGCGTTGCCACCTTTTAATAGTCACCTCATTCAACAGACGAAACGCTTTTACTTCATTCAGGCCGGTTTTCTGTGTGGTACTTACAAGGAAGGACCTGCTCATTCGTGCAACAGAGAACACTGTTGCTACCAACCCCTACCACAGTTTGTCACTTAAATTAAAATATTAAAACAAAAGATACAGAAAAAAAATTATTGTGACGTCAAATTGGAACTCCATTTCAACAAAAACAAGTTGTTGTGCCAATTTGATAGGCATAACAAATGGAGCTCCATTTGATGATCATATCAAATGGAGCCTAAAGTTCACTTCAAGAAGAAAATACTAATAATATTATTATTTAAAATGAGAAAAAATACTAGTAATAATCTCTGAAAATGTTGTACTATTGGCTGCAGTATGGGGCATTACCGCTGCAAATTATTATTCCAAATACATGTGTCAACAGTGCTTTTGTCAAAGTTAAGCATTTACATTATATTACATTATCATATACATTATTATATTATAGTACATTATCTTATAAACACATAAGATAATTATAATAGATGATAATATGATAATAATACTAAATAGTTAATAATCGGAAATACATCCTAAGGGATGGCACCGTCGACATCTGTCGAGCTTGTCGCCATCCCGGGGAGTCACTTCGGCATGTTATCTCCGGTTGTTCCATGCTTTCTAACTCTGAGTATCTGCATAGACACAACCTAGTAGCCAGAATCCTACACCAGGAGCTCGCTCTGAAATACGGCCTCGTGGATCGGAAACTGCCGTACTATAAGTACTCTCCGGAGGCCGTGCTCGAAAATGACCGCGCCAGGCTCTATTGGGACCGGCCCATCATCACGGACAGGACGATTGTCGCGAACAAACCTGACATCGTGGTGATGGACCGGGCACAGTCGCGGGTATTTTTGGTCGACATTACCATTCCGTATGACGAGAACCTCGTGAAAGCCGAAACAGATAAGAAGACAAAGTATCTGGACCTGGCTCACGAGGTGACCGACATGTGGGGGGTGGTGTGCCGACCGAAATTATCCCGATAGTCGTGTCTGCGAATGGGTTAATCCCAGTCAGCCTCTCCAAACATCTGAGGCGGCTGGGACTCCGGGACGGATCGCTCCAAGCTCAAATGCAGAAGGCGGTGCTCCTCGATACCGCCCGCATCGTCCGCCGGTTTCTCTCCCTTTCGCCCTAACCCTCGGCCGTTTGGTCTCCCCTGCCGAGGGCTTCCGTCTGGTTGGGTCCTATTTATATATGTATTATATAAAATATTTATTTATATATATATGTTTATTTTTATCCATAATATTTATTTTATATATGCAATATATATATATATATTTTTATTTTTATTTATAAACCCAACCAGACGAGAAAACAAATGAATATCCCCGTATAATAATAATAATAAGATAAATAGGCGTAGGGACGTGACGACCACATCGCCCGCCGGCGTAACAGTTTAAGTGACAAAACTGTTGCATCGGCGCAATCAGTCAGCGCCTTGCCAATAGGTGTTTGCGCCGTGCCTAGGCAAAAGTGGTGCATAGGCCCGTCTGTACGTTCGGCCACACTATAGAAAACGGTGCCGGTATGGGGGCGTCTTCCGTTAAATGACGCCCTAAAATATAATGGATGATGGACTTCCGAAGTATGCGCATAGGGCCGCTGCCTGGGGGCCGCCAGGGCGCGTCTGGAGCTGGCGCTGGACGTCTGAAATGAATCAGAACGCAATGCGGGCGTATTTTAGGGCGAAAGGGAGTGAAACTGGAGGGTTTGCGTATCGGTCAGCCATCTTTAACCGTCACCGAGCAAAACCTAGCAGACAGAGTTCGGTACATCATGCGCTCAAAAATAATTGATGATGCCGAGCTCGAACGACTTCGACGTGAGGCTGTTCCATCATCGGATGAGAATGCAGTAGCTGGAAATGCGACCCCGCAACCTGCGGATCTCGTAGGGTTACAAGTGGAAGCGGAGGCCGCGTTTTACCCCCCGGCTCCTGTAGATTCGTGCGATGATGGAATAGTCGCCCAAGAAATAGAGCAGATGAGAAGTATATTGGAGGAGGCAATTCTGGAGGTGCGCGAAACGCCTCTCGAGTATCGACCACGTCTCCCCCGCATACCCCTAAGTAAGCGGAGTCGGTCTGTCATGAGGTCTCTTAACCCGATGCTGGCAACCTATTTGGAAGCTAGCCGGGATCTTTGCGATACGGACTCAATTCTCTTTGGCGCTGCACTGGCAGTATGCCGAATCGTTGGCGCCAAACTTCCCAAGGCTGGACGTGCTACCAGACCAGGTAGCACTATCCCAGCATGGAGAAGAAGAATTGAGGACCGTATCGCAAAGGTAAGGGCCATCATCGACAGGCTGATAAGCTTCAGGTCGGGCAATAATAGGCCCAGAATTGTGCGCACCGTTAGGATGGCGTTCGCTGGGACCAACATCAACTTGTTCTAGCCGGATATTACGCAAAAACTAACGGACCGCATAGATGACCTGAAGCAGAGGATCGCTGCTTGGGGGAAGCGGATTCGGAGATATACCGAGAGGACGGCGCGGTTTAGCCAGAATCGCCTCTTTCAGAGTGACCAAAAGAGGCTCTGCAAATCTTTGGAGCAACCAATGAGCTGTGAAACGGGCCAAGGACCGGACCAGGCAGACACTGTCGCTTTCTGGCGCAGCCTGTGGTCAGAGCCCGTAGACCACAGCGAGGGCCCTTGGACACAAGTCGTGGCGAGCCAATGTGCAGATATTACACCCATGGACCCCGTCGTCATAATACCCGACGACGTATCTGAGGCAGTCCGTAAAGCCCCAAACTGGAAAAGTCCGGGACTCGACGGCCTGCATCAATACTGGTTGAAGGGGTTCGTGGTGTGTCATGCTGTGCTCGCCCGACAATTCCAAGAAGCTCTCGATCAGAGGTCACTCCCGAGCCTCTTTACTACTGGGGTCACTCATTTGGTTCCTAAAGATCAGGTTACCACAGACCCGAGTAAGTACCGCCCCATAACGTGTCTACCTACCATCTATATTACACTGACATCTATTCTGAGCATGAGAATCACCCGGCATATTAATATGAATCGGATTATGTCTCGTGCTCAGAATGGATGTCGGGGCGGTGGTCGTGGAACCAAGGAACCAATTCTCATCGACGCGCTCATTGGCAAAATGGTTAAACGCAACCGTCGGAACTTCTCCGCCGCCTGGATAGACTATAGAAAGGCGTTCGACTCGGTGCCCCATACATGGCTAAAGAGGGTCCTCGAACTGTACAAAGTAGACTGTACAAAGTAGACTGTACAGTAAGAGACTTCCTCGGGCACTGTATGGGGCAATGGAGTACGATCCTTTGTCATCTAGGCGAGCGGATGACGGCTGCGGAATACCGGATAAGGATACGACGGGGTATTTTCCAGGGCGACTGTTTGAGCCCAATATGGTTTTGCCTCTCCCTGAACCCTCTCAGCGTGCTACTGGAGGGCTCCGGGGGAGGATTTCAGCTTCGGAGAGGAGGGACAAAAGTGGCCCACCTTTTCTACATAGATGACCTCAAATTATTCGCCTCCAATCGCTCTCATTTGATGGAATTGCTTAAAGTCACTTGTGATTTCAGCAATTCTATCAAAATGGAGCTTGGGACGGATAAGTGCGCGGTCCTCCATGTCGAAAGGGGTAAGGTCGCTAATACGGAGGGCATAGACTTATCTATGCCCGTTAATATAAGGACCCTCTCTGAGGCTGAAACATACCGATACCTGGGTATGTCACAAAACATGTGTATTGATGAGGCTGGCATGAAACAGTCAGTTCGTGACGTGTTTTTTGCACGCCTGACAAAGGTATTTAACAGCCATTTGTCAGGCGTGAACAAGGCACGCGCTTTTTAACGGCTGGGTCATGCCAGTCCTCATGTATACCTTTGGCATACTCAGGTGGACTCAAAACTGAGCTCAACGCCCTGGATCGAAAAGTCCGCACAACTATGACGTCCCACAGAATGCATCATCCGAGATCGTCAGTGATGAGGCTGTATCTGCCGCGGAGGCATGGTGGGAGGGGCTTTTTAAGCGCCCTCACCATGCACAATCGCGAGGTGTGCAGCCTCCGTAACTACTTTCTGGCGAGATCGGATGAATTAATCTACACGGATGTCATTAGTTGTGATAAAGGACTTACCCCTCTATCCTTAGCCAACGAGCAATGGCAGGACCCGGGAGTACTGAGCGTTTCCGACCGAGAGCGTATGGAAGGAGAAAGAGCTCCACGGGAGGATCTACAAGGCTCTACACGAGCCTTTCGTAGATACCGTTGCCTCCCTTAACTGGCTACGTTTCGGTGACCTCTTTGGGGAAACCGAAGGTTTTGTCTGTGCAATACAGGATCAGGTTATTAAGACGAACAACTATCGGAAATACATCCTAAGGGATGGCACCGTCGACATCTGTCGAGCTTGTCGCCGTCCCGGGGAGTCGCTTCGGCATGTTATTTCCGGTTGTTCCATGCTTTCTAACTCTGAGTATCTGCATAGACACAATCTAGTAGCCAGAATACTACACCGGGAGCTCGCTCTGAAATACGGCCTCGTGGATCTGAAACTGCCGTACTATAAGTACTCTCCGGAGGCCGTGCTCGAAAATGACCGCGCCAGGCTCTATTGGGACCGGCCCATCATCACGGACAGGACGATTGTCGCGAACAAACCTGACATCGTGGTGATGGACCGGGCACAGTCGCGGGTATTTTTGGTCGACATTACCATTCCGTATGACGAGAACCTCGTGAAAGCCGAAACAGATAAGAAGAGAAAGTATCTGGACCTGGCTCACGAGGTGACCGACATGTGGGGTGGTGTGCCGACCGAAATTATCCCGATAGTCGTGTCTGCGAATGGGTTAATCCCAATCAGCCTCTCTAAACATCTGAGGCGACTGGGACTCCGGAACGGATCGCTCCAAGCTCAAATGCAGAAGGCTGTGCTCCTCGATACCGCCCGCATCGTCCGCCGGTTTTTCTCCCTATCGCCCTAACCCTCGGCCGTTTGGTCTCCCCTGCCGATGGCTTCCGTCTGGTTGGGTCCTATTTATATATGTATTATATAGAACATTTATATGTATATGTTTATTTTAATCCATAATATTTATTTTATATATGCAATATGTATATATATTTTTATTTTTATCTAGAAACCCAACCAGACGAGAAAACAAATAAATATCCCCAGTAAATAGTTAATAATAACAATAAATTACATAGTGGGCTGCAATGTAAAGTTTAACATGGTTTGCATATTTGCTGTATTTAATATTAAAACAAATGTAATTTTAATGAAATTATCAAGCACTTCAAAAAACCTTCAAATAAACGATTATAATAAAATTTTGAATATCAACACCGTGTCGCCGCTCATAGGGGGTTCGCTTTTAATTAAATATACTTGAGTAACCTCAGTTCAATCCCTGGTGCCGGCACCAATGAAATCGACATATTTTCTGCAAAAAACCCTGCACTTAACTCTCCGTACAGAGGAGGCCTACGCCCAACTGTGGGGCGTAACCAGGACCTAATACTTTGCTTTTTTACTTTACATTATCTTATAAACACATAAGATATTTGTTGGCTTGTATGATTGGATGTATGTTTAATAGTTTCATTATTCAGAAAGGCATTAATATAGATCTCTCACTTTACTAGCACTATTCATCAATTAGTGTTAATTTGCTGTAATATTGACTGATTATAAATTATATTAATTGAAATTAAAAATTATTTATGAAATGAAGTATGCAAATAATGAAAAGTCATAAAATATTAGTCATTTTTTTCAACAATATGGATATTGAATGCAGCAAATATAATTATTGTAGCTTTCAAGTGTAGAAAGTGACTTAGTTGTAGAAAGTTTGGAAAGCGATAACTTTATAGGCTCTTTTAATAATCAAGCCTACTTCTATGCATAATGACTGATGTTTTTGCTTCTAATTCATAGACTTCATCAAAAACAGAACTAGCTTGGGACATCCATATCCCATGGGCTTGATACGGCTCCCTGGGTTTGGTAGGACCATGCATGTTCTCGAGTGGTTTATCTTAAATGGGAGGAATGTCATCAACGAGCTATCGAGGTTTTGTATGAACAGTAACCTCGATGGCCATTGACTATAACTGGGGGCTGCCTTGAACGAGAGTACTTAATAGTATTTCATATAGCAACATAATAATAAAATTTGTCCACATACCTCATTTTGAATTGAGATATTATATAATGACTGTGGAACATTAGTTAATTCAATCAAACAAAGCATTTCCTAAGCATTACATTTTAAAATGGCAAAAAAATGTGAGTATTAATTAAAATAGAAAAACCTGTTAGTGACATCCTCCATATCATACACTCTGTTTAAGGTTTGCCTTCGTGGTGCTAGCATATTTGCAGAGATATCTTCGTCAAACATGAGATAGCTCCTACCAATCTCTTTGTCCAAATTGCACTGTATTGTATTGTCTCTATACTCCAGGGTCTCCAGGGAAGACGAGGTTGTAACAACAATTGTCATGCATGATTGTTTCTCAGTGTAGAGAAGTTCGGAAAAGGAGTTGGTGCTATAAAGGGTGAGGATAGGGTGAGGTTACTAAGAGGACACAAAGGATTTGGCAGTACAAAGGAAATGAAACTGCATGACTGCATTGTCTATAACCAATAACAATCCAAAACCCAACTTCTCGCAATAGAGATCAGAGCATGTGTCCAAAACTATCTTGGGATTTCAGGAAAACTATGTTTAAATTAAAAATGTATACTAACTTAGCTGGGCCGCATATCATATTACTTTCACTTATAGCTTCTGCACATTCCCAACTTTCTTCCATGTCACTCAAATTGCTTACATTGGGGCAATCTGAAATTTTAAAAATTTTTAGTAATGACTTTTTTTAAAAAGAAATAGGAACAAATTTACCTTTAGTAAATTGATATTTATAAACATCATATATTGAATCAAAAAGTTTTGATGAATTTAACAAATTTTTATAACACCATAATAAAAAGAATGTTTCAAACAAGTCTTTAAATATTACTGTCTTATATAAAAGATGAAATGTCGTGTGATCTTTCATATTTAATAAATTGAAAGTATTAAACTAACAATTTACAAGCTGACAGTGACCAAACTTATGTGACATCAGGACTTCTAATATCTCACTCCATTTCATGAATACTGTAAAGTATTCAAATGCCAGGAGTAAATATAAGTAATAGCAATAAAATCCATAAGGTTGTTTTAAAAGCTGTGACTAGATACTTTTAAAATAAAATTTATACTTTTCTCATGAAAAACGGTCATGAATGTATTGATTCTGTTTTAAACGCAGCTGATGCTTTGTACAAACTTTCCTGGTTAAGATGTCATTTTGAAAATGCCTTGTTTTGTCTTAACAAACTTACTTTTTACTAAAGCTAGGCTATCAATAGTTAAATCTTGTTGCTTGTGGTAATCCCTCGAAACAAAAAGTGCTAGCTGACTACAACAGCCATGATGTAAGGTTCCAGGAGGACCTGGTCCAATGCCCTTACAGGTAACAGTGTAATTTGGGTACCGAATCACAATATTGCTGCACCTGTAAAAATAATTGCAATGCACATGTCACTAGTAGGGCTACTTGCACTGCCTTATTTATATTTTAATGAAGTATTATAACTTAAATATTAGTGCTTTACATTTAATTAAAATATAATTGAAAAGTTGCCGTGATAGCACAGTGTCTTCACCTTTAATTTAATATAGGTACTTGAGCAACCAGACTGCAATCCCCATTGTCAGCACCAATGAAATTGTTAATTTTAAGTGCTGACTTATTAATTGCTCAGCGGTGAAATAAAACATAGTATGGAAACCTACATATTTTCTAATTAACAATTTAACAAAAATATTTCAAAGATATGTGAAGTCTGCCCATCTGCAGTGGGGTGCATGGTGGACTATGCCCTAATACCCTCTGTACAGAGGAGGCTTTTGCGCAGCAGTTGCATATGTAGACTGTTACTTTACTTCGTAATTGAAAATGGCGCACCAATCATTAAACTGCTCCCTTGTCCATTCAAACAAATGATCCCATCTCCTTAGCCCATTTTTCTCCATAGCTTTGAACAGGATATTGAAATCAGCATTGGGTGTAGTGATAACAGCTATATGAGGTTGAATGAAACCAAAAATGTTATGAACCAGCCTATCTAAATCATGAGGCAGCATGTGCTCTATCATCTCTATTGCTACAACAGCATCACAACCAACAAGCCTGTAGTCTGGATCAGCTGCGTTTCCTTGAAATAGCTAAAAGAAAAGGTTAATCATGATAAGAGATAGATAAATTTCAAATCATCAATTTTCTAAATAGTAAAAAAATATTAAAATAAAAAATATTCATTTTTATAAATGAATAATAAAGTTTGATTTCTACATTTGTTTCAGTAGATTCTAGGAGATATAATTTTTGACTATTGTGTATAAGATAGAATTATTTTGTATTTTGTAGCATTAAACAGGAATGAAATAAAATGAATGAAATGAAATCTTAAAAACTTACAGTAATTTGTAATGGGTTCTCTCGCTTGGGTGCATAATCTCCATGGAAAATAAGGTCTGAGGAGCAACGTAATGGCACAGTTTCAATATCTACTCCCAAAATATATTTTACCCCAGGAACTTCTTTTAAGTACTTGATAAAGCTCATATCGTGATAACCAAGGTCAACAATCTGCAATAAACGATTATTTTCACAGCACATTGTAAATTTATCTGTAATCAAATTTTTTCTCATAATTTTAATAATGAATGAATTAGCAAGGCAATAGAACAGATGTCTTTTTCCGTACTAATAACAAATTCGTCAATTGTAAATTTTAGAGCTTGCCATGTTTTTCTAACAAACCTTTTCTAATTTGCCACACCATCTTTCATCCAAAAGACAGTCATTAACAGCAGCATACCGTTGAGCATACATCGGTGGAAAGAAAACAACCCCCTTTTCATCATCAAATTCAGCAAATACTTGTTCTTCAGAGTCATCGTCATCCAAGTTATCGTCTTTATTTTTGAGTGAAAAACTAAATCGCTTATAATATGGTCCAATCAAACGTTCCAAAACAGTCACCAATGACTCTCGGAAGTATAGCAGGGTCTGCACAGCAATAATCATGATGAACGATTTTGACTTGGAGATTTGACAATAATTTCACAGTTCAGCAAATTATCTTCTATCGAAAACGAAAGAAGCCGCCAGTAATGACGAGATATTCACATTTTTTGTTTTGTTTTTGTTTTTTCATGATTTGACATTAATATTTTTAAGTTTTAAGTCACAGGTATTTAAACAAAGGCATTGACTATATACTTTGTCTTTGATTATATAGTTGGCAAGAGTATAATAAAAAAAAAGGATTTTGTGAATCGGTCCACAAATGGGGGAGAATTCGGTGAAAATACATAAAAAATACATACAGTAGAACATAGAAACTCATCATTTTTTGAAGTCGGTTAAAAACAAAGGCTACCCGTAAGCAGTAAGCTATTTTTGTGTAGTTTGCTATTATTCCGATGGGTCTGACAGATTCATTGGAACAGATCCACATGCAGTTGACCTGCGAATTAGGAGAGATAAGGCTTGTGCACTAGGACAAGACATGGTTACGCCCACGAAAGAGAAAAGTCGTTTGCTCTATTCAGTGATTACGCCGTCGCTTCGCTGTTTCTTCGTGATAACTGTTAACGAAAGGTGGACGACTCGATTAACAAAGGGAGGCATGACACAATTCTAGAGCCCCTCAGATGGACGTTCGAAACTCGGCTTGATACCACGATCAATGTTGGAACCTATTCAGAGGAAGTAATGAGGACAAAATTGCGATTTCATTTTATTCACAAGACATAACTAAGTCAAACAGTTTGCGTACGAAAACAATTAAATTATGATAATTAAGTTATTGAAAAAACACAAAAAGTCAGATTCTCCATGTATTGTAAAAATATAATTATTTTAATAAAAAGCGTAATGGTCTTTAATTGTGTAGTTTTATTTAATTAAGATTTGGTAAATTTATTTCAAATTTAGTAGTTTTGAATTTCTTCGATTGATAATTAATAGGGTTATCGTTTCTCGCTAGTTTGTTTTTGAAACACTTACCTCTATCCTAAACCACGTCACGCCCTGTGTGCTTGTTACTGCGGTGCATATTTAGTTGAACATGGAAAATATGTAATCCTATCGTATCGTACGAAGTATCGTGTGGAAAGAAATTGTCCTGCTTAAAATTCAACGAAGTGAGTCTAAGGTGCAGAAAGCACTGTAATCTTTTACTTCTAAATTTTAAATAAGACACAAAGATATATATTTCAATCGGCATATTGGCATTCTCTTAACCGCTGTTCTTAACCACTGATGATTCTTAACCTGACAATCGTCTCGTGCCCGATAACTGCGTCACGTCAGTGTCCTTCACTGGTACGTAGATTTTCCTTAGCACTTTCTCTCGAACAAAGAAAATTTCTGTTCATCCTTCCGGGTCAGGGTCTAGGTTTCACAACAGTCCTGATTATGGTTCTATAGATGGCTAATTTTGATTATTTTGTCTGTCCTGTTTTGAGAGGTAATCGAAGATCACAGATAGGTAAAGCTGTCAACACCATTTATCATTTGATATAAGTATATGGTACGTATACACCATATATCCACGCGGATATTTTCTAGGTTGTCTTGAAATCGCAAGGTATTCAGTTTTTCTTTAATTTACAAGCATACATGTACTAAAGCGATACACTGCTTTTCTGATATCAGTTCATTGACGTTAAGTTTTCGTATAACAGTTTCCAGTACTAGATTGAAAGGGATGGATAAAAGTGTATTTCCTTGCTCGACTCCTAAGTGCATTTCTAACGATTCTGACATATCGTTTTGGATAAAGATGACTGATTTGGAGAACTTCAAAGCTTTGCTTTTAAAAGTCGTACTAGTTTGCTTTGTATACCTAGTGTTAACCTGTTAGAGAGTATCTCCGGACGCTTTACACTGTCAAAAGCTTGCTTGAAGTCAACACCACATGTTTATGTGGTGCAACTCGTATGCTTTTTACAGTGTTTGACGCATTAGATGCATCAGGTCCACATTGGAACGATTAGGTAACTGAATAGGCTGAATACAGAATAATAGCCAAATATTCGTTGCAAGTCTAAAAATAACCTGAAGGATATAGGTTTATTTTTAAAAAAGTTAAATATTTAATATGTGTATTGATCGGTAATACTGGTAAGGATTAAGTACTTAATTAAATTACTTAATCATTATCAGTATTACCGATAAAGTAACATAATTTAATACAATTTCAGTAGGTATATGGGTGACCGAGATTCAATCAGCGTTATTTTATGTAAAATCGTTTTTTGTTACGGCTATTCGTATTTGGATAATGTTAGATAGTGCCATCTCCCAAAATTATTAAGTACCAGTAAACTACCATCCCATAGTAACATTGCAAGTCAACAATTAGATTTAATGAAAAAGGCCGTATTATTAATAACTCGGTAAGTAATGAAAAAACGTGTTTTATTATCTTATGTGTTTTTGTTATGTGTGACGTATAAGTCTCCTAAAAAGTATATTCTTTGGTTTCAAATAAACATGCCGTGAAAGTAACCATTGTAAACTTCACTCTTATTGACTGGTATCTATTGATTCGTTTTACAGCCGGTTTCGCTTATGTAAATGAACCACTATTGCGAAACGTTTAATCTCCTTTAATTGATGATTAAGTCTGAATGAATATTAACAAATCTTTTGACCTTACAAACGTGATCTTCAACATTAAGTTTCTAAAGAAATATTAATTAGAATAACGGAAATTGGTAGCATAATTATAATTACAAAACAAATTAATTCGCATAAGATATTGGCAAGGTAAATATCAATTTATTATTGATCCATTGCTTATTTTTGAACTTGATGTAGACGTTTTTGGTTTAGATCGAAAGTTTTCAACGCTGAACAGTTCAACTATTGATATCATGGTTCATGGTTTATAATGTCATTGAGATTAACATGTTTCTGATGTGTTTTTAAGAAATTTGAACATAGAAATAAAATTTGAATATAGAGTTCATAAATAACTTTGCTTGTGTAAAAGCACAAACTATATTATTAAAACGAAAGTAAAAGCTCACCAGATGTGTTAAAATCATTATCTAAATTAAATTTCAAACAATACAAAAATCTTTATTGAAACACTAATAAAATTAATAAAATTAAATTTATATTTACGTATCGAATTCAATTTACTTTGCCAAAATATAAGTGGCGAAGTATATATATTGCCACTTATTTAAATATATCCTGATACAACTTATTTATAACTAGCTGTGCCCCACAACTTCGTCCGCGAGCAATTTAAAATAAATAAAGTTTCTAAAATAAAAGAAGCCTAAGTTACTCCTTATGATATCAGCTATCTGCCAGTGAAAGTCCCGTAAAAAATCGGTCCAGTCGTTTCCGAGATTAGCCGGAACAAATAGACAGACAAACAGACAAAAATTACTAAAAAGCGGTTATTTTAATATTACAAACAGACACTCCAATTTTATTTATCTGTATAGATGAGGTCATCTTTATAGTGGGTACATTGATTTTTTTTTTTACATTACTTTAATATTCCTGTAAAAAAACTTTGATTTCCAGATAGAACAGTAAGAAATAGTCGTAAAATTTGGTTAGTTTGTTGCTCGATTTTAAATACTATATTAATATTATAAATCAGGTTACACCAATGTAAAAAAGCTTTCACGGCAGAAAAGTTGCTGGAATAAAACCTTGACCCAAGCAAATTCTTTGAAATTACGTATAGTACATACAAGAAATACACCATGCCGACAGATGTTACGTAAAAATTATATAACTCCAAGTGTTAAATGTGCGCTTAATATGTGGCTAGGAAAATTGTTACATTTACACATAGCATAAGTTGTATTAAAGATAAGAGTAAAATCTTTCCACGTTACATTAATAACTTCAATGTCACGAATTACTTAAAAAATTAATTATTTATTAAAAATGTCTATTAAAATTTTATTTGTATTACACTAAAAAGGGTTTCATCTTTATTCAATAAATAACGCTGGCTCATTTTTTTTACATCATCTTATTGCTTTCAATGATATAACTTTCAGCACATTCGTCCATCTGTTAAGATCTTATTTGAATTCGTATTGTTCTGCAAGACACGTGTAAAAAGTGAATCGTATAGCTGTCTGCGTTAGTGCATGATGTAATGGCATTTGATAATACTAGATGCCTATTTTAGTTCCGGTTGCAAATATTGTACATAACAGTTTTGTAATACATCACACATTTATGCACTTCGAACGCCATAATATACGTAAGTTCATCGGTATTGAGACAGTCATAATTTTTTCGAAAGTAATCACGTAAAATTTTACGTTCTGGTAACATTTATTAACGAATCGATGGGAATAAAATTAATACATGCATCAGTAATATACATAATATGTACGTAATTCATGTAATAAAATATGTGTTTAAAAAATGTACAAAAAAAGAATTTCTCGTTGTATGTTATTCCATTTTTGCAAAAAGAAAAAAAATTGTAAACTTATTGTACTTTACTTAGCATTGGAGCACAAACTGGGTAATGCACAAACAGCAACATAAATTATATGTATAGCCGTAAGTTTTTTTTGTTTCAACAGGCTGGAGAAGTGATGGAACACGGAAAAAGGACATAAACTACGAGAGGGCAACCAACATCATGACTATGTAAACGTTCATACATTGCACAGTTTCTGTTTTAGTGTTTTTATACATTATTCTTCTGTACGTGTTTATGTCACTGAACTCCTCCTAAACGGCTGGACCGATTTTAATGAAATTTTTTATGTGTGTTCAGGTGGATTCGGGAATGGTTAAGATTTTAAAATTTATTTAAAAACTTCACTTCGTTTATGTGTTATGTATATAATTAATAAATTTTTTCATGAAATGTAATAAATCGTGTTATTCAATAGTAATACATTGATACCTCTCATAAAAATCATGGAGACGGAGATCGATCAATTTTATTGAATTAATAAGTTATATCTTTTACCAATAAATATGAAGACTCCTTCATCATTAGCGACTTTTACCACCGGTCGCCCACGAGGCTCGATGTTGAGATTTAAAATTTCCATAACGGAAACGACCAAACCATAAATGCATCTTGCGTTTACTTGCGAGGTGCGCCTTTATGTGTCGTTGATATTCCGTACCTTCTGCACCGCGTCGGGACAATAACGGAACTCGTGTTCGAAAATGACGCACAATTTCGATTTTTCCATGGTCACAAATTTCATTCGAACTGTCGGATTTATGAACTACTGATATAAAACAAATGTCATAGCTTTGTTATAAACTAAATCTGAATTTACTATTATAAATAGGTAGAACAAGAGATATCGATTTTCGTACTAACCACTGCTTCCTACTTGTCGTCAATTTCGTTGATAAAATAAATAAAAGGAAATTAAATAAATATACCTACGTGCACTTTTTGTCGACTAAATTGTATACAATTATATTTATTATTACATATTATAGAACCATACTATACTAATATATACTACTGCATTACACTTTTTAATGATTGTTAGTTAGGGATCAGAAAAAAGCCGCTGATCTGCGAAGAACCGGCGATAGAAACTCAGCGGGATATTATTTTACTAATTATTTTATAACAATATTATACGTTATACAAATATATATCTACATTAATTAATTAATTTATTTATTTATTTAAAAATTTAATTTATTTTAAGGATAAAGTTAAGGCCAACTTAATGCTAATAAGCATTCCCTTCGAGTCAACCCTGGGAGTTGAGAAAGTTTGACGCAGGTGCAAAACAAAATACGCGAAATAAATTAAAGAAAAATAAATAAAAGAAAACTTACATAAAACCGAAGGATAAAGTTGGTGACTCTAACAATCGACAAAATTGGCATAGTGACATCGCAGCGTTTTCTTAAATGATACCTTGCTTGGTGCGTTTCTGATGAACTGAGGCAAAGAGTTCCGGAGTAACCTGAATAGTAAAAGATTTATGTGATCGAGTTCATAGTTTTTCCAATTCACAGCATAAACATTTGTAAGAAATAAACATAACAGAATTTACAATCTGTTTTCCCGTATCAAAAGTACATAACGAGTCTCGGAGACTATTTTAATATATATTTATAGAGAAATGTAGTACAAGACAAAAAACTAGATCTTTTATTCAACGTATTACCCGGTTTTAGAACGGATAAAACCTAGGACCTTGTAACAAATCATTGTACGAGCTAAATGTACACAAATAATTTGACGAGATCAGATACGTGTAATTATTGAGATATTTAGTTTCACTTAATTTCGGTGCGTACTTTTATTGTTTTTATCATTTTTTTGAAGCATAACGTCCAATTCAAAATCTCTTGTATCATATTTTTAAATTTTATTACCATTGGACAAAACCATTTTCCAGATAATTACGTATATTATGTAACCATAAATAATTTTTTGCCTGACTTTCCAAAGGAACAACAAAGATATGTTATGCGCAATTAGATTTTGTAATGGTCCGATTGTAATTTAAAAAAAATCTTATACTTTCTACATGCATTTAAATAAAAAACACTAAAACAGTCCCACAAAAATTAAATGTAATTTAGAAAATAATATATTTACAAAACCTATAATTTGTTTGATATAAATTTGGTATCCATTAACAGGATTTATTAAGTTGCTTATTGCCCCTAACATTTTGAATCAGAATACACGTTTGATAATACACATAGAAGTCATCACCAACATCATCAGTCCATGTCAATGCAAGCTATACATAGGCATAAAGTAAAAGTAAAGTAAAGTATCAGCCTATACATGTCCCACTGCTGGGCAAAGGCCTCCTCCGTACAGACGGTATCAGGGCATAGTCCACCACGCGGCCCCACTGCGGATTGGCGAACTTCACATATCTTCGAAATATTATTTTTTTTATTATTATTTCGAAAATATGCAGGTTTCCTCACGATGTTTTCCTTCACCGCTGAGCACGTGATAATTCAGCACTTAAAATTAACCATTTCATTGGTGCTGGCAAATATATTAAATTAAAGGCACGGACACTGAGCTATCACGGGTCTTGGCATAAACATAATGGAATTTTAATCTGAGCCAAAAATTCGCAACAAATCATTCAAATATAATTTTGCACTGACTTCGTTTGGATTAAAATTTAAAATGAAACTTAAATAACACTTTTATTGAAAAGAAAGAAGCAGATAATAATTGAACTTTACATTGTTAATACATAAAGTATCAAAATGAATTAAAAGTTCCAGATATCACGCCTCTCGAAAGTTGAATAACATGAAATTTAAACTAAAGTATGTTGAAGTGAACGGAGACTATGTACTAGACGTCGCATTACGTGCCTCGAATGAAGAACAAAAAGTAAAGAAAAATAAATAAATAAATCACCTTCAAATTCCTTCCCTGTCGCCTCAATCTTATTATTGAGTATGATTCAACAATATCATCTTAATTTTTAGAGAATGTCATTTTCGGGTTACATTCGATTCATAAGCTATATATTGACCCAAAATGAAGTAGGTACTTCAAATATCAACTGGACTTTTCCTGCACGAGTTTATTATGCGCGACGCCACACGAGAGTTTTAGGAACAAACAGTTAACTTCATTTAAGTATGGTTGGTTAGGGGGTCATTTGTATGTTTTATTTGTTTTTTATATAAAGGATTCTTATATTATTTCAATAATAGAACCAAGAGAGGCTGTTTCGTTAATTTTGTGCCAGTGTATAATCTTACAATTGAAAATAAATAGTCTGAACAATTGATTAAAAAGCTATGGCCAGTGATCAAAATCAACCAAAAGGACTCTGGGAAATGGCAACTTGTTTGTTATTATAAACAATTACTTACGCACAATTGTCACTTAGTGAATGAAGAAGAAAACAGGGGAAGGAAAACAATTTTCGCTGAACATATCTGAAGTTCACGCGAGTGCTTGTGTTGTTTCATCTGATTTCGTTTATCGTTCAGCTACTAACATTATTATTGTTCTTCTGATAGAATTTTTTGTTAAATCACGGCTAAGTCTTTGTACCGGTTTTAGTGTGCATACGCAGGTCAGGCGAAGAAAAGGCGCGCGCAAAGGCAGCAATCGTCAGTCGCGCCAGGGTCGTCTCAGGGGTCGGACCGCTATCTAGTCATTGTATTTTTTTTATAATATACTTTTTAATATTGCAATCAAAAGGTCACTATGAAAGTGTTCATCGTATTGACGGCAGTCGCCGCCATAGCCAGTAAGTATTTATAAAGATTCAATTAATAAATTTAACTTTATCTATATGACAATTTAAACAAATTAATGAATAAATGGCAAAAAATCAATAATGTCTTAATCGCATTTATTAATCTACCCCTATTATTTTTTATTTATTTGGCAAAAACATAAACTATAGTAACAATATCGATAGTCATACCTTAAAAAGATAATCTGGATATTTTGTAAAGAAACTTCAACATTTGTAATTGTAATTTCTAACCAAAAAGCTTTTACAAATGTAACAAATGGGATAATTATGTACAAACTTGCATGACACACGATTGCTGTAAGTTAAACAATTAGAAGCGATTAAAAGGCCTAATTGCTGTGAAAATATTCACCGGTTACAGTAAAGTTTTCGGCAACACAGTCATTAAGCACGAAACTAAGAAGGCTTTATACAAGAATTTGTTCATGATTTACTAACTGAAAAAAAATATTTCAATGATTTCTTGGAAAAAGTTATAATTGACATTTATACTTTAACTGTTTATTTATTTTAATTTTATTATGTTCAGACATTCTAATCAATATTAACTTTATTTTTAATTTTATTTATTTTGATTAAAGTAATTAATTCAGTCTACGCTGTTAGTCCTTTCGATCAAGTATTCATAAGCCGCTTTTGGCTGGCGTAATATAGAAAATAGATAACCGCAATTTAATAATCTTTGCGTAAATAAATGATAGTGTTATTTTTGTACATTTAAAAGTATCCAAAAAGCATATATGATATAATACAGCACTAAAGCTTACATTACTATTTTCCTTAATAATTTTTAGGTGAAAATAATTTTAAAGCAGTACCGAAAAAGTAAGAAATAAAATGATATCGATCGTATCAAAAATATTGCGTTTCTTCTCGTAAATAACGCCCTGTATTTATATAATTGGATTGTATAATCTGGAAAAGTGTTGTTCTTAGAAAGTTCAATTTGCAGTACACGGCACAAGCAGCAAAAAATGCTTTATAACCAACAAAGTGATTTAGAATATTGTGTCACCACCGAGAAGTACACCTTAAATACAACATTGACATTCACTCCATTGTCTATTGTTAAATTAAACCATACGAATTTCTATAAATTGCTTCGTAATAGTTCTGACACGATTTATAGAAAAGTTTACGCAAGCTAAGGAATTTTGCAACGAAAAATATTGTATCTGCGATCACCGCTTAGTGAGAAAGTAGAAAACATAGTATACTAATTTTTATAAAAATATATTTATTTTTACTTGTACAATGACTGAGCTGGGTAATTTGGTGACGTGTTCTATTTATATATTCCGTATAAAAATCACGAAAATAGAAAATACTTCAGTATGAAATTCATGACACACGCGTGTATTAACATTGTGAAAAGTTTACTAGACTGTAAATAATCTAAAAATATGAATAATAAAGGCAAAGTAGTGCATAAAAGTTACTAGATATTACAAATTGATAACAGAAATGTCTCTTTATCTCAAATTGAATAAGTATCATTTTACGAGAGTTAACTATAAAATAATTTTAGTCAGACATTCCTGTTTGTGCTTGTGTTATCGCTAAACTAGTTTGGGCGTGGATAGTAATTGAGTAAGCTATGTCTAGGTCACAATGAAATCTTGGGGAGGTTTGAATTTACCTTTTCAATGTAACTTACCAACTAAAGGGCTTACGTTTGTTTAGTTAAACATAATTTATTTTGAAACTGGATTAAGGGTGTCCGAAAAATAGAATTTTGAAGTACATTAATTATTTAATTAGAGAAGGACCACCTGCCAAGAATTATATTAATTTGTAAATATACGTATATTTGGTCAAAGTGTTATATAGCTAAATAAAAAAGTAATTCAATAGTTATCATGTATATGTACCTATTTAACAAGTAAATGTTATATTCATATTTATTAAAATTTAGTAAATACATATGACGTAATTAATATACGAAGGAGACTTGTGTCAAATAAAGGCGGAAAAGGCAGTTTGACATTTATTATTTTACTGTTGTACCCCGCGATGATGATCGGGGAAACGTGGCACAGACTGGCGCGTCGCGTTTCCATAACCAGTTTGTCGTCTTGACTTTTAAGCATATAAAAAGAACAAGATTTTATGTGTCAAGGTAAACATACTAATGAGCCAGTTATGTAAAACTACAAAACGTTAATTTTTAATGGTTCTTCAACTTAAACGTGTAGACTATATTATTTAAAACTAACCTTCATTTTTGGTAATGTGTATTAATGTGCGTTTGTATCTTACCTATATAACAATTTGTATGGGCGGTAGCATCAAAATAGCTCATTAACGTACGGTTCAAACATTATGTTTTGATAGCCGTTTATTTTTTGATAGCCATTAGGTCAACCGTTTTTGATAGTTTGACGACATTCGACAATATTAAGGTCAACGGGATACACGCATGTTAGGGTCACACCGCGGCCTAACCCCAGTGCATCAGCGGCGATGCACCTTCGGAGCCGGTGTGGCAAGCGCCACACTTTCACTTCTTGTGCCGAACGCGTTGCGTCACCACGATCGCGTGTTGCGCTACGAAGCGCGGGCGTCTCGCCCCTGCTGGCATGTGAACACAATATAATGTGAACATGAAATTAACCCACGCGGACCGACTGATTGATGGATGATTAACGATCACTTACGCCCGGTTTCTGAATGACTGATCTTCGTTGAAGTCAACTAATCCGCTGCCAAATGGCTTTTCAAATGTTATTTGGGTTGCCAAAAGGATTGTTAAACTCCCTGAATTGACCAGAATGATATTCTTAATGATCAGCATGATGAATTTTAAGTTTTATGTAACAATTCAAATAACATTTGAAAGGCTATTTGACAGCTGATTAGTTAACTTATACGATGATCAGTGTTTCAGAAACCGGGCGTTAGTAACCTTATATTTAATAATGTTTATTAAGTCTACCCCACACAAAAAGAGCGATTTGAACGATAATCGTGAGATGTTAACAAAGCGGTAAACCAAAATTGAAAGCAAACTTTTGACACGGTAATTTTCTGAGAAGAAAAAGATTTTTTTTGCATTCAAAGACACTGTTATGAAAGAAAATCACTTATCTAAATAACTTTGTTTATTATTATTTTATTTTTCCTTTTAAACTTCTTAGACTGATAATAAAAATGTTCTCTGAAAAGATACAAAGCATCTTACATTAAATAAGCAAATTGAATTCATCATGTTAATGTCTATTCCTATTTCTATCGTAAGTTTTAATATACATCTAATTTTTAATATATATCTATAATAATATCATAAGTTGTCAATAGATAAGTCAGTAAAAACCAAATAAAAACACGTGGAATAGTGTCGGGAACTTATTTTTATTATAAAAAAGAGAATAAATAAAAAATAACCTGAAATTAATCTTAAACGATTAAACATAAGACTTACATTAAATATTTGATTGAAGTGAAAATAGCGCTTAATTTTGTTGTAATAAAGTTGCAATAAAGATTGACATTAAAGCTTTATTGCAACTAATATTCGAGAAGGGTCTATTAGCTTAACATATTGCCTAAGAGGAGGCGAGAATGGCAGCATGCCAGTCTTGTGTAGATGATTGTATAATATCGTGTGGCGTTGTGTAATGTGTGGCTCTCTGAAAGTGCCAGAATAGTTTCGCGGTAGGCTTTCATTGCCATACATTGCTCATTTTATCGTCACGCACATTTTAATGGGCCCATTCAAAAGAACACAAGCAACTAGATATGTTATTAATATTCTTATAGCATTTAGCAAGAACAAAATTAAAATAGATTTACGTTTTAATAGTTTTTTAAATTTACGGCAAGACGAAGCTGATTTATATGGTAATATAAATAAAAGAGAGATTCGTGAGATTTGCCAATACGTTAGCGACACACAAACATAGTTGATTAAAAGCGGGGTCAACACCATTAAAGCAAAAAGATTTTTTATAGAACTATAATTCTTTTCCTACAGGTGCCCAATTCAAATGCCCCAACAAAGATGGCCAATACGAGGACGAAAGACAGTGCGATAAGTTCTACGAGTGCGTAGATGGCGTAGCCACAACCAAAATTTGCCCCGACGGCCTGGTCTTCGACCCAACCATCAGGAAGATCAACAAGTGTGACCAACCCTTCAACGTTGACTGCGGAGACAGGACCGAGCTGCGTAAGTATTACATAAGCTTAACTAGCGACCCACCCCGGCTTCGCACGGGTGCAATATATACATATAAACCTTCCTCTTGAATCACTCTATCTTGTAAAAAAACTGCATCAAGATCCGTTGCATAGTTTTAAAGATCTAAGCATACATAGGGACAGACAGACAGCGGGACGACTTTGTTTTATACTATGTAGTGATTTAAAGATAATTTTGTGGCAAATTAGTATAAATCCCTTATAAATAGAATAATTGTACTATGTTATGCTGCATATGAAGGGCTATCTTCTAATAGCCCTTGATTCTACATTTATTCACCAATGAAGTCTTATAAAACACTGTTTATAAAAAAGGTTTTTATAGAATCAGGCTGAGGGAAATTTTGTTTTAATATCTTGAAGTGAAGGTATCCAGAATACCTTCGACCTACGGTCTAGGTCACATATCATTAACTTTCTAGGTCATTAGCACTACGGCGCTGAATATAATAACACATTCTATCCCCAGCAATGTATATGAACATGTCATATATAAGACTTCAACGCGTTAGAGTTGCTCTGACATATCGATAAACGTAGCCTTTTTATCTCAGACATTTATGTAAATTACATTCAGCCAATGCCGTTGTATCAGACTCGATAATGATCACCCATAAGTTAGTGTCAAAGTTGTATCTTTCTACGAATCGTCGATTTGCAAATGAAAAATCGAGTTGAGGTTTTCTAAGAGCTTGAAATTCCGCAGTTTAGATTTAGGTATAATTTACCACAACTTATTATGTGAAGCATTGCCTAAACATCGTGACATGTATTTTAATGTCAATACCTTTGTTCGATGTTTAGTATTATACCGATTTTATAGAAATTTTATACGTGCCGTGTAATGAAACGTGAAAGGAATTCGATACCGGACAACACAACTCGTCGCGCCAAGGCGAATCAGTTTGGAACGGAACAATTTAAAAATAGCGCCGAACACGTAGCGATTCAAGTAAAAGAAACTCATGCACTTCCTTGTGAGAATTGATTTAATTGATTCTCCGTAATTCTCTATCTGTAATAGAATGCTGCGGTCATTGAGCATCAAGGATTTCCTTAATGTCACCGACTTAGTCCAGTGTCTCCATTGAAAGTCATGTCCTACTAAACATGACGCAACATATTGGTTTCATAAATGATTCGGTTTCAAAAGTTGTTATTCGTTGACTCGAATTGGAAGTTTTTTGCAATATTTCCGAATGCGTAATGCCGTGCTGTTAAAACGCTATTCAAGAGTTCTATGCTTGGTGAAATATCATTTTAGGTGACGAATTGACGACTTGAGTTACTTAAATATGCCTGTATATATACTTCGTAATCTTTTAGCTTAGATAATTCATGAGAACAATAACATAATGTACTGTGAAAATCGAAGTGACATTGATGTAACACGATACTTATTAAAGTAGTCTACTAATTATAATAGTTTTTACTTTTGTAAATAAGAACTATTTCCTTTCAAATAAACAACAGATTTCCCTTTACTTATAAGTTAAGAGACTTCGCTCTAATGCAATGTATTATACATATTCCCCTTGAATAACTATCTAGTAAAAAAAACGCATCAAGATCCGTTGCGTAGTTTTAAAGATCTAAGCATACATAGGGACAGACAGACAGCTGGGCGACTTTGTTTTTTACGATGTAGTGATAAACATGGCCGTTGTTCGGATTGCAGAACCGCCTAAGCCCAACGAACGTTGCCCCCGCCGCAACGGTTTCTTCGCCCACCCCGACCCAACTGTTTGCAACATCTTCTACAACTGCATTGAGGGTGAAGCCACCGAGGTTAAATGCACAGCTGGACTCCACTTTGACGAGTACTCCGGAACCTGCGTCTGGCCCGATTCTGCTGGCAGACAAGGTTGCCAGGTTCAAGAGAGTGAGTATTATAAATAGTTATTTTGATGTTTACTAACTTCAACCTTATAATAGCACTTTCTTATTGACCCCATCAGCTGGTTCCTTTAGTGTTTCGCTAGCTTCTTCTTTACTAAGCTGTTAGCAAGCACTTACTACATACCAAAATTTTAAGTAGATCTTCCCTATCGGGCCTTATTTATGCATAGCACGAAGAACCAATTCTTGATCAATAACTAAATGAATAAAAAAGTTATCTGTGGTAAAAATGTTAACGCAACATACAACGTGTGTTCAATTTAGGTCTTGTATATTATATGTACTACAAATTCATAAACTGTGCACGTGTGCATTGACCGATTTGCCCTTTTCGATCCCAATAAGTTCCCTTCACCAATATTTATCACAACGGCACAAGTTATAACTCTATAATAACGACCTTAGTTTGATTGATTATTTGTCCGTTTAGAAACCTTTAAATCATTCTAAATAATTGAAATACTAAAATTTTAATTTTTTTAACATTTTTTAACAATTGTTAAAAACATTTTTTATTTAATTGTTTAAATTTTAATTGCTGACAAATGAATTTGTAAAATTAATTTATCTGTATCGATGTATGACATAACTTTTTATTGTTAGAAAAAACCAAGGATGGATTCGAGTGCCCTAAGGAGGCACCAATTGATCCTCAAGGCCAGCCAATCGCCCACCCCAAGTTCCCCCACCCGAATGACTGCCAGCGCTTCTACGTTTGCTTGAACGGCGTCGAGCCAAGGGACCTTGGATGCCAAGTTGGAGAGGTGTACAACGAGGAATCGCAGAAATGCGACGCCCCTGAGAATGTTCGAGGCTGGTCAGTATCCTATTTAGTTTACTAGGAAACTGGAGATTTACACATTATGTTTATAAATAAAGCGTTATACATTTTTATTACGCTTTATTTATATATAATGCTCTTACATTGCGTACAAACTGCTAAAACTTCCAAAAAGTATTTGAATTTTTTTATAAGACCGTTTATTACAATTTAAAAAAATATATATATGAGTACCAAATTAGTAACATTCCAAAAGTAATTTGACGATATGTTCTCACCGTAATTAGTACTTTTCACGGAGTACAAATTTTTACAATTATTTTTTAACATGGATTATTGAAATTTGTAGATACATGTTATCTACAAATTTCAATAGTAAAGGGACTGTACTATAAATGATGCGTGTATATGTTTGTGTTTCCATATGTGAGAAAGTTATGTACTTGTAATGATTTTTTACGATTGTTTTGTTTACAGCGAGGATTGGTATAAGGACTCCGAGGACGCAGCACCGGCGCCTAAAGCGAGGTCTTAAACCTAGTGATACTAATAATTTAGTTACACCTAAGACTTGATAAGTTAATATACATTAAGACCACTATAACCTGTTATTTTATTCACCGTCCTTTTAAGTCCCTTACTTAACTTAACCATACCTTTTTCCTATATGAGGAATACTAAATGAACAATCTATAAATATCCTTTCAAATGAACTAATTCTCAAGTGAGAAGATTGTAATATATAAATCTGTTTTTATGAATGCTACATTAAAATTTTCACGAAAACATTTTCTACCAATACCAAAAGTAAAAATGAAAGAATTTATTTCATTCTTATATGATGTAACCCTTCTGCCAAGTTATCATTAATAAATAACATACCACATTGTCCTATTATTTAGTGCGAACATTAGTTGCGAACCAGGATCACTGGTAGAGAATGCCAATAGGCATTAAGTCCGCCCTTTGTAATCCTTTTTGAGGTGTTTTCAATAAAGAATAAATATATAATTATAATGCACTTTTCTAATCTTATTCTTAACTTAAACTAAACTAGCGACCCACCCCGGCTTCGCACGGGTGCAATGTATTATACATACAAATCTTCCTTTTGACTCTATCTAGTAAATAAAACCGCATCAAGATCCGTTGCGTAGTTTTTAAGATCTAAGCATACATAGGGACAGACAGACAGCGGGACGACTTTGTTTTATACTATGCAGTGATCTGTAAACATTATTAAAATATACAAACTAGGTAAGTTCGATTAAACCGAAAACGAATTCCATCGAAATGATTATGGCCTTGGAAATAAATACTCTTAGCTAAAGATGCAGAACTATTACGGCAAGAGGAAATAGACTCCTACTGACTGAGGTATGTTTCCGATATACAAACCACGGCTAATTAACATAGTAACACACATGTAAATCAAACAAGATGCACAATGATAATTTCTTGTATTTACGCGATTACACATTATAAATAAAACTATTGATACTATTACTAATAATATTTTTTACGGATTTTTCGCTGTCTGACTGACTGTCTGTCCCGTGACCATGAACGCTGTAAATGGTTCGAAACGTCTGGAATTAAAATTAAAAATAAACGCGATAAATCCATAAAAATTAGTTTCATTTATAAGATGCACAATGTTTTTGTCTACTGGCTATACTTTTTAATTGCAGACAGAATGTAGATAAAACCACTCATTGTTCGTCAAAAATATCTCTTTATATATAGTTGTTTTATTTCAAGTTTATGTATTTAGGTTTACATTACATTAACAAGAAAGACAACATTATCTGAAACCCTACAAGTAATGTATTAAAAGAGAAAGCAAAAATATTATGCCTTTGAGCTTTAAGTGCGTTCTCTGCCTCTTTAGCAATAAAGCAACAATAATTAATTAATTAATTAAATATTTTTAGGACACATTCTTTTTACACAACGTTCTCTAGTCCTAAACTAAGTAACAAGCTAAGGGTATTAGAAAACTGATAGACATACTTAAACAAACTTGTCTTTTGTAAATAAATACATATTATACATATAAACACCCAGACACTGGAAAAACACTATGCTCATCACACAAAATTTTTCCAGTAGTGGGGATCGAACCCACACCCTCTGGCGCAGGAGGCAGGTGGCAGAATAAGTAAAAATTAATCAATTCATTAAATAACATATAAAGGAATAAAGGCATCACTAAATATATCCACTTCATTTTATGAACCATCATTCAATTATTTACTATTTACGTTCTTACTGTAATGAAATTAAATTTAATCAATATTTTAACTAATAACATATTTATCTCATTAATAAATATTAATTATAGAATGGAGTGTTGAATAAAATATCATAAGTTTTTTCCTAAAACTTTGTGGATCGGTCCCGAAAACAACACAAACCTTATAGGTATATATCACACATACACTTCTCTATTACTTATGATCTTAGAGGCCAACCAAATGTCGCCTAGGTGCTATAACCTCTTAGTTAATTAAACATTCCTTTCACTGCTTCCTAACTACTAAAGTCATTGTACGCATACGTTTAACCTCTGTAGGTTCCCCTAGCTAGCTTTTGCTATTGCTACATAATTTTTCCTGGTACCAGTCTAGCAAAATGTCGTTATATTTAGCGATGGGGTAAAGGTCCTTCTAATGCTAGCGGCATGCAGCATAAATTAACAGGGAAACAATTATAGACATTCTTCTAGAATAGGAATTAATTAATTTCAGGAGCTTCAGATTAGTGGAAAGTTCCGTTATGTTCGATTACCTGTACCTATTATATTAACATAATTGCCAATCCCAAATCTATCCCTTAAATGATAATATATAAATTAAACGGTAACATATACTTTTATATCCTCTTTACAATTAAAATTATTTTCAGTAAAAAATATTTACAGGCACATAAGGGTTTCTAATATTTACCTTACTTATCATTATGGATTCACTCCATATCATATTTCTAAGACTGTATAAGGTCTTTTCACGTAGTTAGGACAATATTTTATTTGTGACATATTATAATGTAATAATCAGTGTCATGAAGTATATTTTTTTAGTTATATTCTGTAAATGAAAGAAAACTTTAGGTCCGTGGGGTCCCCACACATCAAATTTTTTAAAAGTTTATGTCCTAGGCTTAACGCCGCGGCTGATGACAAGAGACCTGGTTCTTTTCAGCCTGGTTCTATTCAGCGTGGAAATGCAGCTAGCGTTCTTGGCACCATGCCGCGTGGATTAGGTTTATTAGATAATATGTAATTTTAGATAGATTTAATCTTGTAAATATTAGATCAATAACGATTGTACATTAAAAAATTAAAAAAAAAAAATCCATTAACTATAGCTCCATTCTATTGAAATTTGTGTGTTTCCAAATTTCAATAGCCTCGAGAATCATGCTTTAGAGGAATCAGTATTCTTTAGAAAAGATCTCTGGTATATCAAACTTGATATATTGGTTGGGGCGTTATTTTGAACGTCTTAAATTAAATTACCTTAAATTTTTGCCTCACAAGGTTTTACTTAGAACAGGTTTTTTTTTCAGAACCTATGCTCGCCTAAGTAGATTTATTAATCTACTTTGTTCTACTTCTTAATATTATTAATTACGACCGTTTTACCTAGTTTACCTTTACGCCCTTCATATTTCATAAAACGACATTAAAACTTCATATGCATTATACATATACAACATAAAAATATTTAAACACACTAATTGTTATCACAGAGTTTTTTTTTAATAATTTTAAATTTAAAAAACATGTACTCTTCATTTTGCCTTGGAAACATATATTGTTAAAAACTACAAAAAAAACTGTTCCATTATTGCATTCTTAGAGTGCGTATGCAAAGTTCGGTGAAAGGAAGTTGGTGTACATCTGCAAAATACGAAATTAAGCGAGGACAGTGCCAGGAATTTATTTTGTTACAATGTTTTCTGAGTATTGATAAAAACTATTATTTTACAGTTTGTAAATTACGCTTATTACACTTGGGTAAATATTTAAATTCAAATTAAACTGCCTTTGCATTAATTTGAACTACGTTACGTAAAGAAACAGGCTAAAATAGGTAATCATTTGGAGAGTTTAACGAACTTACGGTTTATTTTTTACGGGAAATTTTACTTTCTGTCCAACCATTTCATGAAAATTTCATCATTATTACCTCTTTAATAATGACATAAAGAAATGAACTCAATGGTTCCACACTCTCCACACAAATTCAGGGTTCATTAATTCGTAGAAAGAACTCATACGGAACAAATAAAGTTGCTCGTCGACAATTGAACGAGTGATAATGAATCACGGCATTATGCAACCCAGGTGACGGTATGCAGATCTTAAGCGCGTGCTATTTAAGCTAAATCAGATATTCTCAACCAAAAGTCTAACAACGAAAACCATCTTACAATCGAGGAAAAAACTATATCCCATATATATAGCCAATTTATTTATCAACAACTACATATTCTACATTTATATGTTAATGTAATGAAGATGACTTTCCTGCTCTTCTAAAAATTAAAACTACGGTTATGAACAAAGTAATATGAAGTCTGTAATTAGTGCGAATAAGTTTAATTGGAAACAATCAAACCCAATTTTAAATTAATTGTCGACGTGAATAACAAAAGATGTATATTCACACATCATTTCGTTATGAAATATAATGAACAGGATGACAAGCTTATTAAAAATTTTAGTTTATTACTAATTATTACATAGTTATTTCTTCATACGGGTCTAGAGTCCAGTACTCGTATCTTATGTTTATTCGTAATCATAATATTATTCGATACTAGCCAAGTTGCGTAAGTATCAAAAGTTAATTATCAACAATGTATAAAATCCGTCCTAAAAAGAAGAAAGCAAACATTATGACCTAATTAATTGTTACTACAAATTTTAATTTTAAAATTCTTTGTTCAACAATTTTACACTTTTTCCTGGTTAGATTATAAATGAACAATGGATGTTTTAGCATGTTTAAATAAGTACAATTATTTTATAAGTTACTGTTCATTAATTTGCGCAAACTACTTTTTGGCGTTATAGTTATATACTGCCACTGCCACTTAAAGGGCCATGTGAAAGTTTGAGAAGCGTTGCAGTCGACGAAGTCGTGCACGAGGCACACGCAAGCATGGGTCCTGTCCTAGCTGACAATACCGAACCAGTTTTCGACAGGCATTCTGTTACTCAACCTTAATTGTAGCTTGCGTTACTTAATTTGTTCATATCAAAATTCTTATCAAGATGTGGCCACATATCAAATGAAATAATAGATAAATTTATGGATACTATGATTGTTAGGCAATCTTTTATGTTTTTTTTTCTTTTATAATTAACTTTAAATGTAATGTGTTGTCATTTTATTGGCATTGACCAAAAAACTTTAGTGGTGTAATCACTCAAGTATTTTTAAAATTATCGCATGTTATTTGTGGAGAGCAGTAATAATTTAGATGTTTAAAAAACCACCCCAACCCGGAAACTTGTTGTTTGTTATTTTATTAATAATCTTTTTTATTCTATCGGAAATGAAATTAAATTAAAAGCGCTAATCTATTTCCAACTTCCTGATTACAATTACTGTATGACTTTGCCGTCGGCGATGATTAACTTATGTTCGTATTATGTATGCATCATACGTTAAGGCAATTCATTTAAAAATGACGTGCTATGAAAGGTTGCGAGAGAAAACATGCCATAAAAGGTCGACATAATATATTTGCCATGAGATTGACCATGAAATATACAACCAAGGCAAGCACCACTGGCGTTTTGATAGGCAATGAGCAGATCGCTCTGCGTAATTAAGTAGAGTTAACTTGTTACACGCAACTCTATATAATAAAAATGTAAAAGACAGCTTTCGGTGGAAAGAAGATAATTAAAGCAAAAACTAAAAAACAACAATTAGGTATACTTATTATATTTGTTTTTCTTTACCTAGTAATGATGCAATAAATACCCAATTTACATCGTTCTTAAATTATTGTTTTGATGTGAATAAAATATTCTTATTATTGAATTTATATGATGTGATAGGTCAGTTTGAAAGTTATATATCTTAGAATTTTGACTTTGAATAGGACTCTTTGTCTTTTCATGTCCTTAACCTACACTAGATGGGTTCGGCAGAACATGTCCTTTCTTTCCACTTTCCTCTATCAGCCTTCAATACCCACCCCTTTCTACGACATAATATAATACATAATTCAAGTAATAATTAAAAAAATGATGATAATGATGATAAATGAGATGCATGTTTCTTATGTCGATGAATTAAATTTTTTATCCAATCCCTTCTCTGTCTTCCTTCAGCTTTACACCCTCCAACCACATTCTTACTCATCACTCTCATGGTCACATGACTTTCATCCCTTTCAAACGTGGCCGTACCATTACAATCTTCAACCAGTCCCTAATTTACTTCGGATGTAATTTTCAAAATTTTCAATATAGGCTAAGCGGCGTATAAAAAGTCTGTGGTAAATGATATGAAATAACATTCTCTAGTTTTAAAACTTAATCAATTCCATGTTATTATCATAAATATTATAAATTACTCAAATATCATAAATATCAGATATTATCCTTCAATCACAGCTTGTCATTTCATGTATATCTAGTTATTAACAATACTTCCTTTACGATAATGCATTTAAATTACTGTCAAAACTCGTTTTTATCGACGTTTGTGATAAAATGGATACCATGACTCATTCATTTAATTTTAAGCCTTTTGTAAGGTGAAATAGTTATATTTCTAGTTGACACGTATGAGCTTTAGAGTGAAGAAATGGAGTTTATATTAATATGCGGTATTAACGCACTGGATATGTCAAGTGACATGAAAATTTAGGATTCTATTAAGCCAGACCCAATTATGTAGTTTATGAACGCAACCGTCATTTTCGAATGTAGTGTAAGCAAGCCGCGTTCACGCCTGCCCCTAATAGACGCCGTCTCAGGCAATACGGAGCAGTCTTCGGCGGGAACCACACGTGCACCCCGACGGGCGTATTGATATTTTTAAATAAATAACTTCTTTCTCAACAGCGACATGTTAAGTTTAACGTACGTACTGTTATTAAGCTTGGCTTGCGGACTCGGTGAGTGAATTTTAAACTATTCATTTCATTTCGATAAATCACAGTGACAAACATGTGAAGACGCAATATGTGTTTTAGAGTACAATAATTTTTTTAAGCTTTTCCGTAGGTTTTCCGGAAAATGAATTAAAGTTATTAAAGTGAACATATGTAAATTGTTTTATCTGTTTATAAGTTTATATACGTTTATTTTCAACTTTTAAATTATAGAATTTGCGTCATTTCGTCTCTTCTGTTGTGAAGTAAAACATTACCAGAGATTTAAAAAAATCCCTTGCAATGGAATACCATTCAGTACCTTGAAAACAATAACTTTCAGCAGTATGCAATTTCTACGTAATATGCCACAAAAAGTCAGTTAGAGAACTTCTAGTACTTTCTGCTTACTTTTAAATTACTTATTGTGAAAAAAATCGCCCTTCGTTCTACCTATCAATTTCATCGGAGAATTTTTCGACATAAATAATTTTTGTCGCGTTTTGTTAAGGTTTTGTACCTTCTACTTTTATATAAACGTAACTTGTAACGAGATACGTAAAGCAGTGTTATAACATGCTTTATGTAACTCTTAGTAACCATTCATTACGGAAAAACGAAATAGAAAGCTACAAGGTGTTGTACATTAAAAAAGCACTAAGCAATTTCTCGTACGTAGATCGTGAATAAGATAAAAAAAATCTAAACAAAAATAGCGTAACGTCATTAGAGACACGCAGCCTCGAAATTCAAATCGAGAATGATTATTGCGCGGCATCAGTCGACAGACAGACAGTTATTCATATGTGACTAATGTTTAACATACAGAACTTTAAAAGCCTCGCGCCTTCTCGCGCTTTCGAGAAGATTATGAAAGTCACCGTGATGTACAAGGACTCGATTCGAATTCCAACAGATGCCGTACTGCGTTCAATTATGCACTTCGGTAATTTCCGTGGCAACGTTTCAAATAGGGACAGGTTTTATTGCGCTTTCGTCTAGCATATACGTAAGCAGTATTAAAGATATACACGCCCTTCTCCTGACTTTTAAGCCGTAGGTTGTGAATCTCTTATAAGGATTATTTTCTTAAGAGCACAGTAAGAATCCGTAGTCACGTGGCAGCCCGTAATCCATACGGGATTCTGCTGCAGTGTTTGAACGTCTATAATTGAAAACAAAATTCAATGCTGTTAAATACGTAAAACAGGGCTATTAAGCAATTTGTGCCTATCTAATATTCGTACGAATTTAAGCAATAACTACAGCCAGATATAGAAGTATGTTTTATAAACAAAGGAGAGATACAATATTTTCATAGTTTCAAAATAATTAATATAAATTATTGAAAAGGATTAATTATTCATCAATCTTCAATGGGGATCGGTCCCGTCGAACGTTAATTCTTTAGTGACTGCAGCATCATGATTGATTATCAATAATTGATTGCTCTTCGGTAAACGAAGATCAATCATCCAGCATAATGTCTCGAAGAGAATCACGTCCTCTTTTCGTGGTACTAATCAGCTATTGCATCGATAATTTTTAATGCACATTCGGCGTCGGTGCGCCACGCTGTTCGAAACGAAGTAGGTTTTGCAAAATTCAGGTACGAAACGAGCGTTTCCGCGCGTTTTGCAAGGGCTGCTTGGATACCGGCCGCCGTCACGAAACATTGGACTTTTCGAAACCGATAATATGACTGGACTGCAACGTCGATAAACGGGCAGTGTGTAAGTGCCGTAAAATGGGACCGGCTGCGACAGTGAAACTGGACTTCCATTTTTTCCTTATCGCTTGTTGCTTTAATGAGTCGAGCAGGGTCGGGGTCGGCTACATTCTATTTCACTTGTCCAGATTCCTCGGAATTTGATGATTTCGATTCGAGAGTAATACAATTTCGCTAATCATTGCAAGTGTCGGTATTTACTGCGTATGAGGATATTCTGAAATCAACTGAACCTTTTTTGGCGGTGATTTAACATGGACGATAATTGAAAGTGAAATTTTAAAGTCGCGTCGACGTTCAGGCACATTTTGTTACATGTGTGAGAGGAGAGTTTATAGTAAAATAAATACTTTATATATATGTATTTGTATTGTATATGGTGCGTAATATTATTTTTATATAATATATGCACACGTTCGTACAGCGTTCTGGAGCGTATTAATTTTAAGTTATTCTTAGTGTATATAAATGATCGCCCCTTTTATGCCAGTGAGTTATGTGATGTTGTACTGTTTGCTGACAATCGCTCATTTTTAAAGTTGACCGAAACGTGTCGAATTATGACGACGTGAATAGTGCACTTTCGCGTATCCTCCACTGGTTTGCCATTAATAATATGGTGCTAAATGCTAAAAAAAAAACAAATGCCTTCTTTTTACCTTTCCCAACGTAAGAGAAGGCAAAGTTTTAGCTTAACATTAAATAGCGTAACCCTTAATCCTGTTGAGTCCGCTGCATTCTTGGGAATTACAGTAGATTCAAACCTCCAATGGAGTCCCCATCTATCATCACTTGCGAATAGGTTAAGCTCCGCTGTTTTTGCAATTAAGAAGGTTAGGCAGCCAGACATCGACACTGCCAAACTTATTTACTTCAGTTATTTTCACAGCATCTTGTCGTACGGCATTTTGTTGTGGAGTAGTGCATCTGATATAAATTCTATATTTATTCTTAAAAAAGAGCTGTCCGAGCAATCTATAACATAGTCATACGACGGAATACACTTAGAAACCTTTTTAAAGAGATTAATATACTCACTGTTCCTTCTCAATATGTTTATTGTAATATTTTGTATGTTAAACATAATTTTCATAAGACAGACATAAACTAAATAGTAGAAATAAGGACTAACTACGCCATTTTTTCGTCTACAAAATGTAAACATAATAAAAGTAGAAAAGTAAAAATAGAAAAACGTTCATGGGGCAAAGTGTGCACATGTATAATAAAATACCACAGTCAATATTAAGTCTGCCACTTGATAAATTTAAACGAAAAATTAAAAGTAAAGTTATGGCTAAAGCAATTACTATTGCTGAATATCTTGACAACGCTAATGTGTGGAGTTAATACTGTTGATACTCACGTAGGGTAAAACAAGACTATTATAAATAAATATATATATATATATATATATATATATTATACCTTATATATATTTATTACCTTATTATATTACATATATATGTATTATACCTGTAACATTATATTGTAAACTGACCTTTTAAAAAAGAGCTACTTTTGAGTTTCTTGCCGGTTTCTTCTCAACAGAAACCGCTTTCCAAAACGGAGGTAACTTACGAATGTATTAACTTCCTTGTAAAATTTAGACGTTTCATAAGAACTCGCAAGCATCTATGTGAATAAAGATATTTTATTTATTAATTTTATTCACATAAATCCATATTGTATTTTGATTTATTGCACCTACCACGATTTTTCCTCAAATTTCGGGTTCAATGGTAAAGTATGCCAATAGGCATTAACCGTTTTTAAGAGATATAATGCACAGAAAGAGAGCGAGAAAAAAAAACTAATACAGATCAGTAGAGATGATAAAAAATCTCACGGTCCGTGCTTTTATTTAATTAAATAAGTACGCATTTTACATTTTTATAATGATTTTGTTATAGACTAAGAAATAAATATTTTTAAAATAACAGAATAATTTTCCTTTTTTAAATTATTATATTATTTTGAATATCTGTATACTAATTAAAACACGTTTCTCAGTTTCAGGGCAAGACTTTAACTGCCCGGCGAAGAGCGGATTTTACCCGGACCCCTACCAATGTGACCTTTATTACAAATGCTCCAAAGGTCAGTACGATACCTCGAAAGGTCAACGAGTATTTAGTCGATGTACGTAAGAGTTGCATACAATTGCAGGAACATTCTACGGATGTGATTTTGCAATTTCTATTTTTAACCCTCTTGTCTCATATTAGGCAATGGTAATAAGCTACGGTTAAATCTTTCAACATATGATGATGAAAATTGCGATAGCCAGTGTTCCTGTCTCATACTTTTAACTAAAAAAAATACAGACCTAATATAAGCTCTTAGAACAAAATATTATAAAGTACGTCGGTTTATATTAACATATTTTTTGAACATTTTGATGATGCAAAAAATATTAAATCAACAGATTCAGACCAGAATTGCTTATATATCTTAGTAAAATCTTACGTCTTCCTACAAAAACTTCACAATTTATCAATCGTTATTGGGTTATCGAAAATCAATAACATGAAAATGTTGGCTGTTCGCTTTCAAATAAATTTCGCTCCAATTGAAAGGAGCTTTGAGGAAATTTGAAAAGATTTTTGAGGAGTTTCCCGATGCATGTCCCGAGTAGAAAGTACAATACCATTGAAATTTATATGTGATACCATACCGTGAGAGGTAAACCGAACCCAAGGCAAAAAAAAATTTAAATCTGTTCATAAATGAAGGAGTCCTCAAGTAATATTGACTAAAAAAATTACATATACGTATCGTATATACCCTTTCAGAACCGGTCTAAAAATGCGTACCGATGCGATGGTGAGACAAGCCCGAATTTAAATGTAGTAAATTTATTGTTTTGCTTTAGATTTGGCATACATTTTTATGACGATAAATTTGCATTCTTATTACTTTAGACAGGTTTAGGTTATAGGTTTCTTTATTTGATTGCGACAGTATGAGTAATAAACGAAACAAACACGATCTTGACTGCTTAAAAAACTAAATATGTAATGATCCTCATCATCGCAGTCTTATTATTAAAATCGAATGTACAACAAGTAGAAATGATAATAACATTACCAAACCAGAGCACGTATTAAATGTGCTTAAAAATTATATGTTCATCAGTATTGACAAACCTCAGCAAATAATAGGATCAAGTTCAATGAGAAAAGCTTAACGTGTTGTTTCATTTAGTGGTAGGTGGTTATTAAAGTTAAATTAATTTATTTTCTTTCTTTCTCATTTTAATTACCTATCCACTTCATATTTCCAAGGTTAATTGTTCTGAACAAGTATCGCGGTAAGCGTTTTGTATTCTTTCCTTGTACTGTCATTCAAACCTTGCGTACTCGACTGCAAAATTTCTCAAATGTTTCGTTCTAGTTTCAATAACTAGTTTCGTATCCGCCTTGAAAGCTAGGCAGTTATTGTACGACATATTGCACATGAAAATCGAAAACGGGAGTGTTCGTGATGCGAATTGTTGATTTGCTTCATGTCGAAACACTTTGGAAACTTTTTTTTGTCTCTCGGTAGTAGTAAGATTAATAGAACACTAAGCGATTGAATTAGATCATAGACTTTTTAATGTCGTTTTATCAGCGAGAAAGGGTCATTGAATACGTAGCTAATAAAAAAATCTTATCGGTTTATTAGCATAAAGGTAAAAATATTTTGTTACTTTAAAAAGCCCTGAAACATGTAACATTAAATAAAATATGTATATTAATATGTTATGTATGTATTAATTTTCTTTTCAAACTTATCATATAGTTAAGATTACAGCCCACGTTAATTTCTTTTGAACTTCTTGTGAAGAAATTATACTTTTAGAAGTTATTTCGCGTCCTTTCGTTTTGAATAAGCTTACGCTGCGTTTCAATACATCTTAGGGCGGTGCAAAGTTATAAAAGGTGGTAATCGACACGTTACCACATTGACCGTGCAGCAGACGGGCTCGTGTTACTATTATCATTGCAACCGTTGCTTGGTGACCTCGTTCGAATCCTATAATATTAGACATTTAGTTCTCGTTTCTTTTCCATTTTTCCAAATTTGGCATAGATCAGTAAGACAACTGAATGTATAAAGGAATTGCAAATGCTCTAGAATAGTAAACTTACGGCGTAGACGTGGTAATAGGAATTATAAATCCGACTAGATTATAAGACATCTTTTTAAAATCTTAAATCATATTTTAAATAACTTTTAAATCTAAATCTTTCAGGACTTAACGTAACGGGAATGAAAACATTTACCTCTTGGTATAGTTATTTTAAAAAAATGTGTCTTTCTTTCGATACATATGACTTGAACATTATTATTTAAAATATGAATAACTCCATTTTGCCTACAGGTGTAGCGGAAGCTAAACTATGCCCTGATGGATTAGTATTCTCTGACGAACACACAAACAAGGAGCTATGCGACATCCCGTCCAACGTCGACTGTGGAGACAGAAGAGAGCTACGTACGTCTATTAATAAACACTAAAATATTTTAATAATATTTATGAAAATACGGAGACACTGATTAAGATTATTACTGAATATTTTTTTAATAAACCGGTCACTTTTTTATACAGAAACCATTATATTTACATTATTAACAAATACTGACCCGATTACAAGACACCTAAATAACCTTACCCAAGCGGTATTGTGTGTAGAATACTAGCTACATTTTCTCGCTAAATAGTTGTTATACTTTTGGGCGAGAAAGGAACCAGCCCTGATTTTAGTATTAAGTTAATGCATATATTAGAAACTGCATTCGTCTCATTTATTTATGCAGTTCACAAAATTATACATAACGTATTTTATTCAGATATTAAACTTAAATTATTTGATATGATGAATGGAAACATGAACACTATACATAATTATATTTACTTTACAGAAGAACCAAAGCCATCAAAAGGTTGCCCGCGACAGAACGGATATTTCAAGCATCCCGATCCTCAAGTGAGATATTTGTAAAGTAAAAGTAAAATAACAGCCTATATAATATGTTCCACTGCTAGGCAAAGGCAAACCTGTGCAGAGAATAGCAGGTCGTAGACCACCACTCGATCCCACAGCGGGTTTAAATATCTTTGAAATACATATCTTTTGTTATTGTTTCCAACGTTTGCAAATTTATTCAGAACGTTTTTCTTCATCAAGCTAATTTTAGTTAATGTGTATCTTCAAGCTAATTTTAGTTACTGCTATGCAGGTCAAATGACCTGAATAACTTTGAATCTTTAAATAAAAAATATAATATAAATAAAAAAATATTTAAGTGGGCTCCCATAAAACAGACATGATTCTTTTTTGCTGTTTTTGTAGATAATGGCGCTTCATGCGCGAGTCCAAACCGCACTTTGCTGATTTTTATTATAAATAAGCAAATTTGAGCGAGAATATAGCAAATCTAAAAAATCTAAGGTTTTTGAGGTCAAATATTTGGCGCTGATTTTAGTCCCCACAAGGGTGAAAACTAGAAATAATTCCGAGTTTAGGTTCACTTTGAGTACGTCATTTCATTTCTTGAAGAGCGTCATTTTCATTTTTTGAATTCTTTCATTTCATTTCATTTCTTGAATATACGCATAGAGACTATTACTTTATTTAATGAAAGAAGTACTCTTATCTATATTTTTAATGAAAATGTTCTGTACCTCAGGCATGCGACAAGTTTTACTATTGTTCGGATGGTATTCCTAATGAACATCCCTGCCCACCCGGACTGTACTTCGACGAGGAAAGCTCCAATTGTGACTGGAAAGAATCGGTCTCACGAACATGCGAGCAACTCACCAAAGGTACATTATCAATTATTACCAAGTAACAAATGAATAGGACGTGTTGGAAGTATTCTATTCTAATCAATATCTATTTTACATTTTTTTTCCGCTAATCTTAATCGTAACCACATAGATCATAAATAATAAAACGAAAGTGATTATAACAATATACGCGCATGGACATGAATGGACATGCTAGACCGGGAAATTACCACGGATTCGCAGAAGACAGGAGTGACATCAAATTCACGCCGAATTGAAGTGTTATACTTCTGCGTTTCACCTGGACTTATTTAAAAAAATTATTAAAAGTGGCAATACATCTGTAAATCCCCCGTGGTGGCTGGTTGCCAAGTACCACTTATCTAGAAACTTTCCTAGATGGTTCACGTGTGATAATAATTGTAAGCATACGTGCTGAATGTTCAATCAGATGTCCTCGACGACGGTTTCACCTGTCCCGACGGAGAAGTAATGGGTCCCAACGGGCGCTCGCTGCCACATCCCACTTTCCCGCACCCCGAAGATTGTCAGAAGTTCTACATCTGCCGGAATGGCGTACAGCCCCAGAAAGGCAGCTGTCCGGACGGAAAGGTCTACAACGAAGACACATTCACGTGCGACAACCCGGAAAAAGTCTCTGGATGGTACGATTGTTTTCATGAGTAGTAATAAAACACTTCGCCTGCGTCCGTCTTTCCCCCTACTACAATGTCATCGACAATCTTTTATCAAGACACAAGTAAATAAGCCTTTGATGTAGATTAGCTCGCAATGGTATATATATATCATCAGGCATAGTATTGGCATTAAGTGCATTAGTCAGCCCGTGATTTTTTTATTTCATTTTAATTCTTACAATTGGTATTAGCCTCAGAATCTTAGATTATAAAGCAGACAGCTTTAACTACACGCTGGCAGAGCAATGATATTTCGATGAATAATTTTTTGATTAGTTCGAATATTAAAAAAAATCTAATAATAACGTGAACTTAACTGAACATATTATTTTCAGTGAAAACTACTATGAAGGCCAACCACAGGAAAAGAATAAGTTACCGAAGAAGGCGTAATCAGCATTTAGTGTAGTATCCTCCTGATAGTCTGTAAGCTATTATAATTAATAAATAATTCATAATACAATCTTGTTTTCTTGTCTCTATAATTATAGACAGCAACCCCGGAAAAATAAGGTAAAAAATGCTTAACTCCCTTAACATATATGTACATATATGTCAATGATAGTCTAAAGTTTAATTTATTTAATCGATTAATTAAAAAGTAATTTTAAATACTGCCACAACTCTTTGATGTAAAGGAAATTCAGTTTAGATGTTACGAAATAATCCCAAATATTAAATTATCTAATTTTCTTCACTGTTCACAAGCGAATGAAACTATCCTTGGTATAAGAAATAATTACTATAAAAAACTACTAATGTCATGAGTTTAAAATGTCATAAAAATAAAAAACACAAAAGAATTACGTTTCGAAATTAGTAAGGTAATTTACGCATCATAATGATAAAATGACTACTGGCTTCGGCGTCGGTGTTACTGAGTGGGTTCACTCTGGATGTTTGTTTTCCAAGGAGGGTTGATGTCAGCCAGGCAGTGGTAAAAACAGATCTATAACCGCTTACAACATTATTCATATGTTGTGCCGACCTCACCTAAGTGTGAGTATGTTACGGCAACACTGATAGGTCGCTGGTTCATATCCGGCTCGAAGGACCCAAATTTTGTAAAGAAGTGGAGGTAGTAATTAAATACAGGTCTCCGGTATATAATTTATGACTTACTTATTTTGAATGTTACACTTAAGCCGTTGCCTAGCGCCCTGATCTTTTTTGCGGAAGTGGCGCTCAGTGTTGCCGTAACAGTGGGATAAGGGCAGGAGGATAATGATGATTGATAAAATAGTATAAATATGTATAGTAAAGAATTTTAAATGCATGATTACCTGTAGTTCCAAGTTATTGTAAATTGCACACTATATTAGCAACTAGGAACTAACAACCACAGCTATATAGCTGTAGTAAATAATTGACTATATTTCTCATCACTCTACATTCTTAAAAAGCTACAAAATTTTAATCTACCAGTTAATCTTGTGTCAATTGTTAATGTCAATTGCTGTGCTTAACTGATTAATTGTTCTCCACACCGTATTCACTGTTAGGCAAAAATCGTCGTAGCACAGTGCTCTATCACTCGCTTTTTATTCAATTATACTCAAGCAACCTCAGTACGGTCCTGTTTCATACATTAATAAACATATTAAATTTCAATTTATCGCTAAATGACAACCACGTACTCAGAATTAAAAGAAAACACTGAGATTAATCTGCATATCCATCGTGAGGAAATATCTTGAAAATTATTTAAACATATTTAATTTGAAGATATGTGAAGGTTGTCATCAGAGTCGCGTTTTCTTTTTAGCCAAAATTGACGAGTGCTTGACTAACATCTCACCTGATTGTAAGTAAATACGTAAGAAATTTAATCTCAGTAACCACCTATTCACTCTTGCCTTGAAGACACATCACTCATATTATAATCGGACTGGAAAACTAACTCTATTTTTAATTTTTCTACTCCTGTGCTGAACGTAATACGAAAAAGGACCTCGTCCTTCGAAGGTGGGAAACATGGCAGAATGCTGCCTAAAACTCTCTGTCTTGAGGAATCCAACCAAAAGAAAGAAACCAAAGCATTAATAGGCACGTTTTGTATATTGAAATAAGATAGCAACAATGATAAAAAAATAAGACAAGTAAAAGGAATATGAGGATAATAATAGATTATTTATTAATAGTTGTTGTGTGTACATTTAGATAGTACTATATCATTACATTTTTACAGAACCCAGCCCTATGGAAACTAAATACGCGGCAATGTGGGTGTTCGGTAAGGCAATGCGGATCAAAGTAGTTAAGTACATTTGGTGGCGAACGAGAATTTCGTCAGTCGCGACTTAAATATGGAATTACGACAGACTAGACAAAATAGTATAATCAGGAAATAGCTGATTTACGTAAATCCTGGGCGAGGCCAACCTTTGTGTAATGTTTATCGTTTGGTAAACAAAAAATGTGAAGGGAGAGATGTTGTTCCTAATTTCGACATATCTTGCAAACTTGCAGGTATTATATGGCAATATTCTTTAATACCATACCACCGATAACTTATTTCATAATGAGTATTACTTGTCTCGGCGCCGGTGAAAATGTGAATTGCAAATTTGAGCGGTGTTTCCCCCCGCGATCAGCGCTCAAGAAATTATCTCGTGACATGTTAAGATATCTAAGGAAAATAAATAAAATATAATTATAGATGACTTTAAGTCTGTAAAAGGATGTGCCACATCCTTATATTCCGATATTTTATGTGAGAAGGTGGCAAGTGAGCTGGAGGTTCACCTGCCTAATATAATACCTAAGTGATAACCGTTGCCTAACAGATACATTGCCACCTTTTAAAAAAGTGGGACCGGCATCCGCATGCCTCACTCACCAGACGAAACGCAGAAAAATGACATTTCCACTTCACACCGGTCTTCCGTGAGGTTGCGGTACTTCCCAAGAGGGATCTGCCAATTCATCCCACAGCGAAGACTGCTGCGTGGCGAGAGGTGACCTTGTCTAGCTATCGGATATGTATATATGCGAACAGTTAATTCAAGGAGTCAGACGCTTATTAAACGTTGCGTAAATTAAATTAACTATATCTGTAGGTTGGTGAACTTATTGACTAATAGAGGGAAAGGATAATTTCGACATCAGCATGCAGTGAACCAATAATTCAAGATTGCCGAAATTGTAAGCGAAATACCTTTGTTGTTTTTATATTTTATGGGTTAAAGACCAACTCGCATAAGTGATTTTAACATTCTTGTTTGTAACCAGGTGGTGGCTACATTGGTTTAAAATTCTATATACTTTTTAATGTCTAATATGAATCAGATTGCTAATCTACTAATTGGATCAAAACTTGATCTTAATGTATCGCGTCCCTTAAAGTTAACCTTAATTGAATACATGAAATCCAATGGTGTGAATTTTTATCATAGATATGTTATTATTCGTAGAATTAATAAAAGCTTATCGCTTCGTTATAATGGTGAGAGAATAATTTTCTCTCGCCATTATAACGAAATCTATTACAAAATTAAACATTATAACTAATTTAAATTACTTTAAGTGTGAATTATATTTTATGGTCTTTCTTAATCTGTTTTTAAAAAGCACAAGCGATCTGTTAGTGTTAGTTTTAATTTCTGTTATTAATGTTATTATGAGCAAGAACCCCATCTTCACAGGTGAAGTCCTCCTTCAAAATAAACCAATTTTTCCGACCAAACGCGGTTTTGGACTACTTCTGTCCAATGCGAACTGGCTCACTTGACTAGGAAAATTTTGAATATATTATGAGAGAAAAAAACACAACAACTAGATAAAGGAATGACTGCTTAGGGAGGAAAGAAGTGTGCTTTAACAAGTCTTTTAAATATTGCAAGTGATTGCGTCCGGCAAATGACGGCGGTAAGGAATTCCATGTTAGGTAAGGTATTCCATGTTATCTTTGACAGAGATTGGAATAGAAGGAAGTATTATGGCAGGGATATTTTAAGTCCACGTTATTTATTATAAGAGTAAAGGAAGTGATAGCCTAGATCTAGTGTATAAATGTGGTATACGGGCTTTTGTTGATGATTGATGAGAACAGTTTGTAGATAAATGATAGTAAACTAATTGATCTGTAGTGGACATATCTTTGGGGTCACAACACATAGATCAAAATGATGTAACCCATTGTAATGGCATCTCGGTTTTTAATATGTGATGAACAAACAGATTTGCTAAAGGTAATATTGTTTTTTCTTCCTTTAAGACTTCGTTGTGTATATAGTCTGACCCTGGGCTCATGCTTCTTTCTTCAACCTGCTTATTGGCTCACCAGATGAAACGCAGAAGTAGCACAGTTCCACTTCATCCGGCCGCCGAAGTTGTGATACTTTCCAGGATGGACCTGCCCATACGTGCAACAGAACAGACGTTATACACACGTCTACGACAGACGGATAGTATGTTGGTATAAAATTGGATTCTTCCCAGCTCAATAAACTTTGAGAGTTGTAGGAAAGTCTCTCTTTAAACTTCTGTATTTCTTTTTCGTTATGTAATGGCGCCATTGTATTCTTTTTATAGTTGGCCCTTCTTTTTATATTATTTAAAATTATATTCGCTCTGACTGGTCCTTGGTCCAAATAAACCATAATATTTCAAACTTCTATAAAATCTAGGCGAAAAATCGATCTAGCTAGGTTTGATTTTTAGAAAATGTTCTTTTATCCCTGTTTTCAGGGAATGAAAAATATCATTCGAATATGACAGTAAATTTCTCCGCAAAAATAAATGTTATAATAGCTCGGTCGGTAATCGGGCGGCCCAAAAACAGACGGCCGTGGTTCGTATCACGATAACTTACACACTTATTTTTTTTACTTTTTTTTCTATACCAGATCATTTTCTTTATTTCCAAAATACATGATTTCCCAAAAAAAAACCGAGCAAAGCTCGATCCTCCAGGTACTTTTTATAAACACCCGACCGGTTTGACAAATAATAATCTATCTCGTTTCTGTGTTCGATGCTTGGTGAGCGCTATGTTTATCTACTGTTTGATTTTTCTTAAATGAAATGCTCAGGTCACGACCGATATGTCATTATTTATAGAATTTTTAAAAACTTATCGCATAGTGATAATAGTGAGAGAATAATTTATAAAAGAGTTAGATTAGATTTTAGCTTAATCTATTTTTTAAAGTACAAGCTCTCTGATGAAATTAATAACGAAATATAAAACTTTGAAAACTCCGAAAAATAAGCTGATACGATTTTATTTGAGATACTGATAGTATGATATAGTTTTTGGAAGTCTTCATAAGTAAAATAATGACTTACATTTTCTACGGAGAATATACCATTTGCAAAAAAAAATAGTATTTGAATGAGTTTATGTACAAATTTTCAGGGCTTGATTACGAACCATTTCTGGATGATAATTGTAGCGTATTGTGCAACTGTGTACGCATTCGCCCTCGTTGACGTAAGAAAGCCGGCTCGACCGGTCCGTGAGATGTGGACAACACAATCGATATCAAATATTTCGCCAGTAAATATAGCCAAATCTCACTTAAGTGTGATATCCAATCTACATAAACTTACAATTCTTTACATGAACTGTATTATAAGAAAGTATGCAATTAATTCATTGGCTTCATACATGGTGCCAAATAATGTGAATAAGCCGAACAAGGCAGTAATTCGAAACCTCAATCTTGAATATGTACCATGGATTCAACAGACGTGTGAATATGAACATTATCTGGAGTCCGGTCGGAGCGAGAATAGTTTTGGACGCATTTTTTAAACAAGCATATTATAACCGCAAGTTGCCCAATTTTCTCTATTTTATAACATCAGCGTGTTTAGTCTCACTTAGCTCGTAACTGTGTAGTGCCATGCCATCAGTCTTCTCTGTTGCACGAATGGGCAGGTCCATTCAGTTAAGTACCACAACCTCACAAATGACTGACGCGAGGTGGAAGTGTTATATTTCTGCATTTCGTCTTGTGATTGAGGTAGCCAGGGGCCCACCTTATTAAAAGGTGGCAACGCTACGTGTGTTGCAAATGTCAATGGGTGGAGTTTATTATCTTAACATCAGGTAAACCACTAGCTCGTTTGCCAGCTCCTGACATAAAAAAAAGAAATAAAAAATAACTCAGGTTCGCGACAAAAATTTTAATCACAATAGTAAAATACATATTTAAACTACTTATATGTTATGTATATTATTCTGTCAGTTTGCGAGATACTTTCGTGAAAAAAAGTTTGCATTATTAGTATAATATCCACATACATACCCATTAAATGAAGAGTATGTGATAGTATTTCGTCTTATATTATTGCCAACGACAATGTTGGACTATTTTAAAGTTATAAAAGCAAAATTTATATCTCCTTTCCATCGATCGAAGGTGCAAAGGCAGGAATAATAAATGCACTGTTCACTATTTTTTTATGTTTTTTTGTTTACAGTGATGTATGTTTATTTTGAAATTGGAACAAGAGACAAATATTCTTAGGAATAACCATAGATTTCCAGAACCGTAACCACCTGACAAGCTCATTAGTTTCGAAGATTCCTCATGACATATTGGAATGGGATCAACATCATAATTTTGATTTGGCGATTGGCATTAACCACATTTATCTTGAGAAAATACGTGATTACTAATGTCTGCAGTCAAAACCACGACCAATTTTTGAAGGCGTAAATGGCGATAAAGTCGAAACGTAAGTCTGACACCGGGCAATCATCGTTATATTAAACTACCCTCTCATTCCAAGGTTAATGAACAGTTTTAAATAAATACTTCAGAAGGTTCTACAATTTACAAATACGTTAAATAATACGGGATATTTATTTAGAACACTTGAAAAAAATTATTTATTGCAAACCAGATCCTAGTATCTCATTTGCATTTGTTTTTCCGTTGTTCTTTCTAGACACTATACATCCATGTACGAGTATTGTCAAACAAAGCACGCCGCTCGAGGTATATGGCCGTTTTCGTAATAGGTGACTCGAGCTCGATACTGACAGGAGAAATATTCATAGTATGACTTTAGTTATTCATAGGTATTTACTATATCATTATACGTGGTATTAAATATAAATATTATTTATTTTACTTTTCTATGTACACGCGTACAGTAATGGGTCTTATACGTTATTTAAAATAGCCTTGGCGTCGTCGTCGTCCGGGTCATCTACATGGCCTATGGGGCCTTGCAGGTGCGGGTATCGAGGATTAACCTCATGACCCGTGCTTCTTCTCGGGGACCTTTAAGGCTCCCCGGTAGTTGGGGCCTGTATATAGGCGCTGCGGTGTATACGTTATTTTTTAACGCAGAAAAGCGATGTAACCTCAGTGTTCGCCTAGATGCCCGGCGAGTAGTGAGGTTAGTGTGCGACTTATCGCACTCCAGGTTGCCAAGCTAGCCGTTGTTGCTGCTATTATGTTATTAATGGCTTCGTTTGCGACGCGTATTAATAGGCGCACCACTTCCGTAAGGTTATCCGATGAAATAGCTTCCGATGCACGCTGGTATTCATTGGGGTGGTGTTCTCGACGTACGATTGGCTCCACCCTTATGTTGTCCGTTCTGAAGCGTAATCTTCTGCCTTCGCCGCTAGGGGGAGGCGGGTGGTGTGTTTGACGGGGGCGGGGGGGGGGGCGGTTTAACGCTGCCGTCTCCGCCTCCGTGGCCGTGGCCGGTGTTGGCACCGATGGTGCGTCGCTCGCCGACGTCGCGGGGGCATCTCGTCCGCGGCGTCTGCGTCGGTGGCTTCTTATCCGCTGCGTGGGCGGGTTAGCCGGAGGTTGTAGTGTAGTATTGGTTCTCGTGTCGGTGTCGGCGATATTAGAAATCCGCTGCACCGTTGTCATGAAGTCCCTATATATACCCGCGGCAGTGGTTCGTACCGCGGTAGGGGGTTGTAGTGCGGTTTCGCCTCTACTTATCTGCTCCGGGTCGGTCGGAGGGGGGGTAGTCGAGGTTGGGGGCGGGGGGGGAGCTCCCCCCTCCCTTCGGTCTGTCCCTTGTTCGCGCCTTTCTCGGCCGATTGTCACCCAACCGTCCTCCGTAGGCGCGTTTCTTCGGGGTTCGGGTCTTTGGGGATGTAATTTCATGCCCCGTTTTCTTGCCTCCCTTATGAAGGCGGGGCAGCGCCTGTCATTGGCGGGATGTCGCTGGCGACAGTTTGCGCATCTGGCTGGCGTTGTAAGCGGCAGTGGGCAATTTGCCGCAATGTGATTTTCCGCACATCGAACACACACAACGGGTCGGTGGCAGTTATATGAGGCGTGTCCAAATTGCTGGCATCTGTGGCATTGCGGTGGGCCGGTTCTACCTCTCCATCCTTCCACGGTAATGCCAGGCATATTGAGTAGTTCGACTATATCATACAGTCTGGCGGTTTCTCTATTATTGATGCGTTCTAACTGTACGTAGAAAATGCATCTTGTACGGTTTCTAGCTGGCGGTATAAGTTTGGTGTATACCGCCGGGAAGCCTAACTCTTTTAGGGCTTCAGTGATGTCCTCCGGTGGAGTGGTTTCGGGGAGCCCTCTAATCCCGACCTTAGTAGGGAGCTCAGTCGCGGGAGCATAGCAGTGCCATTTAATTGCACTGTTTGTTTCGGTGGCGTTTGCTAGGTGTCTTTGTACGACACGGTATTCGTTCGCGGATTGTGGGAGAAAGCGCATCCCTTTGCCGAACGTGCGTGCATTGGGGGCGTGTCCCAGTTTGCGCTTAAGCTCCGCGAAGTGGGTGGTCCAATCCGGCAGGTGTTCTACCACTATTGGAGGGTAGCCTTTCTTGGTGGTTTCATGGGGCTCCGTGGTGGCTTCGGGTTGTGGTTGCTGTGATGTAGATGGCATCGATGGCGGAGTGGTGGCTCGAGCGATTGTCGCATAGGACGTGCTCTGCGTCAAATTTTGCTGAATTTCCTGTGTTTTCAATAGGGCTTCATTGCGCTCGGGAGAGCTTCTCACCGTGTCGTACGATGGCGAACGCGGGGGTTGCGAATGGCGCGTATATGCGGCTGCCTCGGGGTTGCGGTCATCTTCGCTGTCGGATAATACTGGTGATCCAACACATTGTCGTTTCTCGTGCAACGACGCTTCTGTTTCAGGCGGCGTATGTCGCCTACGAGTCTTACGGCGGTGGTACGTCTTGGCCGGGGTGGATGCGTACCTAGACGCACCACCGTCGGCCTTGACTTCCGCCACCCCCGAAGTACTTGCGGCGCTCCTGCGGTATTCCTCTTCGCTTGTTGAGAGGTCCTCCGTTGGTAGTTGTTGTCGCTGCAGTTTCGGTCGCAACTTCTCCCTCGGGAGCTCAGCTTCCTCGGCGATAGGTTGGTCCGTCACTGTAGGTAGACGGGTCCTCCTACGAGGTTTGGGGGGCGATGCGCCCTCCATCCTACGTGGTTCCGTCTTGGTCCGTTGTGCGGACGGTGTCGATACCCCCAGGCGAGCAAGGTACCTTACTCCCTTCGGCGCGGGCCACTTAGCCGGGTGAGACCCCTAGGGGAGGCCCAGCGAAGCGCCCAGCGAGCAGGGAGGGGTACAAGGCCGCAAAGTGTGGTGGTACTCGTCGCGCTTCCCAGCGCGCGCACTGCCGGCCCCTTTCCAAGGAAAGGGGGGACACAGTGCGAGGTCGCACAAGTGATCTCGCGGTCGCAGGGGTGCAGGTGTCGGCGAGGCTTGCACGGCGCACACGTTCCGGACAAGGTGGCCTAGGCTGCTCGACGCTTCACGGAGTTAATACCTCGACGTTAGGCGGAGTGGCTTCGGCGGACTTCGGCTGGATGGCTTCAATCACTCACGATGTCGCAGAACGGGCGCTTGCCTTGGCGTAAGGATTATTGTCTGGAACGTTCTCGGTGATGTCTTAATGTTATACTTTTATTAAGTTATAGAAAAAAGTACGCGAATTACAACAATGTTTAATATGTGTAATCAATAAAAGATAAACGCGATGTTTAAGTTTTTAATAAAACTGTTGTCACGTCTTTTATGTTTACTACGAATGATTACTACGACATGATGAAGTATAAACACCTCGATTTATCCCGTGAACGTAGATACATACAGTTGTATTTATAAGTTTAAATTAAAATAGTTTTCTCAATATTGCAGTATTTATGTGAATAAAAGAAGTCAAAAAGTTAAATATGTACCTTAAAGTTATTTCAAACCTTTACTATGATCATAAATATACCTCACTCATTACATCACCACGTATCAACACATTTCAAAATTTTCTTTTTTATATATTTCAAGTAATGTATGAGGTTTTTCGTAATTTTTAAGATATTCTGTTACTATGAAATATAAGGGAAGAAAAAGTTACGTCCACACTATAGATGCATACACGTTACACCGTAGTGACGGCCAGTGGCTTGCTTGAGTGTGCGCCACCAGTATTGCCGGGCTTAGTAAAACGCGCGGACGTCGTGACACTCAGGCAAAGAAACAAACAAGCAGTCATGAGGAGTAGTGTGCAGTTCGCGTATTTACTAGCATGCATCGCCTTTGGTGAGATTTTTTTTTTTAATTTTAGTAATTATTATAAATAATTACATGTGTACTTGTGACAGGAATCAATTTTACCGACATTTGTAAATAGATATAACCTTCCTTAGAGTTTAGTATGCGTAATTTTTTTTGCTGATTCTTAAATTTTAATGACTTACTTTAACTCTCTATAATGTTGAGTAGAGAAACATTATTTCTTTTTTAATATTCAAATCATTCAGTGCCTTGGTAACTCTGAATTGTTTGAAAGGACAAAACCTAGGTCGTGGCAAAAAAATTATAAACATTTTGTCAATTGTCAACATCTTACAAGCTACACCTCGATTTATCCCGTGATCTTTGTTTGCCAAAGCTATTAAATAGCCTTAAAACCTGTTGGTGTATAAGGTAATTCAATTTTTGAGAACACTAACACTAACGTTAGTCGAAATATACCGGATTAATCAAAGCTACTTGTATAAAAAATAAACCAGTATGATGAGCTTACAAAACTGGAAGGAACGACAAGTTTTCATAAAATATTTCGCATGTATAATAAATAATATGTAACGGTTTGATTACATTTAATTTTTACTGAGTTTCATATGATAGAGAGACATGGATAATATTTGGTGAATTAATTGTTTCCCACTTTAAAATTGTAATAAAATATTTAAAGCTTCTGAATAACAAAACACTGTTAATTTGATAACACAACAATTCAAACACACCCTTAGTTTGCCACCCGGCCATCGAATATTGTAGGGTAACATTTCGGAAGACCCTTCTCATTACGCGTACTTTCACCTGCAAGAGTTAATTACATTCGCGAGTATACATACATTGCGAAAGCCCTGTACAAAGCGGCGCATAAATCGCATTTGGGGCGGTCGAAATTCCGCCTTTTATAATGTCGCGGGCAACGGACAGGTGTGGGCCTTGTGCCAGCATAAATCGATTCCGGCTCCCTTTCCAATCGGTTGGGCAACTGACACCAAGTCGGTGGAAGCCGCCAGCTCTATTTAAAACAATTAAATCCTAAGGCCACATGTTTCGTGTGTTCGACGATTTTTCGTGTTATTAATTTTATAATTGTATGCTCTATAACAAATTAATCGTAACTTCAGAATCAGTAGCTCTCTGAAATCAAATCATTCATTTCCTCGATGAAACTTTAAAGACGATTGAAATTTAAAGACATTTGAAGTACGATAGTCCTGGTGGTAATTTAAATAGTTAAACCACCGTTAGTTCTTAAATTAAGTTATCAATTGATGTATTCAGTTCAATTTTTATCAAATATATATATATATAATGTAGTATGTATTTATATAATTTAGCAAACACATATGTCAAATTTAACAAAATGTAGTCAAATTTAAATATACATTAATTTTGCTTTCACACATATTCACGAGAAGGAAGTAGAACAATATTTCTGACGGAAGCGATGATTTTCTTCGTAGAGAATTGTGAAACCTAAAGGTTAATATCGTTCCGGAGGACAAACCATGACCCGAGTTTCACTCTTACGTAATACTTCACAAAGATGCGCTTTGCACATTATAACTTTTTCATAAATATAATTTTGATTCAATCGCTATTTTATAATAGATAATATGTAGTAAAGAGGCCGTAACTTGATTAATATTAATCCCTCAATAATTAAAATATCTTTAGGTTGATAATACTTTTCAGCCTAAAGATTTTTAGCCACAATTTATGTTCACAAATAATTGCTCACAAATTTTTGGCTAGTGTTTTGAGTGTTGTTAGTGAGCGAGCAGGTGGTCCACCTAAAATTGCTGCTACCAATAGACATCTACAACTCCTGGTATTGTAGATGCGATTGAGCCCTGTTACACATTCACCAGACGAAAGAATAGCATTTCCACGTCATAACGTTGTTCTAAGAGGCCGTAGTACTACTAAGGACGAATCTGCCAGTTTGTAAAACAAGAGAAGCTGCCGCGTGGCACAGCAGCGGTCATCGAACCCAAAAGAAGCAAACAGCAATAGACTAGATTGCACCAAAGAAATAAATAGTACACGCAGTCCGTGATAGCTCAGCGTCCGGGCGCTCGCTTTTAATTCAATATATTTGAGCAACCTGAGTTCGATCCCCGTTGCCAGCACCAATGAAATTGTTAATTTCAAGTGCTGAATTATCACGTTCCTAGTGGTGAAGGAAAACATCGTGAGGAAACCTGCATATTTTCGAAATAATAATAAAAAAAAATATTTCGAAGATATGCGAAGTCCGCCAATCCGCATTCGGGCCGCGGTGGACTATGCCCTGATACCCTCTTTACAGAGGAGGCCTTTGCCAGTAGTGGAACATGTATAGGCTGATATTTTACTTTTACACGCAGTCAGTCTTATATATAAACTTTTTTAAAAATACCAATTTATAGAAACAAATTTTTACTAAATATTCTTGCGTTATTATTTCAGTAGAAAAGACATCAACGCACTCCCTTCCCTAAAACAAAACGCTTTTCATACACACAGTATTTATACACAGTAGGTATTTAAATATAATCAAAACGTTTTAAATTTTTTTATACTGCTTATCTTTGCACTTAAGATTAAACATTAAAATTTTTGTGGAAAACGTTGTTTGTAACACCACAAAATATACAATGACTCTTTTTTCTTCTTCTTTTATTTCAAGTTTTTGCTGTAGTAAGGTTATGCAATCGTTTCCGCTGTGGCATGAAATAGGGCTGGCTCGTCTTAAATAATGATTCAAACTGTCTGGTATGACCATGGGATTAAGCTTTAAGAGTTTACTAAATGTTTGCTAAATTCCAAATATACTTAATTAAAGGAAAACGCGTTAAGTTGAAATGAATGATTCAAACTGAGTTTTTATTTATACAAGACTTAAGGACTTCCCTAATACTTTTTTACCTTTATAAATATTAATAATGTAAAATTACTTAAACATTAGCTATACTAATAATATGTAAATTATATAATAATTAGTAATTGTAATATTATTTTATATAAAATAAATAAAGCGGTAAATTAAATGAGGCAGCGTGTTACAACGTATATTTATAATAATACTCGTTTTCAAAAGACAATTTACTTCTACATATATATGCACGTCTATATATGCATATACAGTGTGTCGTTACCATCGCGACAATAAATGAACACACGTCTAACGCTACTTGCCAATAATCATAAAAAAATATAAAACGTTAAAAAAATCCCTAATAAAAAAAATATTTTTCAAACAAACTAATTAAATAAAAAAGAAACAAAATTTGTAACATCCTATACAACTCGCTCCACAGCATCACATTACAAGCCTCTCCTTCTAACAGTATGTTTTGTCTCTTTTAAATTCATTCCACCCATTCATATGCTTTGTGACCTTTACAAATGAACTTTACGTTACGCTTTTATAGGTAAGGGCGTTCTAAAATTCTTTGTTTTGGAAAATTTAATAACTCTGTAAATATTGATGTTTAAAGAATTTAAATGTTTAATACAATTTTAAAAACTTATCCCGTATATGTATGTTCATTTATTGTCCCGTATATTTTGATTTACTTATATTTTTTTATATTATTTTATACGATATTTTACTCTTATATATTTGCATATGAAATATGATCATTACAGTTTACTATATGCTTTATGATAAGAGTACTGAAGGCTCGGTAGCGCAGTTATTAAGCTATTAGCCTCGATGCTGAGGGTTGTGGGTGTGACTCTCACTCGGGATAAGTATTTGTATGATCCACAGATAATTGTTCCTGGTCTTAGTATTCATTCCTAATGAGGATGGACGTCACACAGGCGGCCGGTCGTGTAAAATCATTACAAAACCAATTATCACCTGATTCATATATGTATAAATAAGCATAAAGAAGAAGAAGAGAGGATAAGAGAAGTGAAGACATTTGAAAAAATGTACTCTTATCATCTCTTCTTATATTTACTAGATCACTAGATCGACATCTAGTGAATATAAACATTTTACTAGATCTAATAAGATCTAGTAAAAATTATTATGGAGAAAAGGGGCAAACGAGCAGGAGGCTCACCTGATGGTAAGTGATTACCGCCGCCCATGAACACCTGCAACACCCGAGGGCTCACAAATGCGTTGCCGGCATTTTAAGAAAGAGTACGCTCTCTTTTTGAAGGTTTTGTTGGAAAATATAAACATCGAATTGCATTGAATTTTGAAATAACTACTAAAATTTATATTCAAAGCTGAAAGAAAGCTGTTCTTTATTTAGCTAAGTTATAAATTTTATATGAAATCTAGAATGAGCACAAACCTAGCCTTGCTAAGTCTAAATTGCAGCCCATTTATGGATATATATATAATGTTAGATTAAATCAAATATTCCATAAAATATAAGGGACAATCATACGTTCTTTTCAATGAAATCATTAAATAAAAACTCGTTCACCTGCCAGCTAACGGTTCAGGCTAGGCGCCTCGAGCGCCCGACTCCCTCAAGTCCGTCGGATCTGTAAAGGCCCCTAAGGGCAACAGTGGCTCATCCAGCCAAAAAAAAAAAAAAAAACTGCCAGCTAACATTAATAGCGAAGGAATACGTTCATGGCGTAGTTTAAATTCAAATTTAAATCTATATCTATATTATCGTTATTCAAATAGACGTTTGCGCGTTCTTATGAAACGTCGAATTTTACATAAAACGTTTCTGTTTAAAACAAACGTTAAAATTCCAAATGAATAAAAGTATTAGAGTTTACAATATCATTTAACTTTCGAATTTCGTTTCCCTTTCTATTCATAAAATTACGATTACATTTAGAAATTTGTAATTATCAATAGTTATATGTATATTAAAAGTAACAACTTTTAAGTGTTAAGTGTGGTATTTCTTTTAAAATAACGTTTAAAGCCTATTATTGCTTTATATATATGTATATTATATTCAATACGATTGCAAATATATAATATGATAATTAAAAGAATATGTATTTTATTCAATATAATATGTCTATTCCTAAAATGATGTTGTTCTTGC